CACACTTTGTCCAGATTTGAAGTCATTAGGATTCATCTGGGAAGCTGGGGACGACTAACTTAAACAGACTGTAAATCATCAGGTACCTTTTCCAAGTGAAGCGCAGACACGCACACCAGCCAATCTTGCGAGAGTCCATTTATTTATAAAGCGTATAAATTACTTTTGCTGCTCACTGGGGAAATACATGGATTCTTGTACACAGAGTCCCTGCCTTGTCACAGTTCTCTATACATGAATTCAGCTCTTTGTGTTGTTGTTGTTTTTGTGAAACTCATCCACAAGACGGCTCTTAAAGCCCCTGGTTAGTAGTATACCCGTGATTTTTGTCAAAGAAGCACATTGGTGCTTTGACCTCTGACTGCTCCAACTTACTTGATTTTTCTCGCTGAAGTAAATTAATTAAGCTTAAAATTTGGTTTAGGCTGTATATGGTTATGTCTACGCTGAACTGTTCATCTTTAATACTATGTAGGGAACGCATTCATGACATCGTATCAAATGACACACTTTAACCCAACCGAAAGACTATTTATGTGCTGCTGTTTTGGTTAGCAACAGAGTTAATGTTAGTTTGTGAACAATAGAGTCTATGACTTGAAGTCGGTTGAAGAAAAGTGGGGTGTCTCTTTGAGGGTAGCATTTATTCATGTTTTATATATATATATATATATATATATATATATATACACACACATATATGTTGTTTTGTTTGGGGCGCTGGAAAAGCTCTCTGCGGTCATCAACACTGTCCATTAAATTGACCCTCAGTCAACTGGAACCCTTGTACAACACAAACAAACAAATAAATAAATAAAGTGGGGGGTGCCCTGAGATAAAGTGAGACACAGAGGTGAAGTGACACCGGCGCTGCGTTATAGGATTAACGTCAACAGCTGGGAGGATAAAAATAAAGAAGCAGCAGGAAGGTCAAATCAAAGTCGGTGTCCGTCTAACATACTTTGATATTTTACTCGCAAAATTAAGACTTGGCTCAGACTCAATTTTTGTTTAAAATTTTGCAAATTTCCAACCATTCCATTCCATTTTCTATAGTACCCACCGAGTGCCGTGGCCGAAAGCCACTGAACTGCACAATTTCGAAAAAAATAAAATAAAATACACCGCACAACTGCAAATTATGAAACCAACATTGAACAATAAACAACTTGACGTGAATGTCAAGAAAGAAGCAGAGTGCCGCTGTAGTTATTTTATCATAACAACAAGAAACGAAATAGATGAGAGATAAAGGAGACAATATGGGAATTTAAGAGGCTCTTGACAATGATCGCCCCCTTCGTAGACTCCACATTGACTCTCCACACTTCGCTTTTTATCCAAAGGTACGGATGAAATTATAAACATAGATAAGTACTACTGTAAATCACCATATCGAATGTACACACACACACACACGCACGCACACACGCACGCACGCACGCACGCACGCACACTATCCCGAAGCCCTAAACTTCAAAATTATGACGCAGACATGATAGGCTACTCTGCAACTACTGAATTGTACTGAACTCAAATTCATCAAGAATGAAAACAAAAAAAACTGGCACCGATCGAATTACATTCACTCAATAGCATCATTGGGACGGCTAAGAAGTAAAGTTTTCTTAGTAGTGCTTAGTACAAAATGTGCAAGAGCGATCAAAGACACGAATAACACAAAGACTTAAGGAAGAATCTATTTCTCACATTTGCTTCCTGTGACGCTGTACGGAAGCTGTGGTGAGATGTGAACCGCGAGCTATCGCCTCTACACATCCATGTCACGCCGTCGTCATATGTAAATGATTTCCTTTCCATCTGAATCTTTATATGGCGCTCCGCAGGGTGTATGTGCAACACCGACTTTTTTTTTTTTTTTTTTTTAGCAGAATAACGTTCAAAAGTGTACAAAGGACAGGTGTACCAAAAGTTGTGGCATTACATTCAAAATGACTTGAGGCTTTAACTGCTGACAAAGGTGTGTCAACAAAGTATTGTGCAAGAATCGTGAGTGCTTAATCTCCTTGATCTAGTTACCAAGTGAGCACTCCCATTTTTTTTTTTTTGATTTGCAAGCAAAATTTTTAAATACGAAAACTGTGTAGTGCAAGTGAACTCATCTCAACTCACAACAAAGCCACAGTCTGGCAGATAGCAAACATCAAAGGCTTGAGGCTCTTAATTGTCTCTCCCAGTTAAAGTTTACTGTCACACTAAAAATAAAAATAATAATAATAATTACATATTGTGTATTTCAAATAACCACCTAACTTTGCTCTAAAGTCTACTGGCTTATTACTAACACAAAATGGGAAACCCAATAACAATGTTGAAGGGCATGTATTCTTTATCCTCTGATATGAATGACTAAGATCACTGCTGGTTACTGAGGAGTTTTGACCAGATCCTTCCACCTCCATCCATCCATTATCCAAACCGCTTATCCTCACGAGGGTCGTGGGTGTGCTGGAGCCTATCTTCATGTCTGCATTACACTGTCCCCAGGTGGTGAAGGCACTCACACCAGAAGGAGCAGCACAATGTCCAATCGAAGTGAAGCAAATAAATATGTAAAAAATGTTTCATTCTTTTTTTTTTCAAATGATTTATGTTGTTACGGTATGTCACAGGACTCTAAATGTCGATGCTTGGGTGGGCAGGATTAAAGAACTGAGTCGTACTTTGCACATCATGGATCCTGGCGGAATAATAGTGAGATCCTACGTAAATGCACACACACATTTTCCACACATACGGAGCTTTGTTCCCTACCTGAGGCTGTTCCTGAATGGTGATGCTGCTGGTCCAGGTGGGAATGGTCGCTCTTGCCCACCCGGACACTCAGGACACACAGCAGCCACAAACACACACGTGCCATGTCTGGGGATGACAGACAGGACGGGACGGGACATGGTTAGAACATCTGCTTAAATGAAAAGGAATATCACACCACAAATACAATCGCACTGTGGTTCAAAAAGAACTAAAATATACAAAAGAGAGCTATTTAAAAACTGGATGAATTTGCACTAAACCATAAGACATGCGTATCACGAGACTTATGTAAACTGATTTGGTGCAAAAGAACCCCTCCCCAAACATCAACATCTTCCATTTCCTCATAAAAAGAGTTTGCGCTGGAGGTCAGACATCAGCAAGCTGTTCAGCTTCACCTCAACATTCCTTATTAAATGTGCCCACAAATTCCTTCAAACTCAAGTCATCACTCACATGTGCAGCGTGGCCTCCTCTCTAATCCATCGGGGGGCCGTCAGATCAGGTCCGAATAAGTGGAAAACAAGGGGAAATCATCAACAAAGAGGCACTGGTGATGATCACACTGGCTTCTTCGGCAGAGTCAAACTGAAACAGCTGGTGAGGAGGAAAAAAAAAAAGCTGAGATCCGCCTGTGCTGCCTTCAGGAACCCTCTGCAAAAAATGTTTCGACGTGATTTTGTTTCATGCTCATTACAATTTTGTTTGTAAATTTCATCTTATCGTAGAAAGGGTTCTGTCAGTCGTCATCTGTACCTGTGGGTAAAAAACAAAAAAAGCCCAAACAATAGGCCTAATCAAGACCCAATGATAGGGAATTTAGAAACCAATGGGCCTCTAATAAACCAATAGGGGCGTGACTAACCATCCCCACCCAGTCCTCAAACAGGCCACGCTCAGCTTTTTAGCGCAGAGCAACTTCCCGGAGTCTTCACGGAGACTTCAGGGTTGTCTACCGCTGACGAAGCTTCTGTGAGAGAAGCGAAACGTCCTTTTTTGCTTTTTTTGTTTTTTGTTTTTTTTGTTTTTTACCCACAGGTACAGATGACGACTGACAGAACCCTTTCTACGATGGAACTTTCCTGTACGACTGAGAGCCTCCACAAGCAAATTTCATCTTAATTATTTAAGCTGTGATTGAATTTTACAGGTTTACTGGTGCACATTGTTAGAAATTTGCTATATTCTCACAAGGTAATTGTATTAAAAAAAAGATCTTGTCCTCACAATATTCTGACTCATTAGCTATAAAGTAATTATTGTATGACATTGTGTGACAGAAAACATTGTCACAGTGTTCTAACTTTTTGATCCAAAACAATTATGGCACTGTTCTCACAGTATTTATATTTTCATCTGAATAACAGAATTTATTTGCTGTCACAAGATTACAACTGTTTGTCATGAAAATATAACTGCTCCCCCACCCTCCCCATGAAACGCACATGACTTAGTTTCTTGAAAGTGTGCATTTTTTTTTTGCCCTCAAATATCTGCAACTTTCTTCCCTGAAATATACAACACTACTTTTTTTTCATATATGAATGGGAAAGATATGTAGTTGTTTTTCCTGTAACAAAAAGATGACTTTTTGTCCAAACTGCAAAAGCCATGCCTAAAATTTTTTTAAATCCCCTTTCCCCGTTTGTTACCGGGTTCTCTCATTTCCGACGGCTACAAGGACAGGAAGGCATCATCCAAATAATTTAGCAGCCAAGGTTTGCCCCCTAATGGTCAAAGACAGGACTTGCAAATCCAGCCACAGAGGGAAACCAACAAGTAAACAGTAATAAATAAATAAACAATACTATTCTATTTTTTTTTCAAAGAGAAACAAGAACTTGAGAAAAATAGCCTTTTCGTTTTGAGATAATTTAACAGCAGTTCAGCTTATTCAAACAAATGTAAGTGCACACGTATAAGAGTCCCAGATGAGGATGATAACAACATGAATTGATATACTGTAGTCTACTAATGACACACAGGTACTCTCTAGTGACACACAAAAGCATCACTAGCAAAGTACAGTTCAGTTGTATTTAACTTTTTCGTACAATCCTTTTGCATGACTATCGAATTCTTTGTTTTCCAACACCAAGTGACAAGGGACGAGAGTCCTGAGGCCCGCACTGGACCGCTGAAGTTCCTCACACAAGATATGAATACCAGAACACACACATGCACGCATACACGACACCGAGCGGAGGGCAGTAAACTTCCTCTTCCTCCTCCTGCTGATGCTTTCATGCTCCACCCATCCACACTCACACAAACATGCACAGAAATACTGAGCAGAACTGAACGGAGCGGGTGTAATCGAACAGGACTGATGACCGGTGAGTGACTTTTTCATTCAAAGTGTGTGTGTGTCTAATTTTTTTTTTTCAGAATAGCAACCAGGAAAACCCTAACTTGAGGAAAGCAATGACAGAGAAGTTGCTGTAACATTTATGAACCTTACAACTATACTAACATACTAACATCAGTGGTAACAATGGAAATGGTGGGTATTATGACACAATATTGCAATCGTGTACTAGTATAGTACACGATTGCATCGTTTGCCCTGGTGATTTAGCCACAGAAGATAAATGAGTAATAAAACAGTAAAATGTCAAAGTAAAGTCTCATTCAACCGTATTATGGCAAAAGAAATACAAAATTTTCTCCTTGGAACACACTGAGAATGAAGTACTGCAATAATACTGATGATCAATACAGCACTTTAATCCCTTTAATTTGAATATTTTATCTTGATTAGTATTATTTTATTCCATGATATGTTTCGACGGTCGACCGATTTTGGTAAGGTGATATTTGGTCAATTTATTTTCAATAATTGATCAACAAATACTTAGTCATATTTCATTCTAGATGCTGCTGCTACTGGTGGTGGATGAGAAGTAGCAGTGGACAAACCCTTCCTGCTTCACTTTCAACACACACATTCACACAGCACACATTACTTCCTCTATTGTCAGAGGGTCTATGAGAGGCACGATTGTTTGTGAGATGACCTGCTGTAAACTTTGACGTGTTTGGCACACTTGCATGAACTTCAGTTGGAATGTGAAATCAGTTGAAAAACATGTTCATCGGGATTCTACTATATCCATCTATTTATACGGGTGGACTACTATACAGTATGCTGCATAACACATCACAGCAACATAAGAACAAAATGGACATGCTTCACTTTGTCATTCATCAAGTGTAGCAGCCGATCTATCTTAACGTGCTGATTGGTCTATCTATATTAGCAAGCAAGTGTCCCAAGCTAGCTAGTTAGACTATTTTTCGAATCTAGCTATCACGGCTAGCTATTCATCTATTTAAGCAAACTAGTTCACTCACATTATTAATTTGTCTTTGATAGATACTTATCAATCTTAGCAAGATAGTTTTTTAATTACACAGAAGCACAGTACCAGAGATGGCTCTTTAGCTTATCAATAGGTTTAGTATCAATAAGCTAGTTATATTGATCAGCCTTCGCTACTACTTAGCTGATCGATTTGCGTAAACTAGTTTCAGCATAATATATCTTGACTTGCTACTTGGCTCATTTATTTTAGCATGCTAGTTTTCTTATGCTTCAAAAGTGATCTTGTCTCGCTGCTTAGTTCATCTATTTTAACAGGCTAGTTTTCTTACAGATTTGAAACAATGATTATTGCTATCTTGGCTCGTTACTTAACTGATCTATTTCAGTAAACTGGTTATCTTATCTGCCTCTGAATCTAGCTATGTTGGCTTTTCTATCTGAAATGGCAGTCAAAAGCTAGTTAATGTACATAATTTAACGTAACAGTGTTCCTGCCATTTAAAATGTGTATTTGTCAAAAAGACATACTGTAAATGTTTGTTGTCTCAACACATTGCAACACACAATTGATACCAAATGTTTGTGGCCATTTTGTCGGGTGGGAATTTCTCACCCAACAAAATTTGTGATTTCTGCTTATTTGCAAAACTCCCCAAAATTACATGACGTAGGTGCAAAAATGGCAATGTTGCGCTAATATTAGAATTTTCCCGTCAAATGTTGTTCCTCAACAGGTCAGCAGACTCAAAGCCAGCGAGATTAGGTAAAAATAGAGAGCTCAGCTGACCAGAAGGAAGTGTTGCATTTCTTGTTACTTCCTCACAATGCTCATCTAAATCCATTAACACTATGAAGGACTTACTTTGTAATGGTCCCAAAACCCCATCAATAAATATCAAGAGCTGAATGTTATTACTTAGTTGAGTACAGTTTTTTGTTGATTAATTCCAGTCTTTAACAATAATAAAACATTGTAAAAGCTGAAAGCTCACTTATCAGCATTCTAATACATCATTATCATCATTTAATATGACTTTGCAGTTGCGTTTTGACACAATGAACTCGTTCATCAGCCACTTATTGCTGCTGGACTTGACTGATATTCATTCTTCTTCCTCTTTTTTCCCCACTCACAATGCTTCCCTTATGCTCAATCATTTCTTCTGTCAGGCAGTGACAGCTTGCTGTTTTTACAATTATCTACTACGATGTGCACAACTTGTTGGGTTAGAAAATAACGTTTTTTACTGTAATTGTAATCGAAACCTTTTTTTCTATGAGGGGCAATTTCAGTCATTTGAAACGTGTCGTCTTGATTTCAACATGAGACCGCAAGAACTTTTTGCTTAAGAAAAGCTTCCTTTTTTTTAGTTTAACGTTTAAGTTTCAACATTACACCATTTCGACACATTTCTTTCGCAGTCATCTACATGTCTTGACAGCAAGTTGCCCATAGGTGGGAATGTGCTCATCAATTGCTTTGTATGTCTGAGTCTGACCTGTGATTGGCTGGTGACCAGTCCGAGGTGTGACCCACATCTCACCCAAAGTCTGCTGGGATAGGCTCAACATCACACACCACAAGGGCTATAAAAAATATAGTAGAATTAAAAAAAGGCAGAATTGGCCCCACAGTAGATGGGGCAGGGTGAACAGCGGCTCATTTGCAAGACGCAAAACCGCACCCTCAAAACAGGCTAATTCCAGCAAGACATTTTCCTTTGTGGACATCATTCTCTGGGGTGAGTAAGAGTATGACTTAGAGAGTGGATGGGAGGGCACACTGGCAGCCTCATGGATATAGTTTCTCCAGCTGGGTGGAGGCCAGTGGGAGCTTCCAGTATCTTCTCTCTCAACTGGCTGATGAGGCTGAGTTTTGTGTGGTTAATGGGGTTTTGGCAAGATGCGATCAGGCGAGATGAAAAATCATGTCAAATAATGACAGAAGAAAATGTTTATATTAAAAACAAAGTGCAAAAGGAGAGAGAGAAGTTTGTAGAAGGAGTGAGCTCAGCAGACCTCCACCCAAGGGTGGGGTCACATCCCAGGAGTCTGGGCTGAGCTGCATTCTCACAGTTTGCATTTCATTCTTTGGCACCACGTCCACTGGAATAACATGATCACTTTTTCTGCAAGGCAACTATGCGCATAACTAACGGCGGGGATCTTAATATTATTTCCGCAGCTGTGCAGGACTTGAATTGAGTTCATAGTCTAAGTGTGGGTTGAGTTTACATAAGGAATGGATGATTATCTTGTGAATCATTCGATGTTACTTAAACAGTCTGGATATTATTGAATCAAGATGACTTGTCATATCAGCCAGATGTGATCATATGAGACTCTACAGCTATAATCGTCGCTTCCAATTGTTATACAGAGCACCTCCCTCTCCCAAATAAAATAAATCTAAATTTGTTGTGTTTTCCTCATAAGGAATTGACAAATAAGTAGGATCAGTTAGATCTCAAAATACCACTACATTAGCATTTTGGCATCATGTCTTAAAACATCATGACTTTGTTTTGTAACGAATAATTTACAGCATTAATAAAGTAAGATCCCAGGTGAGAGTGGCATTTTTAGCCTAATGCGAAGAATGTTAGCACTTTTAGATGTACCGTACAAATGCAGGAGCTATTTGACACAAACTCTCCTCTTTTCTCTTCTCAGGAGCCTGACAATGGGACATAAAGAGTCTCTGAACAACTAATTGGATCCAATCAGGCTGAAAGGTAAAAACAGTGTTAACAGTTCTGAACTGTTCATATCAAAAAACAATAGGTGGAGGTATCATTCACTTGTGTTTCTTTATTTATTCATGGTTGGGCTCAGTCCCTACGCTCACCTGATTTTAAAATGTCCATACCCATGTATGGAAAGTAGAGGAATGGAAGCAAGGCGGCACACCTGTCTGAGCAGGAGTCTGGTTTGTGAATGTGTGTTTTGCAGGTTGGTGTGATCATGCAGACAATCAAGTGTGTGGTAGTGGGCGATGGCGCCGTGGGAAAGACCTGCCTCCTTATCTCCTACACCACTGGAGCCTTTCCCAAAGAGTACATCCCCACAGTCTTTGACAACTACAGCAGCCAGGTGCTTAACTGTCACAGTCATGGACTAAACTTCTGTTATGTTGTGTATTTAAAACAACCAAACAACATTGCCTGAAGAATGGCCTGGTAGCTGAAAGCTAACATAATGGAAGACATAACAGACATGCTAACAGTTGCCATTGAGAGCCACGGTTTTAAAACACTTTAAGCATCTCAACACAAACATTGGGGCAACACATGTAGACAGGCGATGTAACAGTACTCACAGGCATATATTCTTTATCCTCATCGATAAATTACTAACATTGCATCATCTACTATAACCGAGTGACTAACGGTAGAAGTAGAAGTAATATTCTTTCTTTGTGCCTGTATGACTGTATTACACTGCCTCTTAGTGACAAAGAAGAGCACATCAGATGGAACAGCGCAATAACAAACACATAGCCCTTGTTGTTGTTCTAGATAAAAGTATTATAGTGTTTTTTTTGTTTAGTTTTTTTTTTTCCTGGGACGAATCAAACTTGTATTTCAAAGCCCCACTGTACTTACTATGTGTCCATGGTGGATGCAGGTGACAGTGGACAGCAGGATCATCAGCCTTAACCTGTGGGACACAGCAGGCCAGGAGGAGTATGACCGCCTTAGGACGCTGTCCTACCCGCAGACCAACGTCTTCATCATCTGTTTCTCCATCTCAAGCCCGGCCTCCTATGAGAACGTCAAACACAAATGGCACCCTGAGGTGAGAAGTCCGATGTCTTTGATTTCCTGCTCTGGGTGAGTGTTAAGATTTTCTTACATTGTCTCACCGCTCAGGTGTTACACCACTGTCCCGGGGTCCCCATCCTCCTGGTGGGCACCAAGAGCGATCTGCGAAATGACGGCGACACCCAGAGGAAGCTGAAGGAGCAGAACCAGGCGCCAGTCACTCATCACCAGGGCGCTGCGCTCGCCCGCCAGATCCAAGCCGTGCGCTACCTGGAGTGCTCTGCCCTCAACCAGGACGGCATCAAGGATGTGTTTACGGAGGCCGTCAGGGCCTTCCTCAACCCAGAGCCCGTCGTCGCCAAGAGGCCTTGTGTGCTGCTCTAAGAACCAAAACATCGACTGGAAAAAAACAGGGCTCATTTCTACTTGAGAGACTTGACTTTATATTTTAAAATGTGATTTGGATTTTTTTTTTAAGGATCTTATTCACCTTCAGAAATGGGATCAGAACGGTCAAAAAGCTTTTTTTTGGATATGTTCCTGACCAGTGTTGCAAAGGTTTAAAAATATATGATATATATATATATGTGAATGCTTGTAGAGAACAATCACATGAGTCTTTCAGTAGTGCCCCAAAATACATTAAATAAATATATTTTTAAGTTGGAATTAAATGTTCCAAGTGGCATATTTTCTCTGACTATCTGGACTGTGAAAAATGACAAACAACAACAGGACGATTTCCTGCAGAGGCCCTTGGGGAGGAAGAGTGAACTGGAGATGGCGTGAATTCTGCTCCGTTTCCGGATGTCGCCTTTTCCTTCGCGGCGACTCCTTGGAGGAGGGAAACCGCTTCCTCTTCCTGACTACAGACTCTCTCTTCTCTTTCTCTCAAGCCGCCGTCAAGTTGTCTGCCATTCAGTTTTAAAACTAATAAAGCTGTTGTCAAAAGACCAAACACTGCCATATAATATCATAATAAACGTTTACTTCATCATCACACAGGGTGTCCACAAAGTCTCTTTAAAGTTTAAAATAAATTACAAATGCAATTGATGAGATACGTTTAATTAACACCAAAAAACCGGTTGCTAACCAGTTCATGGTGTCCCGCTTCCAAGTCCAAGAGTCTGCGACCTTTACTCACTGTGCGGTTGCATGTCTCAGCCAACAGATGGCAGTGTGAGCTAAATTGTGTGGTTTTGAAACAAAGCGAACCAAGGGAGGGAAAAAATGGACATAAGATGAAATGGAATTGAACTATAACAAGAAATTTGAGGTATCTAAAATTCTTTTGACTCGTGAAGATAAGCAGTACAGAGAATGGACGTATGGATGAACATTCCTTTGGGTCATTTTCACTCAAAAATGTATTTTATTCTTTCTTGTTTTTGCTTCAACACATTGATTTTCAATGTAAACGATGCATGATAAACGTGGGAAATTAATGCTAAAAATGTGAGGACTAATTTAAATGCATACTGCGCAATATTGTATCAACATACATTTCCATAAAATTTACAATGCAGAAAAATCGGTCCAAAACTTTGTGTACCTCTCTGGGCTGCTGATACCTTTCACCTTCAAAACTCTCCCTTGCTCTTCTCTTCTTCCTGAGCAACACCAACATCCATGAAATGCAGTGGAGACATAATGTGCTTTTTCTACATAGTTTGCCCCTAAAATAAGCAATACCTTTTTCCTCACCAGCTTCTTCCAGTCCAGGTCTTGCACCCTGCGTGTCCCTCGCCTCTCCATCCTGTTCTTGCCCTCGCCCTGCCTCCGTACAACTATCTCCCTCTTTAACATACATTCAAATGTAAAGTCAGGAAGTAGTTCCACACCTTCAAAACAATGCATAAAGCAAACAAGCCCATTGGCCCAATTTCTGGGCTGAATACATGAAATGTAGTCTTAGACTATAACCTGGCCATGTGCAGTGGGCCAAAGCAGATTTTAAAGTTTGAATGGTGCAGTCTTGGAGACGTCAATAAATGTGGTCCAAAAGATGCTTATTCATATGGTCTCCTTAATCACCTGATCATGTTCTCACCTGCTTCATCTTGCTTTCTCTCTTTTTCCTCTCTCTCTATCCTCATCTGCCCCTCTTTGTGCTGTCAGCCAAAAAAATACAAAGTCATTAAACAACAAAGGAACAAAAGCAACGTCTACATCATGTAACAATCAGTGCTAGGATTACATTTTCTCACCTATACCTGGCTGACTTCTTACTTTAAAAATTCTAACGCATATCTATGGAAAAGCACTCTTTTGCAAACAGTGTTTCAGAAGGTGTACTGTCATTAAGCAGCATATTAGCAGGCTGGCTAACGTTAGCGCCAAATTTAGCTCATATTGTTGCTGTGATAAAAACGACCTTGTCTGATTAAATACTGGCAGCGTTTTTACAAATGAAAATGAATGCCCCTTTCACACCCAAAATACATTCTATCTTGGCATGACATACTTCATGGTGACATTTCATATCAGATTCAGTGGGGAAACAACTCTTTGCGTTTTAATTACTGACGGCCCTAGCTTACTAGCGACGCAGTCATTAAGACGCCCCGCGCCACAGGATAACCATTCAGACACATCCGATAATGGAGCTTTGCTGACTTTGACTGTAAAGGAGGGGAAAAGCTCAAATAAGGCATGATTGCTGGAATGTGTATCCTGCTTTAGCTGAGATAAATACTTTTAAAAAAAATAAAATTTGGCTGAAAAAAGCAAGATAAATGGAACTAAACTAAACGAAGACATTCAGATGACGTTGGAATATTCCGGTTTGGTGGGTCATGTTGTTTTCAGTATTGTTTGTCTTCAGGCAGTACGGTCACCATCACAGATTCTTTACCGAAGTCGAAGACTGACGTGGAGTGGAAGGCCATGTTGGATAACACCACCAGGTACTCGAATAGAGCAAACAGCGTGTAGACTGAGGACAGCAGAGGACGTAAGGTCAATAAGTGGACTTGTGCTTTTTGTCATGTTCCTCTTTGAAAACTGTCAAAAAAACATTAACCAAAAAAAAAAAAGCATGGACCAGGATGTAGACTTGCCAAAATTCCATCTAATGTCACAATTGTGAGTCAACCATCATCACTTTACAGTTATGTTCCACTTTGGAGGTTTTACTGCACTGTATCTATGCTCTCACTATATTGCGAGATAGATGCATGTGAATGTGGAAAAAAAAGAGCCATGAACTTCGCCCGAGCCCTAAAAAGCCACCAAGTCATAAAGGCTCACCTCCAGGCTCGCAGTGTGTGTTGTGGCGTTTAAAGAAGTATGCAGCAGCCCCACAGCAGCTCAGGTTGAACAGAAGCAATCGCAACTTCCACCTGTACGAAATCAGCTCCTGACATGGGAACATGTCGGATCATAACAAAAGCATTGAAGTAACGCAGTGCTTCCCTAACACAATCACTGGTAAGAGAAAATCAAAATACATAAACTGAAGTTGAATTTACCTCTTTGTGAACATTTTGCCTCTTGAGCACATACCACAACCTGCATGTAATCAGCATGTAGAGTTGCGAGCTCACAATGAACGTGAGGAAGCCGCCTTTGTGGACAGCTGCAGAGAGAAAAAAACAGATATTATTCATATCTTCTACACTTAAAATTTTTAGAGGGGTTGGAAAAGTCGCCAAATAAGCTGAAACACTGACTGTGCTTTTGCAAACTAGATCCTCTCTGTTCACTGCCAGGTTGTCAGTAGAAGAAGTACATATTGACAGGAATGTACTTTGAAGTATGGAAATTGGGGGGAAAAAAAAAACGGGGAAAAAAAATAATCCTGTTTATCGATTAATCATCTTCAGGCATTTTCACACTGCACTTAACCCATTCATTGTGTATGTGCTGAGGGAGTGGCAGAGTGATTTTAACGTAAAGGTCGTGATTAAACTTTCTGAGCGTTGCTTGTCTCCTCCTTAAAATGAGCAAAGGCAAGGTTTTCTTTCGCAACAATGACAGATACATCTTGCAGAGGGGTCGTCGACCGCTTGTCTAAACCAGCAGGAAAAGCCCCACTGACCAAGTTCAGTGTGAAAAGGCATTTTACTCACTGTAAATCTCTGTGGACGCCACAAAAGTTAGAAGCAGCAGGGCGCAGTTTTCGGCCAGGTTGCATGCAAACGCTAGCCAACTCAGGAACAGCTCCGGAAGCTTGGTGGCAAAGCGTCCACGGTAGAAATTGAAATAGATGGTGGCCAACAGGAACCGTGGCGCCGAATGCAACCCGATGCAGAAGCGCCAGATGTACAGCTCCGGCACGCGGCTGATGGCGGCGCTGATTGATGGGAGGTAGTTGGACACCTGGTGGAGGACACACACACTAACCAACTGCTTACAGTTCAATAAAACTCAACACCACAACAGGACCAGTGATGGGAAGCAGGGTTGGGAAATTTTGGAAAAAATAATCACGAACATGCTGTTGGAGTTCTAATGCTAATCCTTCCTTGCCCGTCGATATAACTTTGCAAAAAAAGTTGCGGGTGTCCGTATGCCTACTTCTACTTTGGTACAGAGTGCTTTTGCCACTCTGGTCAGGACTTACATGACAGTGCGTGTAGTTGGCTTCTTCAAAATGGTATACGATAGAAATGAAGAGGGACACAAAAAGGCCAGTCACTGGGAGAAGAACCAAGCCTGTGAGAAAGGTTGTGAAGGGAAGCTGGACCAGGGGCCGATCGCGGTCCAGGGTGCTGTATGGCAAGTGGAGCATCCTGGGTAATGGCAGAAAACAGAAAGCCAGTCAGCAGTTTAAGGGGACACGTTATTGAGAATTGACATTTTGAATAGCTTGTATAAAAATAGTTGGGTCTCTTATAAACTCCATATGTTGACACTGCCTTAAAATCTCCTTTCTGCATGAAATCGAATCGCGTCGACAACGACACAAGAACAAACACAACATAACGTCAATGTTGATCTGCGTCGTTCTTTACATTTGTAATCCGACCATGTGTGTAATGAGGTACAGGAATTAATTCGGTCATCGTGTGGCTTAACCTATCTTCCCCTGACGTTACTAAACATCACCGCGCATGACTCCTGAATGTAAAAAAAAAAAACCCATTTAAATGTAAAATACGCACTTTTACTGCTCTCCGGCGTGTTTTCTCAAGTCATCCACAGCGTATATCTCCATCCGAAAACAACAGTCCAGTTCGGTCTGGTTAGCTCGAAAGCTAACATAGCTTCGAACAAGAACCAGGTATTGTACGAAATCTAATAGTAACTTCCGGTTTAAAAAGAAACAACAAAAAAAACTTTAACTACATTTTTGGATGTCTCCTCAACCGCTGTGCCTTGTTTACTACCAATTAAGCATTTAAACACTACGTTGGTCATAGTTCTGATTGCAACTAGTGGCCATCTCCGCTAAGAACCACTTCAACTCTGTTTAAAAATAAATGCACCATGACAAAATGACGGAAGTATTACATTCCTTTCACAATAAAGGCTTTAGTTCAAACATGCTTTACAAATTACAGAAAAACACTGTACATTACATAGAATGGGAAAACACAGTTTTAAATTGACAGGTTTTGGAAAAAAAGAAGCATTATATCCCCCAAAACTAGAGGATGCAACCCAATGACATCCTGTAATCATTTCTTGAAGTGACCGATCGCAGGTTTGCTGTATGATACTAAAATACTAAATAGTATCATAATTGCAGTGCATTACAGAGACCTAAAACTTTTGTTATGTAGGCCCAGTTTTAATTTCTTTCATTTTCATTTGTTTTAACCAATTAGAGGGCTTTATTTCGGCTGCTCATGACCATTTTTCTAAAATCTTGCATTTCATGAAATCATCTGTAGTGGCCTTTGATTATGTCACATTAAAATGCCTCTCAGTATCATAAAAGAAAGAAAAGACATTAAGTGAAAGGGGGATATTTGATTCGAATAATGGAGTGGTTTGTCCATGTGTGACGTTGCCACAGTTGACCATTCAGTGTGTGTGTGTGTGTGTGTGTGTGTGTGTGTGTGTGTGTGTGTGGGAGAGAGAGAGAGAGAGAGAGAGAGAGAGAGAGAGAGAGAGAGAGAGAGAGAGAGAGAGAGAGAGAGAGAGACAAACTCCTTTTGTACGCCAGATACTTCTTTCCATCACTTAATTCCTGAATTTTTTTGTTCTTTCTTACACAGTAGAGTACACAAAAAGGTTGATTCTGACTGAAAGGAAAGAAAATGATCAGAATGCTGAATAGATTTTACATTTCCAGTCATATAATAATGGAATTTTCAATCATTTTAATGGATGGAGCAAGATGATTTCAGATAACAGTGTTTTGAGTCATGGCTTAAGTTATGGAAAAAACAATTTGTATCTCATGGTACCACTGTATTAAAACCAATCAGAATCAATCAGCCCATCCTGATTTAACTTTTTTTCCATTATCTCGATTTCAACCAATATTTTATGTACAGTACTTTTCTTCATAAAATTCAAGTGTATGAACAAAGTGTACTTAACGGCGATGAAGAAATTCTGTTATATGAAAGTTGCATTTCTTTGTCAAACATTTTATTTGAGTTTGCAAAAAAAAAAAACAACATAATAGCCATCTTTATAATTACCATAAAGCTGTGAGGGTGCAATACACACAGCTAACATTCAGCACGAATCAATGAAGTCTTTATTATTCCCAACACACACACACACACACACACCCACACACACACACACACACACACACACACACACACACACACACACACACACACCATGATGGCCTCCGGATCGGCTCGCCACCGTCTCACGCCTCAGATCTTCGCCGCCGTGTTGCTCCTCCTGTCAGGTGAGATGCTGACTGATGACATCACGACAACATCAGTGTCTACTCAAAAAAAATCAACAAACGCATGCAACAAGAAGATTTGAAGAAGCTCTTTGTCTCCTTCAGATCAGGATGTTGACTTGCTGGGGTAGAATTCTTTTTGCATGCATTGTACATGACAGCTCAGCGTGATAGTGATTTGCACTCCTGCTTCTCGCTTATGTGGTACCGGGTTTGAATCTCATTTTCTTGCTGTCTGAAGTTTGTATGTTTTTTCTTGAGGTATTCCACCAGCTTCTTTACACATTCCCAAAAACATGCATGTTAGCTTCATGGAAGACTGTAAATTGTCCATTGTTGTGAATATGAGTGCGCTGGCAACCACTCCAGAGTGGAGTCAGCCTCTTGCCCAAAGTCAGCTGGGATCCAGCCCACCTGCAAGCCTTGAAGGAGGCGGACAAGCACTTTTGAAAATAAATGGATGGATGTTTCTGTAAACCAATTATCCAATTTAGCCGTATTGTAAGTCATGTAAACAATATTTGCATCTCACCGCAGGTGGCGTTGCTCACGTTTCCTGTTTTAAAGTGCCCGAAGGTGGCGTGGCCTCCCTCTCCTGTCAATACTCGGTAAAACGTTTCGGCTTGAGTCGGGTGTGCTGGGGCCGCGGCTGCGGGACCCTCTGGTGCAGCAACATCCTGATCCAGACTGATGAGAACGGTGTTATCTCCAAGGTGAAGGCTTGATGGAAGGTCTGCTGTAAAAAGACACTTTTCTGTCATTGGTTTATCATCAGTTTGTCATAAGATCACATAAAAAAAAAAAAATTCAATAAAACGCAAACGAACTGTGATCCTGCTGCAGGCGGACGACCGCTACCGGCTGACGGGAGACGTCCTCGAAGGACAAATGGACCTCGACATCGCAGACGTGAGACGGAGTGACAGCGGGCCGTACTGCTGCAGGGTGGACATCGACGGGCTGTTCAATGACAAGAAGGTGATCATGAACCTGAGGGTGGTCAAAGGTGTGTTGCTTTGGGTAAAGGAAGACAAATGTGTTTCTTAACTTGTTCATTTAGAGGTCTATCTGCAGGGCGGTCTTGTTTTTGTTTTATTTGTCTCTGTCAGCTTCGATCAACAGTCCTACAACAACATTGTCAACAACATCAACCGCGACAACACAAGTCACGGAGGTGTCGACTTCTGCAGGTGAGACAATTCCCAACAACATGATGGAAGTTGACAGGCTGGATTTGCTTTTGCTTTACAATGATGTGGTGGGTCAGATCTGGCCCCCAAACCTTGAGTTTGCCAACTGTGTTTTAGCTTATTAAAGTTTAGAAGGTCAATTTAGCTGTGAATCTATCATGGGTAAACGATTTCATGTATTTTCCCAAATTTGTATTCATCATTCATCATCTATGGTCATATTTAAGGAAAAACTGTCACTTGTGCACAGCAATTGTTTTCAAAATTGTCTACTGTAGCGGCGATCTTCTGATTGTATTATAATGTTTCACCTATCTAACTAACTAGCAGGCTAACTAGCACGGTAGGTCACTGTCTAACCACGTGATTTCCTTTGATTTACAATTGTAGCAAATTAAAATTTCTGTTCAATGTTTACCTAATGCACATAGTTATTCGTTTAAATACGTGTTTTTAATCTCTTCTGTCCCTCTCTGTCACTTTTTTTCCACTCTGTGTTTTGGCAGTTAACAGGCAAACACTGCCGCGGTCACCTCAGCTCGACCTTGTCAAGAGGAACTCAACAATTCTGCACTCCACCACCATCACGGTGAGTAACATTATATTATGACTTTGTCATTTGCAGTAGAAGGAGTTTTGAAAATGAAGCACACTTTCGGGTTACGTTAAGGATCGAGACACGTAGTAAGCAGTCAGTCTTGCGGGAACTTGTTTGCTAAAACTAGTTCAGCTTAGTTACTAGCGAAGATCCAGGTATAGGTAACCTACAGATAGAGAGATTAAGTTATGTAGGTCTACTTTGCAAAAGTAAATAACTTAAATAGCTAGCTACGATAGCTGGATTGTTAGACCAGTAGCTAGTTACAAAAACTAGTTTACAAAAACAGATAGACTAAGTAGCCAGCAAAGATAGTTATACAGGTATGAAAATTGATAAGCTAAGTAACTGAGATAAATACTGTTGATAACGAAACCAAGTAGCTAGTTATGAAAATTAGTTTGCGGAAGTAGATAATGTATGTAGCAAGCTCAGATGGAATAAGTAGCTCGCTACAAAAACTTTTTGCCTCTCAGGTGGTGAACCCTTCCGCAACACTCTCCCTTCACGTCAACGTTCCTGTCCTGTCACTCTCTCTCACCGTGCTGATAACGTTGGCTGCCGTTTTCCTTTCTCTGGCCTTCAAGCGTACGTTTTCGTACTCATCGTCACCGTTATAGTCAGTATGCTTCCTGAATGAAGAATGTGAACTGGAATGTTGAATGTCGTCTTTTCTCATGCAGGTGGGTTATACAGACGGAGCGGCTGGTGAGCACACCATTTTTTTTCAAACCCACTCTATTTTGTGGGGTGTTCGAACTTTCGCCGACGTAAACATTAGGAGGATTGATGGAAGAAGCAGGATTTGATGGTAGATTTCTCTCTTTCAGTTTTTCAAGTGAGGAACCTCCTCGATTGTATTATAATGTTTCACCTATCTAACTAACTAGCAGGCTAACTAGCACGGTAGGTCACTGTCTAACCACGTGATTTCCTTTGATTTACAATTGTAGCAAATTAAAATTTCTGTTCAATGTTTACCTAATGCACATAGTTATTCGTTTAAATACGTGTTTTTAATCTCTTCTGTCCCTCTCTGTCACTTTTTTTCCACTCTGTGTTTTGGCAGTTAACAGGCAAACACTGCCGCGGTCACCTCAGCTCGACCTTGTCAAGAGGAACTCAACAATTCTGCACTCCACCACCATCACGGTGAGTAACATTATATTATGACTTTGTCATTTGCAGTAGAAGGAGTTTTGAAAATGAAGCACACTTTCGGGTTACGTTAAGGATCGAGACACGTAGTAAGCAGTCAGTCTTGCGGGAACTTGTTTGCTAAAACTAGTTCAGCTTAGTTACTAGCGAAGATCCAGGTATAGGTAACCTACAGATAGAGAGATTAAGTTATGTAGGTCTACTTTGCAAAAGTAAATAACTTAAATAGCTAGCTACGATAGCTGGATTGTTAGACCAGTAGCTAGTTACAAAAACTAGTTTACAAAAACAGATAGACTAAGTAGCCAGCAAAGATAGTTATACAGGTATGAAAATTGATAAGCTAAGTAACTGAGATAAATACTGTTGATAACGAAACCAAGTAGCTAGTTATGAAAATTAGTTTGCGGAAGTAGATAATGTATGTAGCAAGCTCAGATGGAATAAGTAGCTCGCTACAAAAACTTTTTGCCTCTCAGGTGGTGAACCCTTCCGCAACACTCTCCCTTCACGTCAACGTTCCTGTCCTGTCACTCTCTCTCACCGTGCTGATAACGTTGGCTGCCGTTTTCCTTTCTCTGGCCTTCAAGCGTACGTTTTCGTACTCATCGTCACCGTTATAGTCAGTATGCTTCCTGAATGAAGAATGTGAACTGGAATGTTGAATGTCGTCTTTTCTCATGCAGGTGGGTTATACAGACGGAGCGGCTGGTGAGCACACCATTTTTTTTCAAACCCACTCTATTTTGTGGGGTGTTCGAACTTTCGCCGACGTAAACATTAGGAGGATTGATGGAAGAAGCAGGATTTGATGGTAGATTTCTCTCTTTCAGTTTTTCAAGTGAGGAACCTCCTCACATCATCTACGAGATCAGGATGAGAAGACCTGTTCAGGAGAACATCTATACTCTTGACTAGACTCAATCACAAAATATCACCCATTGTTTTGACTATCTGATTTATTACAGTACAGTACTTTTTTTATTTTTTAAACAGCGTCAACTGAATTATGTTTTCTTGTTGTTGAACTGTGAATAAATCGACCTTTGTTCACAGGCTGCTGGTTATAAATTCATCAGTTCAGGTTTGAAAAAGTTGAGAGAACTCTAGATGAATGTTTAAAGAGGATAATCAACTTGCACAAATGTTAGGGCTACGCTAACAAGAATTTTTTTGAAAAATCGTAATTATGGGGAGAGGGGATTGTTACGTTACAAGATTAAAGTCACAAAGTTGTGACAATTAAGTTGAGTGGGGGGAAAAATAATTCTATAAATACATATTTAAACAATGCACAGTGCATAAGAAAAATAATGATACAAGAATAGTATCACAATGCTGGGGGAATTACCGGTAAGTCATACGAGGAAAAAAAAAATCTAAAACAATATATTTTTTTCGTCCCAGAAAACTTTATGTTAAGAGTCATGATATTTACAGACTAACGTCATATTTTTCAAAGCAATTAAGTCAGTGCATTACGAGACATTATGAGATTGACATAACTTGTCAAATTTATATGAAAATACAGCATGGCAATGTCCTCATGGCAATAAAATGACTTTGCATTTGGAATTCTGACTTTTTGTTTCTTTTGTGTGTGTGTGTGTGTGTGTGTGTGTGTGTGTGTGTGTGTGTGTGTGTGTGTGTGTGTGTAAGTGAAAACAACAACAACGTGTCTTTACATACACATAAAACCTGCAACGCGTTATCATAAATGACGAGGGTTCACTGTACATTTGTTCAGCTTGTATGCTCAATATCTTGTTCATTAAGATGATAGCCTGCGGCTCATTCCATTCATATCCGGAAGTCAGCGCACTCACTCGTCTGTGTGTGTGTGTGTGTGTGTGTGTGTGTGTGTGTGTGTGTGTGTGTGTGTGTGTGTGTGTGTGTGTGTGTGTGTGTGTGTGTGTGTGTGTGTTCTGTATATTATCATTCGCCTCGGGAGTACTTAAGTGTACGTCACCTCCTCACATACACACAGATAGTCTCGAAACATTTCCATCCTCAAACAGAATTCCCTTACTTTTATTCCCACGGCCTCTCGTAGACAGGCAATTAGAGCTCAATTCATATTCCATATATTGTGTGTATGTGATCTGCATTCCTTTCAGCTATTTAAATTTAATATATTAAATGTACTGTCAACAGTCAAACATACACTATGACGAGGGAAGAAAGCTATCTTCTATATCCGCTTCAAAGCCTGCCCTCATTAGAAGCTTTGTCATGTAACTGTACCTTGACACAAGGATGACTCATTTTCCGCCAGCGATTCGTTTTCCCCAAAACTCAGAAGTGACTGTTGAGGGCAAACACCCACCAGGCACAAAAGTCGGGTGTCTAGAAATCGACAGGCCTTTAGCTGTAAGTCAAATAGAGTGATCACAGTGTCAACGGATGAACGTCACAAAAGCTCTTTAAGTGAACTCCACCTTTGCGTTGAGTCACCATTCATGAGAGAATCTTCGACCCAACATGGCTTCAATCAAGTTGACGTTGGTGGCTTGTGAGTAGAGTCTTATTATAGTACTGTAAAAATGATGCAGCGTGTGTTCAATTTGTTAACGAAAACGTGTGTGTTTGTGTTTCAGTGCTGGCCATCACACTCTTAATGTCAGGTAAATTCAATCCCTATACAGTTTTGTTTCGTTTTTTTTTTTTTTTATTAGGGAAAAATGCCTGGCAAAATGTGAGAGGCTAATTGTTGTATTGATGCGTTTGACTTCATTTCAAATAAATGTCCAAAGTAATAAAAATGAAAGAGCAAGAACTTCAGGATAGTCTGGCATTGTTTTAGTGTATTTGTAGTGTATTTAAAAAAAAAAGTTAGTACTTTTCTGTTTAAGAAAGAAAATCCTGCAATGGTCACTGAAATAACATGAAACTGGCAAAAGTAATAATCAATACAAATGCACTGAACGATGTATTTGCTATGAAACACAGAGGAGGTCCATTTATGTTCTGGGGCTGCTTTGCTCTATCCGACATATGATAACGTGACGTCTTTGCAGCATGCAATGAAATCTCAAAACTGTGAAGATTTTTCTTGAAGTAAAGGGTAACAATAATTTTGTCCCAGGCTTCAGATGTTAAAATTAAGTCTGTTTGCCCCCCCAAAAAACCAAAACAAACCAAAACAAAACACAATTTGATGTCCTCCTGATCTGATTTGGTTTTGGCCTTCCAATCGGTTGTGATTCTGAAATGAGTTATCCCTATTTCCATTGATGCATATCAACAGTCACTGAAAAGCAATCAGGTCGTGAAATAAGGCAGAACTTCATTAGCAACTCAAGTCACATCATATGCAAAGTTAAATAAAAAAAGGAAGTTATTTGTGTATTTGTGCTTTTATAATCCTGATTAGAAGCATTTGCTAACCTGTTGCGGTTTCCCTTGTGCAGTCAGTCCTGACTCCTCGTCCTCCTCCTCGTCTTCCTCAGAAGAGGAATCAGATGATGAACGTGAGGATGAATGTGGATCAGAAAACGAAGGAACTGAAAGAGGAGAAAATGAAGAAGAATCTGAGGGAGGAGAAAACGAAGATGGGTCCGAAGGAGGAGAAAATGAAAAAGAATCAAATGGAGGAGAAAACGAAGAAACTGAAGGAGGAAAAAATGAAACAGAATCCAATGGAGGAGAAACTGAAGGAACTGAAGGAGGAAAAAATGAAACAGAATCAAATGGAGGAGAAAATGAAGGAAGTGAAGGAGGAGAAAATGAAAAAGAATCAAATGGAGGAGAAAACGAAGGAACTGAAGGAGGAGAAAATGAAAAAGAATCAAATGGAGGAGAAAACGGAGAAATTGAAGAAGGAGGAAATGGAGGGACTGAGAATGAAAACGAAGAGAGGTCAGTGCTGGCCAATATTTGTTCGTCCTTCCTGAATCTCTTACTCAAAATATTTACTTGCAACCCGTTCCACACAGTTGATTTTATTTTAAAAAAATTATTTTGTATCAACTTAAAATTTTTGTGTTGAATGAACAAAATACAATTGTGTGGAATCAACTGATTTTTAAAGTCCTCAAAAACAAAACAAAAGGCTAACAGTTCCACTTATATAATTGGATTACATTAAACGCAAAATAATGATATTAATCTTAGTTCCACTCCAGGAATGATTATGGAAGTGGAAAAATTAATTGACGTAATTATCTTGCATGTTTCCCAAAATCAATCAAGGAAAAGTTAGTCAAACAGGCATCCCTACTCAATCCGGTACTTTTCTAGTGAACCAAAGCATGGTACACTTACAAATCTTCGCTGAATATTCAGACATGAGAGAACCTCACACGTCGAGGAAAACAAAGCACGCTATATCGTGTTCTAATTGCGATTGTTGCCTTACTTTTTTGCACTGCAGTTATGACAATGCCTGTCAAAATAACACCTGCCTCACTGCAGTCATCTGTGACGGTCAGACGGACACGATCAATTGTAGTAAGTCAAGTTCTAGTCCTTTTAAGATGTCAAATTGTCATATTATCCCATAAATGACACCCCCTTTTCACTGTGCAGCTGCCCCTCAAATGATCGAAGTACATGTGGCCACTTACGGGCGTCAGGGGAAAACGTTTTGCTGGTCGGCGGAAATGGAGGACACCAATCAGAATTTGAACTGCACCACCGACATTACTAGTCTTGTGGCTAATAGGTAAGGATGCGTGCAGAGTGGCACAAAGGCAACATTCTCAATTTTTGATGTTTTGTTTTTATCTGTAGATGTGAAGAGAGGTCTGTGTGTGACATCCCGTATTTCAACGGCACTCTGCCTATAGACCCTTGCCAAGGCACAGACAAGTACATATGGATTGGATACCAGTGTGTCTGACAGGTGAGTTAAGATTTCATACAGCACATGCAGTGGTGGCTTGAATGGTATCATTGAGAGAAGCAATAAAAAGGGACCCTAATATATAGCCTTGCAGAACGCCATTTTGAAATGGGCCCATCTCTCACCATTTTCAAGCTACAACTTTTTGAAATAGTGATATCACAATAGAATATTTTAGAGAAAAAAACTCTTGCGCCTAAAGGGTTAAGTGGACAACACAGTTGGTAACAGAATTGGTAAGAGGTCTTATTTGAGTCTAAATCAATTTTAACTCAACAATTCAATTCTTATGTTTCCCATAGCTTTTATTAAACTGAATGAATCTTGTTGAAAACTCTTGTAATGGCTTGGACATGATTGCATTTGACATTGAGACATTTAACAGCATTTTGCACAATTTTTTGTGTCTTACAGAATCAAGTTCAATCACTTGGGCGGATCCAAGATGAAAACTTTTCATTTTATCTAAAAAAAAAAAAAAAAAAAAAAAAACGTACCCAGTAAAGTTAGCAAAAACTAACAAAACAAAACATTACCTCAATTTTGGTTTTGGTCGGTTAAAGTTGGGACATAAGTCAATAGTGGTCATAACGTGTTTTAATAATTTGAAGGGAATTATGTACACATTTAAAAATTGACAAAATAAAGAAGTGAATAAGTAAAAATGTGTTTTCATTTTAAATGTCTAAGACAGTATTGTGCCTTTGTGCCTTTTTTTTTCTTGATTTAACTGCAGCATTCAAGGTCCTCATCAAGTACTGCCTCCCCACTCAACCACAACCAGGTGTCATTAAACAAATTTGTTACCTGAAGTTATTTTGGGAGGATAAGACAGTCCATATCGCCCTCTCATCAGGAAGGGTCCATAGTGTCTTTTTTGTTACGCCATTTCTGAGGAGAAAACAAACGCACATGTACATAATGCCTCCGTCGACATGACTTTGACAGCTGCTTGTCCCGATAGACTGAATCTTGACGAAAGCACACAAACTATTGGGGAGTGTCTGGTCAGTGACGGATTTGTAGTGTGACATCGGTCCAAGAACGAACAAAACGACAAAAAGTTTGTGCAGTTTGACAGGCCAGGCATCTCTTATTACAATTTCTGAAGTTGTTGGTTTATTTTCTTTCCTGTCCGGTCCAACCAGTATGCCCGGTTTGTAGAGTCACACCATGCGCAAGCGCACATACGTCACGTGTTCCGAAAACGTTGCACTGACATCTTCTTAATTAATTTCCAATATATTGAAATCACGCCTTGTGAGGATAAAGCAGATCGGTAAATGAATGTACGAATGAATGAATTAAATCACGCCAACGTCTGTATTATTTGCACGGAATGAAGCCTCTGTAAACCTGGCGTGTTGCACGCATGCGTGCTGCGTCGTCTCGGCGCCGGCCCAAAAGGAAGCTCCATATTTGGGCATGGTGATATCCGCCGCAGTCGGAGGAAACTCTATATTTGGGTTGAAGGGTTAGGTTTTTTTTTATTTATTTATTTATTTATTTTTTACTGCAATAGACTAGAGGGCCAAAGTGCGCGCGCACGCGCGCACACACGCGCGCGCGCACACACACACACATACACGTAAATGCACTCTGATCATTTTATTTTACAGCACTACTGCTTTCTGGATTAATCATGTCTGCTTCTGAGTTATCGATGCTTTATATTTCTCAGCCGAAAGTAAGAAAAAACAATCATAAAATACTTCCTAAATGTTTATAATCTTGCAGTGTTGCAGAGTGTCAATGAAGACCACCTGGTACATTGTTTTGGCGCTCCACATTTTTATTCTTTGTTCTGTTCAGAGGAAAATACATCTGGTATCAAATGCATTTGAACATATAAACCTACACGGTAGGTAAACAAAATAAAAATCTATACAAAAATATTCATGTGTGTATGTATATCTATGTATATATATAAAATATACATTTATTTACATTCAGTTCAGTTCACAAGGTGTTTGTTTGGGGCATTTGCTGAATGAACTGTTGCTGGTTTGAGTTCTTTGCATCTATTGGAATCATTGTGATGATCATTGATAATGTTAATCAAAGTTTTTGAGGGATTCAACAAATGGGAAAGCTCAACTAATTTTGCATTTTGTTGATAATTTACGGGTCCCAAACAGCCTGATGAATTCCTGGGTTTAAGAGTTTGGTGTTCATTTTTTGCCTGAAAAAGAAGGTGCGAGAGCCCATTCACAACTGCTTGCAGCTCGAATGTTTTACTTGTCCTGTTTGTGCTCGGTGAACAAATTGAGCAGGCTGATGTCCGACTTAGCATATGTTGTGAAGTGAAGCGATGCTGGGCGGATGCTCCGATTGGGGGGGTGAGGAACAGCTGGAGGAGTACAGTTTGGGGTAGCTCGGTAAGGAGGATGGGTTAAATATGGAAGGTGTGGGAGAAGAGGAGCTGTGAGCGGGCGAAGAGTAGGAAGAGGAGCAAGCTGAAGAGGAGATGGGAGGTGTGGCAGAGGCGGGGGGAGCGGGGATGGTATTCCGGTCCCGGTGCCTTTGGTGGATTTTGGTGTGCCGTTTGCGCTCATCACTGCGGGCGAATTTGCGTCCACACTCGGCGCAGGCGAAGGGTTTCTCCCCCGTGTGGGTGCGGATGTGTGTGGTCAGGTGATCGCTGCGACTGAAACTGCGCATGCAGATGCGACACTGGAAGGGTTTCTGTCCCGTGTGCACCCGCACATGGCGGGTCAGCTCGTCCGAGCGTGAGAAGCGGCGGTCGCAACCATCCGCCGGGCACATATATGGACGCTCCTGAGAGGACGTTTTACCCTGCAACTTCCTCCTGCATGGTCTGCTGAGCTGGCAGGCGGGGGCGGTGAGAGGCTGGTTAGGCACGTGTGAAGAGGAGAAGGCCTTGATGGTAGAGAGCGGTGTGAGTGGCGGCTGTGGGAGATTCCCACCTTGTGACATCACAGGCTTCCGGTCCCGGTTTAGGAGCTCGGCATCCTGCGACTGAGGTAGGATGTAATCCGGGAGCATGGGCAGCCTAGAGGCCGGGTAGGCCGGAGGCGGCCCCTGCGACAGGTAGGGAGCCGGTTGATTGTCGAGGGTGTTGATGGCGGCGGTAGTGAATGTTGGTGCCACGGAGAAAATGGAGCCCACATCAGTGGAGACGCAGCTGAGAATCGGTTGACTCAGCGTGGACGTCACCGAAGAAGAAGAGGAGGGAGCAGAAGGAGCAGCGACGCTGACCAAACCACTAAAGAGGCTGAGTAGAGGCTCCGGCCACAAGCTGGCGCTGGACGCAGAGGACGGCTCGAAGGTAAAGCGGCCGCTGTATGCTAGAGGAGGGATGCGGGGGGTCAGCGGCGGGAGGTTCTGCAGGTCGGCCAGTTCTGACAGAAGGTCTGAAACGTAACAGGAGAGAACATCAGAACACTGACGACTCTGCCAGGTGGCTCCAAGTTAGTCATACAGGTGGAACTGTATATGTGCCTTTAAGAGGCAGGGCCCGGTGAGCTGGCGTGTGATGTTGGCGAGCCTGCTTGTGACTGTCTAGATGTGAGCTGTGGCTCACAGCAGCTCTAACATGAGTGTGCTCATTGTGTTTATGTGTTTTCTCAGGGTACAATAAATAGCTCAGAAAGAGCATTGCGATTGTGGCTCTCTTTTCCAACATGTGAGGGCATTACAGTTAGGATGCAGTGAACCCCCACCACGAACACCAAAAAAAAAACATTGACACCCACCTAGGAAGGTTTGTATATGCAAAAAGGTGCCATGAGATGGCAACAAAGCCCTTTTTTACTATTAGATACGTCATCATACTTGCTTGGCACCTACATGGCGCCAGACTAATGTATTTATATTAGGCATGGTTTGCTGAATTGAACTTTTTTTGTGTGTGTTTTATGAATGGTAACAAGTTAACTGTGCTTTCTGCCATCTAGTGTAAGAGGGTTATATTGCTCTGTCTGTCGGGATACAGGCACAGTGTGTTGCTGCATACATAGATGAACATGGATGTATTATGTAAATAACGTCTTGAACCAGTTGAATAATCATCCGCACCACAGTTTACAATCACCGCTCTAAGGAAATGCTGCATATGATCTATTCTTCACCTTATGTAATGTACTGTACAGTATATGTGTTTTAGCTGTTGCTGTAATTTGCAGGATTAATGAAGTCAATATAGATCCTTAACTTTAATAAATGGTGTCGTGAATAAAGTGAAACGTCGGGTATAGTTTTAATGAGCAATTAGGACATTGTGTCAGACATTAACATACTTAAACAAATGCAGCCACCCACCTCCGTAGTCCCCGGTTTCTCCGCTCAGCAATCCTCCACCCTCGGCGGCGTTCTGCAGAAGAAGCTGCAGCTCCTCCAGCTTCGGGTAGCCCTCCAGCGGGGACAAGACAGGTGGGAAGCTGGCCAAGGGCTCGGAGATCTGCAGGGCCGAGAGGAGCAGCTCCGCTTTAGTCGCGGCCATCTCTCTGGGGTTTGGCCGCTCCTGGTGCTCCGGGGCACCGGCACTGCGTTGTTGCCCGGGGACCGTGTGGGGGTACCGGACTTGCTTCTTATCGGGGCTCGGACCTTCGGAAGACGCCAACGCGGGTTTGGGTCTGGTCCGGGATCCCAAGGAGAGTCCCGGTGAACGGATAAGGTGACTATTTTTTTGTAAATGAGGGGATGACAATGCTTGTTTCCGGTTGGTGTTTTCACTTGTTGCGCACGGCGACTTTAACACGAGATCCGACAGGAGTCCTCTTTGAGGCTGGCTTTATGTAGACTCTTGTCATGACGTAGATTACCAAATAAGGAAAGACGGAAGCCCATGTATGGGCATAGCCGGGACTTTCCTGTTAGTCTGCCAGTAAACTTCCGGGTAGGAACTTTTTCTTCGTAAATGCCGAATGACTTTTGCTACCAGATTTCCACCCATTTCGTCGACGACTTGAGACAAACACTTATAGAAACCAAAACGGAACCATGCTATATGTCTGGTTGGCGACGCTGCAGCTGCTAAACTATTGCTAACCGCCATGACCGGAAGTGACGGGGCCACGTCAACAACTCGGATTTGGCCTACATCCCCTAGTGTTGCTCGCGTACGTCACATTTTCCTTGGGCCATATATGGATATTTTCCGTCGAGAAGCCTGACACGGGAGGGAGACTCCTCCCTCCTCTACGTCAGCTCAGGAAAAAAAACACAATGACTGCAGTTTAACCCCGTAGATAAAATGAAAGCAACAGTCGCGTAAAATATATCACCAAGTACTGTGATTAGAAGGTGTTGTAAAAAATGTAAATTAACATTTATCAAAGAAAGAGTGCTTGGAGGATGCAGGTATCGATCCCACAGATTGCCATGCAGCGTGCCTGTTGGGCCAATCACGTCGCGAACCGGTTATGCTTGCACAAAAAACTACTTTAACAAGCAATACATTTGAACATATTCTGCAACAGCCAAATGTGTTAGATATTGACGGCATCTTCTTCTTAATATGACGTTTTTACTGTGGGGGAAAAAAACACACACACACCACTCGTAAATGCGTATCTGTTGCGTCATGTTAATTGCTCCTTGGCCGCCGGTGGCGTCTCTCGTTATTTTTTCCTCGGCAAAATGTTTTCAGAAGCGTTCTCCTGACCTATTTCATGGTTAAATCAAGTGTTAGTTTGCGTGTAGTACGACGACTCTTCCACCAGATGTTGTTGGAGAGTTAGTTTTAAACGACAAAAATTGTGTTCACCTTGAGTTGGCTGTGGGCAAAGTATGGCCCCTCCGTTCTTTAATTTGTGTCAAACCGGCTGCAATTATGGTCGCGTTAATTTAGTCATATTTCTCCTCAAATTTGTGATCCACCCATTAACATTTTATTTTGAGCCAAGGCACATATTTTACAAGGTGTGTCATAAAAACTGCAGGACTCATGTTGCAAAAGATATTTCAACCCCAAACTACACGTTTCTCTCTTCATCGTTGGCTTGACAATCAACCAGAATGTTATCATGAGATCCTCTGGCGTTTGCTTTGCTCAGTATGCGACAAGAGATGAGCTTATGGCAGGACAACTTGTGCCTACTCCGCCATGACACCTCTCACAGTGCCATGAGCACCTGACAGTTCCCGGTCGAGAAGAACATGGCCATGCTGGAGCAATCTGGCACAGTGGTTGGGAATCATCTGCACATTAGATCAAGTTGAGCCGATGGGTTGCCTGCCAACAACGCATAGGTCATCTTCATTGATCCTGCAAGAAAGTATTTGACTTTTTCAAAATTGCCCAAATGTAGATTTGAGTGAACCACTGATGAACAGGATCAAAGTGATCAATATAGAAACAATCTACAGGGGGTAAGAGGAAAAATAGAGTAATAACTATGATTGATAACGATGTGTAATGCAGATCCTCATCCACACTCACTCAGCACAGCGCACAGGACAGGCTGAACCAATTACTCTAAGTCTTGACAATGTGTCCACAAATGCAAACTGCCAAGCTGAAAAATTCCAGCCGGGGAGGTTATTTCAAAATATCCTTTGGCTGTGATGACTATAATTTCCAACTGTGGACTTTTCAACTGTGACAAAGCACAAATCTGGGTTGATACACGACAGTGTCTGCTTCACACAACTTGTAGACAATGCCGATTCAAACAGGTTAGAAGTTCTTGTAGATGTGATAAAAGTCATGAAATCTAGGGGCCAAATAGCTTTTGAGCAATAAGCCGCATAAAGAGACCGTGGGTTGGATTTAACAATAGCATAGGAAATGATAGGTGAGGCGAGCGAGGGCTGGAAAGAGGGACGGGCCTGGCAGCAAGATGCATGTGGATGCACTGAGCGGAACGCAACATATTTTCCTCGTCTGGAAGAAAGGGGGACTTGTAAGGATTCGAGCGGCTGTCTCGTCTGGTTTGTCCATCACCTTTCATCTAAATCGCTTCGCAGGCAACAGGATGATGCTGCCAGCCAGATTGGGTAATGAGACGCTGAAATGTTTGTTTGCTGGTGTATGGCAGAGTTTGCATGTGGGAGAGAGATGAGATAAAAGGGGCTATTGTAGCAGCATGACATTATACTCATGGTTTTCATCTCATTATGACCCAGTTATGTCCTGTTTACAGTGTCATATTTCTGCGAGAACTTTATGCAAATATATATTGATAGAGAGAGAGAGATTTTTTTTCCCCACATCTTGCAGGTGCTTTGCCAACCTAAAGTAAACTTGAAGCAGGTGGAATCACCTCATTTCCGAGAAGTTGAAAACATGAGCTGGAAGCAACATGAATGGACGCTTTTGTTTTGAGTTGACATGCTATTCAGGCTGCCTTTGGAACTCATGCGTCCAGTAAGGCACTGTTGAGGAATTACGCCGGATGAAGAATTTGCTAACCAGGATTATGAGGTAGCACACATGCCTGAGTGAGTACAGTATGAATTCTGGAAGTTTTTTTTTTTTTTAATATTAATTGACATTGCTACATTTTAATGATGACTGACAGAGTGATTTTTGATGAGGCACTTCATAGTTCTATCGACCCATAATATGACCGTCAGTGCATTTAATCTCTCGAACACGAGTCCTTTTATTCAAGATCTGTACAAGGCGATCAGAAACTGGTTCACGTGTATGAAAGTGTCTGTACCGCACTGACACTGACGTGCACGGGCGCTGTCATAAAAGCCATCTGGTCGAGTCTCTGGTTCCACCTTTCTGCGGCCATTCAGGCAGACATCTTGCACACATCTGGTCTCCTGCTCAATGAGGAGTATTCGTTGTGGCACAGCAGATCGGCGGTCTACTTCTCCCACTGGAAACATCATTCCTTAGAAACCTCAGAAACCGCTGTAACCAGTCGCTCCCAACAGCAGTCCAGCTCAAACTTTTAAGGCAACGCGAGGATGAAAGTTTTCAAAATGTATCAAGATTATACTGCAATTGCTTTGTAAGACCCTGCACGAGGCTCATTCAAAAAAAAAAAATGACCCTACCAGTACAGAATCACATAAATAGTCCTCAAATATGATATTGAGTGAAATCAATTGATTAGAATTTATTATTCCTCTGTACATTTTATGTTACGTTAGCTACTTTGCTACCTATTCAGTGGTTCTTTGTCATGTTGATATTATTACATATGCGCCGGTAAAGCAACAGACACATTAGAAAGCTCAGTGAGGATTTAAAACACTTCTATCCAAGCATTAATTGTGGTGACGATTACATTTGGAATCTTAATTGCGGTGCGTCCAAATACAATAGCGACACAACAGACGTTTCTTCGCCAATCGGTCTGCTTTCTTCAATGTTTTTGTTGGTGTAGTTTTCCTAAGTGACTCATCATCTGTTTCATTTCCTCCGTTTCCTCTTTGGCCCCGGCCATGGGAAAAGATGAGAAGGACCAATAGTGGGCTTCTTCTCCCACTCATCCTGGGGGATGCCTTGGAAGATAGAGCAAGAGTTCGCTCCCTTCCTGTGGTATTTCTCTATTCCATCATTTATAATTATGGCACCAGGAATGATCAAATCACCATTTTCTGTGGAAATTCCCACTTTTATTTCAACAAACTCCCCCCCCCCCCCCCTCCATCATTCCTACAGCATGCCATGCTTTTGCCATTCTGGCTATTCACACCTGCTTCACCATCAAACAACTCACAGGGAAGAATGTGACTTGAAGCCTCTTTTAGTACCCTCGGATAGTCGCCGAAGGTTCTCACATGGGATTTTCTGTCGTCAAATGGAGCACAAGTTAAAAAAAATAATCTACTGTAGGTCGGGCAAGTAACTCTGCACGAGGATGGGGAGGAGAAGGGGCTGGGAGGAGGGAAAATAGTCAAGGAACTCAGTAGGAGAATAAAACCAGCTTGAGGCCAGACAGTGACAACAATGTGGACACCGCTGTATGGAATATTGATTTATACCCTAATTCATGGATACTTATAACTCTTTTTGGGACTCTGTGAGAGGAGTAAGATGGTATGTGGGCTGCATGTGCAACATGATAGAACAAAACGAAGAATGTCGAATGTATTAGCCACATCTATTGCTTTTCTAACACATGGCGTTATTTTCATAATTTCATCATTCAAAGCATACGTTTCTTGAATTTCTTTCATGTTTGGCCTCCCTTAGCAGATGTGATTTCTCTTTAAAAGTCACAGTCCAGACTGTGCGGCTGGTGGTGTCTATTTTCAGAAACTCATGGCCCGCTCTGAAGCACATAACCGGCCCAATAATGACAGGTTGCTGTGTAAGGCTGCGCATTTGCACGCATTTAAAACTCCTCTCGGGCTTTGGGTGTGTTCCTTGAAATGAGCGAGGCTGGTGGGAGGTGGCGGGAGCATATGTGTGTGCATGTGTGAGTCACACAGACAAGACACGCACCGGCCCCGGCCGCCCTCTCCCATCGTGTGTGACTGCGTGGCGTGCATGAGGCCGTGAGTGTTGACAGCCAAGTGGGGGCTGGCAGGAGAGACGTGAAGGCTCCGGTGTCAGAGCACGGTCTGTTCTCTCTGTCACTGGGTCCACTCAGACTTAGAACACACTGGACGGGATTGTCACATAAAGCGGTTTCGCCCGGCATTCTCATCTGGAGTGACATCAGATGCAGACACAACGCCCTGTTGTCTCAACCAGTCCAGGCTAAACTTAGAAGGCCAGCAGCTGTGAATGGTTTGGGGCTTTTTAATGCATTTCTGTCAGTCACTGATGCCAGAATATAGCAACAAAGTGCTTGGGCATTTGGTTTGCTGCAGTAGTCATGTGATGTTGTGCCATGTAGCTGATGTGGTCGTTTGGTGAGTCTTGGAAGATCACTGTCATCTTTTATGAAGAGAGCCATCCACACTGATGTTACTGTGAATCAAATCAAAAACAATCTTCTTGGCTGGCTCCATTTTAACAAAGGTCAGGAACAGAACATCTACCCTCAACGGTTCAACCTTAATGTATTGCTCACAAAAAGAAAACTAACTGTCCCAAAAACTTAGAACAGCCAATTCCGAGCCTATGAATCACTTAAAACTTCAGAGTTCTAACCGCTTTCGTAACTGACATCCCACACACGTATATCATTCAAGGCCTCAGGGTTTAACTTATTTTTACACTTGTATGACAGAGAAGTGAACAGTAATTCAACGCCTTGGTGATAAAATGCTGATTCCATAAGGAAAAATACAATCATTTTGAGGACTTGCATGTGCTTGGCAGGTTGTACTTTTGCTTTTTTTTTTAAACTGGGTGCTTAACATGAAGACAGCTCTGCTTCACGAAATCCATACCAGCCGTTGCCTCAGCAGTCTGAGAGACAGGGCCTCGCCCTCAAAACCGGCACCTGGCTGATTATATGAATTACCAAGAGTCAAATAAGGTTTTCTGTCCTGATTGTCGGAAAAATCAGCGAGTGAAAAATGCAGCTACTAGTTTTTAATATTATACTTTGGAGCAGGAACATGGCTGTTTATGCATCCACATATGGCTGCTTGAGTCATGTCTGGATCTCGGCAATGATTGTTGCCCCTTTTTTTTTCCCCCCCTCTCTTCTGATGTGACCATGATGTGCAGACAGCCAGGTGTAATCTTTAACATCTGTCTGCAGACATAGTTTGTATCTGTGTGAGTCATCTTGGTGAAGGTAAAAAAATGTGATGTGGCCCTCATGTGTGAAGCACCTGCAAAGCAAGTCTGGGATTGCAAAAGAGCAATGCGCCACTTGTGTTGTCAAATCTGCGTTCATCATCAAGAATTTTGCTTGGATTGAGGCGTAAAATCAGTGTCACCGTTCTACCCAACAGGCCCTGGAAAAACAATCCCCCAGTATAATAGGCAGCGTCACGTGGGTTTATAACTGGGGCATGAGGCTCTCTATGGAAGGCACTGTTCCCATTGTAGTACAACTGTAGTGGCAGGATTCCCAGCTCTCTCGTTTATATCCACTCTTCTCTTTCCATGTGCATCTTTCGGCGCGTTGCCTTCAGGAGCATCAGGTGTCTGATAATTCGGACATCAGCCCAGCAAACATGGAACGGAGCGGCGGGGCTCAATTGGAGCGTGGCCGAGAGACACACCAAGTCCTGCAGGTGAGTCATTTGTCATTTTAGGGACAATTAAATACAAGTGGGACGAAATCGGGATCATAGCTATTTGCCACAACCGGCAAGCTTCAGTGGTGTTCTACTTTATTATAAATACTGTCGCTGTTGTGCTTCTCCTTAATTATAAAGACTTACTTGATTCATTCCAATTCATTTTGCTTGCACAGGGTACTCCTTTAGACCTGATTGAAACCGGCAAGTCTCTGAAAGTCCAGGCGGAGCGCCCTCACCTGGTCAGTTTGGGAAGTGGACGCTTGAGCACAGCAATCACATTGCTGCCACTGCAGGAAGGTAAAAATGTGTGTCTCAAATGAGTGCTACAATGTTTGTTGTGATCACGAATCAGTGTCAATAATATTTATTGTGCACAAATCCACAAGTTATCACTTTTTGGGCCCTTTGGTTGTTTTATTTAATGTGTGAAATATTATATCTAACTACTTACATGGTTATGTCTGTTGCTCATCCGTATCATACAAAACATATTTGTACCTAAAAGCATGCTAATTGTCTGTTGCTCATCCGTATCATACAAAACATATTTATTTGTACCTAAAAGCATGCTAACGACATGTACTGTATGCCCAGATATGTGTGGAAGTCACAGTGCTCGGGAAACAAAATGCAGCGGGTGTCTTTCCAGAAAAGAGACTCACTTCCGAGAGCTCCAACTTTCCAAAACAGACTGAGTCAATCAAATGACATCAGACACTACCATCCTTATCGCTCCAGCGTACCACCTGTCACGCCGCACTCAGCTACATGTTGACGATATTTGTAACCTGCCCGTGCGGTGTCGACCTCTGTTACGAGCGGGCTCCGGCGTTGGCTTTAAGCGGCATGCCTAAGAATACATCACAAAGGTATTCACGGGTGCATGTGGACCACCAGTACGTGACGTTGGAAAAATGTTGTTGTTGCAGGGAGAACCACACTGGGCAGCGGAGGCACAGACATCTCTTTACTGGGCCCCGGAATTAAAGCTCAACATTGCTACATTGAAAACAAGGAGGGGACTATTACCTTGTACCCATGTGGGAACCAATGCGCCGTAGATGGACTCCCCGTCACCAAACCCTATCGTCTCTCACAAGGTAGAAAAAGCCTTGCCAAAGTGACACGTGCAAACATAAACCAAGTGTTCAATATAAATTGTCGTCTCATGAGTGTCGCAGTTCGGGCACTTAACGTTTACAATAACATGCCTATGTACAGTAGAAAGGGCATCAGCACAATCCCGCCCACACAGTCGAACCGTTCCTTGGGACCTGAGCCAGCAGCTACACCCAATGTCATTTAAAGCCAGCTATGAGTCGACGTGTGTCGAGGCAGCAGCTGCTCAACAAAAACTATTTTTTTCATCCAGAGGACTAACATTTCAAGAAACGAGGAATCTTTTTTTTTTTTTAATTTGAACACAAGGAAATAAGTTTCATTTATGCCATGTGGATATTTAATGCCCTTTTGTTCCCTTTGTGGAATATCCATTGGATGTAAACTATCATCTCAGGACTTTGGAAACGCTGACCAAGGAGTCATATTCACTCACTGATTAATTATATGTGAGTTTAAAAAATTTTGATCATCAAAGACTTTGGCAAGACAGTTTAAAGAGAATAACAATTAAAATTAAACAGCATGCTTTTTTTTTTTTTGCTCACTTACCTGAGGTCAGATCACAACATGAGGTACAAATATGTACTATAATGAGACCCAGAACTGTCTGAAAAGTTATGCCATTTCCAAGAAGATAATCCTCACTGTGAGGTAAAAGATTGTGGTGCTTTATTAAGTTGGATGAGAGGAGTGAAACAACAAATGAGTAGAAATAATAATTGAACAGTCAACAATCTATTTTCCATCTGTCTTACATAGTTTTTTCTAAAGGACGTGTGATCTGGAACTATAAGTTTCACTGGCCATTTAAATAGCTTTTTTTCCCTTTAATGTAAATGAACAAGTTTGAATTGAGCTATACATAAACTAGAACTAATGCTCATTCAAGTATCGTAGTTGTATTTAAGGTGACATAAGCAAACCATTTAAGATGACGTGATGCTTGCTTGCTGCTACCCTCGTGATCTTTTTCTTTTTTTGACAGGCTGCATGCTGTGTTTTGGTCAATCAACCTTTTTCCGCTTCAACCATCCAGAAGAGGCCCTGAGGATGAAGAACATGCTACCAGGAGGAAGCCCAGCACTATGCACATCAAGAATGCAACATTCTGGTAAAGGATCCATATCCATATTAAAGCGAGATGGCCACAAACAAACGTGACTGATTAGCCTCCCTTGGGCGTTTAGGGCTAACTGACAAAAAAAAAAAAAAAAAAAAAATACATATACATTCATGTTTTTCAACTGTGTTGATTTACTTATTAAGAATAACGCTCAACAAAAATACACTCTTCAAAGCAAGGAATGGTTAACATTCGAAAAATCATTATCACTCTGCTGTGAATTTTTAACTTCCACATCTCCGCTTTATTTGGTCTCCGAATTGGGAAGAACCTCTGGTCGTCATCCACGAGTTGATTCCGAAATAGCTTGTTGAGAACTCATTATCTGCGGCCCAGATTCTTTTGGACCTGGTCCATTTAAATCGCCGCTTTACACTTGAGGTGTGTCCCCGTTGTCAAATACAATCATTCTTTCAGGATGGTCTTCAAACTCACAATTCATGTAGAAAATGCGCCGTTTTTCTCTCATTATGCAAGTACCAGACACTTACCCCCTAATTTAATAATGAACCCAATTACAACTTCCTTTTCTACTTTTACTAAGGCCCGAGTGTGATTGACACTGCCAGAGAGATATCAACTTTGGTTTCTTTGACATTGTAAAAAACTTATTCCTTCAACAATATACATATCATCGAGATTGTAGTTTGCATTGGTGCGGAACTGCACTGCATTATGCCGATAATACGATAATATATTCATAATAATATTTTAGTAACACCTCCGAGTATGATGCTGTGTTCTAAACCACTAACCACATTGATAATTTATCAATACCTCTCAATTTAAAAAAAAAAAAAAAAAAGTATTCATCTTGGACCAAATTAAAGTTGACGTTTAATTCATTGGGGAATGAGTATAACCTGCTCTAAGTCCAACTGTGTTCAACTTTTTTTTTTTTTGTGGTCAGTGACATTTATTTCATTCTTCGCTGGCCTTACTGGACATAAAGAACCGTAAAAGGCACACCCTGCCGAATGTTAGGCCCATTCGTTCCTGACCAAGCCCTGATTTCATGCGAGGCACATGGCTGCAGCGTTTATATTTAGCAGCTTCAGATCCCAGCAGGATTACTACACAACTGAACAGCATAACATCCCGACCACACAACACAGGCCCTGAGACATTTATCACTATCTTAGCCAATAAAGAAACAATGTCTGTATGGGTGCGCAGTCACATTTCCAAGCAGGTGGATTCTTCCTTTTAGGGGCTGCCAAATGTAACGTAAAGTACATTCCTCCACTGTTTGTTTACTTTTGTTTGTGCAACTGTTCTCCAGTGTGCGCCTCGTTGTTTATTTGACCGCAATCCTTATACACAACTGTTTCTTGCTCCGCCCTCCTCCAGACTCCCACAGCATCTTGAATGGGACCCATCAATCTTTTTCCAGCAACGGCAGCTCAAAAATCAGCACCTTAGTGAAGGACACCCACGGGAGTCTCTCACAGAAGGTGCAGTCTTCCCCCCAAACAGCTAAAGCCTTACTTCCTCAGCCTTCTCAGAGTGTGTTTAATGGTAGAAGCAGCACCACGAAAGAAGAGAACAGCAGCTCTGTGGGAAACGCTCCACTTGTACCTCCCCGGTCCAGCATCCCTGTGCCTCAACCACGCACATCCCTCTCCATGACCTCGAGTTGCGCTAGCGAAGGACAGCGAACACAGGACAGCCCAAAGCTTCTGAGGAATGTCAGGGCAGAGGTCACATCAAGCCCCACACTGCTCAGCAGGGGGTCCGGACAGGGCATAAGTCACAACTCTTCACCGGTAGCTCCATCCAGCCCTCGAGTGAGAGGTTCCTTCCTCCAGAAGAGACACCCAAGTCCGAGGCGAGAACCGCTTCGGACTCCTGAGTCGACTGGATCCACGAGCCTTCCTCCTCTGAGTCCTTACATGTCTCGCAGAGGAACTCCAGGATCGCAGAGTTTGACCACCAAAACCATCCAGCAGAGCCCGAAGACCCATCGCAAACCCACAGCCCCCTCTAAGGCTGAGGCCATGAGGGTGTTGTACGCCCAGAATCCATCCCCTGTAACCGCACTGGAGAGTGGAAGCCAACATCAGACTAACACCCTCATCTCAGGTCCTCTGTACGGCTCATCTCCTGCCACGAGCCCCCGCAGCCGAAGAAAGCCCTCTTGCGAGAACATCGGATCATCCGGCAACGACTCCGCGTTCATGAAACCGTATTCTCGGGAGCGCAAGAACAGCATATCTGCCATTAGCGACAATGAGGACGAACTGCTGGAGTACCACCGCTGGCAGAGAGAGGAGAGGCTACGTGAGCAGGAAACGGAGAAGCTGGTAAGTGAGGCACCCGACGGTAGACATTTCATTACAAAATAGTTTTTTCCAGATCAATTGACAACTGACAAGTTTTATTAGTGTGTGTGACTGTGGTCTCCTAATGCTGGCCTCAACTGACAAGTTTTATTAGTGTGTGTGACTGTGGTGTCCTAATGCTGGCCTCTCTAGAGCTTAAAAAAAAAACAAAAAACAAAAAAATAAAATATGAAATGAAAAAAACAAACCCAAAACACTATTTACACTATTGTCAGTCTTAGCGAAGCTATTGACACTGACTGACACCCGCTCCCCAAAAGTCTTTCGAGTGAGCATACTGTAGCCGGTTAATACTCAACACTATATTTACTCGCAATGTGAAATGGCGTTTATGCTTTCCAAGCAAGCATATGTTTGCCATATGAAACAGTCCCAGACTATAGATGACATACTTGCTCTTCGTCATCCATCTATGCATGCCCGCCATAGCCCCCCCACACCACCACCACTCCAGCTGGCTTTTGACAGCTGAGGTGACCACAGGGGCCAGGGGGCGGGTGATAGTTATTTCAGGAACTCCGAGGCCTCTGATGACAAATAAGACTTACCGGCAATACGCAATTGAATCAGGCAATTTACGGGCTAGGACGGACGGGCACGCAAAAACGCAAAGGCCATACACGTCACACTCATCAGCCAGGACGTTAAGTGGTTGCTAAGTTTTGACGGGTACAGTCATGCATTCACGAGAAGCAATTGATTAAACGTACAGCTGTCAAGAAACTAAATAACAAATTGAGGGGGGGGGGGTCTTGTTTTATGGACTACATACAATTAAATTATGACACTGTACACATTGTAAGACTCTTGTGTTTGTGATCTATATTCAACATTTGCTTGGGATTGACTACTCAGCTGGATTTTTCCCCATTCTGGCTGCATTGTCAGTCCAAATAAACAAAGAAATGTTTATTTTTTTAAGCAGTAAACTTCCCCACTCTGTGCTTATTTGGAACCTTAAGCGCCGAATAGAGGGGAAACAATTTGCAGGAAATATTTTCGTTCCGTTGGGACTCGTTAATAATTTTACGACCAAATGTAGCATCTCGGAAGAAATCAGGAAAATACATTTGTTTACTCACTTGGTATGGAGTTGCACACCATGGTGGCTCAAAATTTGAAATGGATTAGAAGCATGATGCACGATACAAAAAGTGTAATGGGACATTATAGTTTATCATAGTAAATATGACTGAATCGTGAGAAAGCAAATTTGTATGTATAAATGTCCAACATTGCTCACATCATTTCATTTCATCCACTATTAACATCTTCAAGAGAAAAAAAAAGCATAAGGACATATGAAAACGAGTGAAGTGAGGACAAAGAAAGGATTTCCTCTTAGTGTGCAAAGCATCTGGGCTGGATATGCACATTGCACTTCACCTTTTGATAAAAGCAAAGTTCAGCGCAAGGGAGAAAGTAACAGAATAGAAAAGTTAATTTTAGAAATAATCACAACAGGGAGGTTGTCAAACTTGCAACGGAGTCTGAATAGTTCAGCTCACATAAAAGGACTCGCAATTCTTAAACGAAGGCTAAATGTGACAAGCCATTGAATCCAAAGAGGGCTCAATCTTCATGACCTATTTATTTAACATTTCGGCTCACCGCGTGTTTAAGATGTCATTTTATGACCACTTTTTAGAATAAAACAAGACCTCAGCACTTTGAATTGTTAATTTTCTTCTCAGTTTGATGGTGATTTGAACAAACCATATCACCTAAAAGTCAGCTGCCTGAAACTGGACGTTTGTTTTGCTGGTCCGGTTGCTCTTGCCTCAGCTCTAATTTGCGTGCGGCGGGAATGATAATGACATATTCTGGTCTCCTATTTTGGTAAATGAAGGCCTTTGCAATTGTTTGCAGTGATGAAGGTCACCTGACAGTCACTTGAACGCTTCAAAGGGCACTTGGGACTTAAAAATATCAAGTTTGCACCTTTATTAGACTACCCATGCTTCGTATAGTGTCTTTATGGCAAATTATAATCAAGCCTTATTGTTAATTTTGTTCTCATTTTATATCTAAAACAAATATTAGTCCTAACAAATTCAAACGGATTTCATTATGCTCGCCCCCTCCCAAGACAAAATACACCGTCTTAGGGCCTCCCGCTATTGCGTTACAGCCGTCTAGCCGCTGTGGCATTGCGACAGCTGCTCAAATGGGACAGTGTCTCTCAAGTGCAATAGGATCTACTGTATGAACCGAGTCTGAAGCCCTTTTGATGTCTCGCCCCTCTTGTGTAGGAGCGACAGAGGCTGGAGACCATCCTGAATTTGTGCGCAGGCTATAACCATGAGGACAGCGCGGCGGAGCTGGCGGAAGTCGTGAGGAGCGGGCTGCTAAGAGGGGGAAGAGGTGCAGGTGGTGACATGCAGACGGGGAAAGAGAACGATGAGGAGGCGCAGGCAGAGGAGTCGAGCAGCACCGAGAGCACACATCAAGAGGTGCCCACTGCACTCCCGAGTGTTATTTCCATTCAAGCCGATGGATCCTTTGCGTGGTTTATACTCCCTCGCGGGATTTTCTAACAACTTTTTAATTCCAAATCTGACCTTAGTGTGAGGAGTTGTCAGCCGGTCAGGAGCAGATGTACCTGGAAGAGGAGAGGACCAAGATGTTGTCCAGGGTGGATGACCTGAGGCACAGAGTCAACGAGCTGGAGCAGCAGCTGAAAGAAACCAAACGAGAGGTCAACGCTCACCCGCTATTGATTTTCTCTGTGGCAAGGCTAGCCCCCTTCCTACGCTCAGACCAGGACTCCTCACGCGTCCCCTCAGGTGGAGATGGAACAGGCTCTGCTGCAGGCCGAGAGGCAGGCAGAGCAGGAGCAGGCGGACGCCGAACGGGAGCTCATTTCTCAGCTGCAGCTCAAACTTAGCCAGTTGAACAAGGCCACGCAGAGCGAGAAGGACAAGGTTTGCACTCTCAGCCACAACACTTTGAAGCTGAATAAAAACCACACCACTATAAAAAAAATGGATGCATGTGATTGTTTGGTACTGTATGCGCTGAAAACCTACTCGAATGCCACGGTCTCAAATTTCATCTGATTGTTCTGGGATTGATAACAAAGCAAAGCTGTTCTCGCATTCCGAATGACTGACAAGTTTCCTCGCGTGCTTCACTGTATTCCACTAACGCTTAACTGCTGATTGAGACCTTTGTGCGCTTTTTTCTTTCCATCCAATGGGCAACATTACTGTTACATTTCAACTTTTAACAATATGACAACGTGCTTCATTCTACTTACTTAAACTGCCTTGGCCAGCAATGCTTGGTTGCATGAATTTGAGTTGTCTTTTACTGTTTTGTTTTTTTTTCAGATTACTGTGTGCACACCTGGGATGGGCATTTGTACATCATTTCTTGAGCGATAAAAAGGGAAGATTTGGGTGTCAATATATATTATAATTTTTATTTCATCATTATTTTCGGATGGCATAAAATTCTTATCAGTTTCCAGAATGAAGCTTTCCAAACAGAAATGACGTGATTGAATGAAAGCTTTAAAAAAATAAAAAAAATCATTAAAAATCTCAAATGAATGGCAAATGACAAGCCTCATTATCATCGTTGACAATTACATTTTTTTACTTCATTTAAGTATTTGTAGTTCAATGAATTCTGCAGCACGCTGGAAGCGCTTTAAATGCTTGCGTCCTCTGCTGGTTACTTCTGGGTATTGCATTCCTCTCGGCTAAATTGCATCTGTCACTAAACCGAAATTTACAACTGATAAGCAGACTTATCATGCCCATTCCGAGTGTGTACACAATTTTTCTGAGTGTGTGTTTGTGTGCGTGTGTGTGTGTTTCCATGTGTTTTTAGGGGAGAGCTAATGTCTCGACTGAGCGGAAGGTCCTGGAAAAGCAGAGGAATGAGTACAATGAGCTGAAGAGGCAGTTTGATAGTTGCCCCTTGTCTCTAAGAGAACAGTTACAGGAGCAGCTCAGCAGGGTCAGTGTTCTCACCCAGCCCACTGGCTGGCAACAGTGAGTTACCATATACTGAACACCAAAAAAAAAAAAAAAGAAAAAAGAGCCACATGCAGACAGAAATAATATTATCGATAATATAGTCGGAATAATATATGTGCTCTGATTTCTTCTTCTGTTCTGCCTATCATTCTTTAAATATCATATTAGTCAATGCCTTTTGTAAGTATGATGCTGCAGGCTATGCTTTGGCGACTCAAATCCGCTTTACATTTGCTGGTTCCCTCTCTATCAGAATGAAAATCAAAATCGGTCTGTAATCATTCATCTTACTAACACGTTTGCTCTAAAACTGTGCATGCACGATAATACAACAACTCCCTTTAATCATTTAAGATATACAGGCTCTACTAGGAGGTCATTGCATGTAATGTGGCCGTACAATAATATGTAAATACTCGCCCCCTGGTTTGGTAGCAGGATTCATCACATTTTCGTCACCTTGTAAATGCAACAATTTTGCACAGTGGCAGGGATTAACAGTTGGATGCTGCTTGTTGATTGCTAATAATTCTTTGCTAAATATTTGATTCAACCCTGTGTCTGTGGTTGAATAGAAAGCTGAAGCTTTGGAAGCTGGCACAAAGCAATTTGAGGAACTGGAGTTCTGCCAGCTGGAGGAGGAGAGCAGTCTGGAGGAGCGAAAGGAGACCCAGTCGTTGCAGTTTCTTCGGGAGCAAACCGAGTATCACTGCAGCGTGGCCAAGAGGAAGGTGAGAAGTGGAAGAAACGTATTCTCACTGACCGCATGTTGAAAAAGAGAGCCGTCGTCGCAAATGCATGTTTCAGCAAAAACACAAGGAGCAAGCTGCTATCGGCCACGGCTCACACGCACCTGCCCAGGTTCCGCCTCTTAAAGACATGCTTGTACCTTGCACAGACATTACAATACATACGTTATTTTTCTGCAAGTTTTAGGCTTTTTTTTGGAGGGTGATCCAATATTTTTACAACGTGGTTAAAAAAGTATGTTTCAAAAATGTATTTGAGTGGTGTGGGAATGGATGGTCTCTCTCTACATCATGGATGCTGCAATTGAATTTGTCATTTGACATGCTGCAAGTACACAGCAACGCAATTTGATTGACTACAGTTTCAACCCGTCCAAGGGAAACAAAAACAAGACCGTGATACCTAAAACAGGGAGACAGGAACAGGAATCTGACAGGTGGACAGATGGTGCCTCGATTTCTTAGATAAACAGTGGAAAACACTGAGAGGGGGGGAGCGTTTCACCGCACTACATTAGCAACTTTAGTATGCCTGACATGACATCTCTTCTCAGGAGAAAATGGCTACTTTGGATGCTCAAGTGAAGCAACTAGGCGTACAAGCCACTCACGACTGTGACAGGATGGCGAAAGAAAGGGAGACCACTCTGCAGCTGTTACACAAGGTTCCAATAGAGCCGCTCAAGCCGCAAGTGAGAATTCTGTGGCAAATTATGCACGCTATCATTTTCTTCTTCGTAGGAGCAGGACAGGTTGTGCGCCCTGGAGAACAGATACCACAGCATGACCGGTGGTAGGAACTTCCCAAAGAGCAACAACAAAATGAAAGAGGTGAGTGAGAGCGAAAGAAAGTGCAAGTGATGGGAGGGCTACACTAAATGTTGATTGTTTTAACTCAGCAACCTTTTCAAACAGGATTTACTCCATATCAACGAACCCGAGCTTGTTTATGAGGACTACCCCTCTCATAGCCCTTGTCCTTCCTCTACCTTACACGTCCCTCCCTCTGAAGTCTACCCTGTTAGGCTGCAGGAGGTAAAAGCAAACGGGAAAAAAGTTGTCAAGAATTAACAGAATATGAAATGACTTCCAAGCATGTTCATTTTAAAAGTAGAAGCCAAGTGTTTGCTTTCTGATTGGTGGCATGCCTTATCTACAAAGTACTACACAAGATTAGGTATACCAGCACAGTGAAATGAGATTCGATACAAGAGCTGTGTATATAATTTAAAACGTTTTGATTGACATTCTCATTGTTAGATTCAAACGTATGACACAGTTTTTGTCACACCGGATCAATTGAATGAACCTCGTGCTGCGCTGTCTGGGGTGTTAATCTTAGCATTAAGATTGACAGACGAAGCTCGGTGGGTCTTTTGAATACGCAAAAATGTAATTCCCTTTGCCGAGTTTGACGGCATACTTTACCTGAGTGGCAGTTTACAGCATGACGACACTTGATTGAAGACTGGACCAGTTTGCTGAAGTGCTGCTTATTGTAAAGCGAGATAGAATGCTTCTATCTCATGTCTGCGCAAGCCAACCCAAAACTGTCACGTTGCGTGACGGTAGAGGACCACAAAATACAGTAGCAGGCAGGCGGGAGAAGTAGGGTGGACTGAACAAAATGTATTCACAAAAAACACTGGAAAAAAAAACTAAATCCAAAACAAACAAAATCCTGAAAACACCAAGAAACAAACAAACAACGATGTGACCTACGAGTAGTGGGCGTGGCCGTCCTTTTGAAAGAACCTCATGACGTGACGACGAACAGGTGCGATGCTGTGGTGCAGAAGAAGCCCTGTACTGCCACCTGTTGGTCACAAGCAGAACAGAACAATCACGACAAAAACATCCCGAAAAAATGTGCGTTAAAAAAAAAAAAATTAAACACTGGTCTATATTCGTCTCGGTGATATGCTATTTGATGTACATTAAAAAAACTGTTTGACACAGCTCTTGTATCGGATATCATAATCTGTGCCTAAAATAGTGGCGAGCTGGGTTGATCTCTGCTTCTTTCTGGCTGTCGATGCAGGAGTACCTCAGGATGTCTGATGTCTATAAGATGTATGGAAACGCTTGCGTGCACCCTCCCTCTTCTTCCCCTGCTGCCCTTGACTCCCTTCCCCTTGCTGTAGCTGACGCTGTGCCATGTGAGGTAGAAAAGCCTGCCTGATCTCCGCCATAAGCTTCGTGCTCTCTCCCACTTGATGAGGCCTTTCTAATGGAAGCCTCCTCCTTTTCCTCTACTTTCTGCTCCTCTCCCTTTTTCTTCTCTCCCTGGGTGTCCGTGTGAAGGACTACATCACGGTCGGCCAGTTAAGCCACATTATTGGCGTGCGGAGGTTTGATACTCCCTCGTCCTCATCTATTGCATTATTCCAACTTGCCTCCTCTGACTCCACATGCCACTCGAGTGGCCCTACCTCCCTTCTCTCTGTAAAGGTTTGTTGCTTCCTCCAGCCCTTATGTGTCATTATTTCTCAAAAGCTTGTTGATTTTCCCGTCCTACTATTTCTGCCTAAATGACTGGCCCGCGTTGATGTCAGCACACCTGCCGCTTCACTGCATCTTTTTGGCCGGTCTGCTTTTCATCACTTCAGAGTCAGCCTGAGCTAAGCAGGAATGCAATGCCTCCTATTAACCTTGAGCGCTGGTACCAGGAGATCATGGCTGCAGGGGAACCTCGATCATGTCCTCCACCGTTGCCCGCCAAATCTTTTTCTGCACGCAGGCATGGGCAGGTAAACTCCTGATTTGCACGGTCTTACTGCTTCTTGTACCGTAATCGGTGGTCATGTTAGAATCGGCACCAAAAGCAAGCTCAGTGAAAACAAATATAAGCACAGCACTCTGCATTTGTTGTTGTAGAGTGAGGTGCAAACGGCAACAGCAATGCCGACAAGGCCCCAACATCAAGGTGATTCGATTCTTTTGATGTCTCGTCAGTATAAGAGGAAAGGAAGAAATCAACTGAAAACGTCACCGTGCATTGACAATTTGTTTTAATCCTGCAAAAATGAGTTTCTGTTCTTGTCAGGGATTGTTGTCGTGACTTTGTCCAATAAATTATTCGATTTTAATGAGACTGTTGTCATAAGACCTTTTGGATGGAATATTTTTAAACATTTTAATTGCTTAAAGCCGTTTTTCTCCAACAGGGATTGTTCACAAAATAATTGACTATAAATTATATTGTATCCTGAGAAAATGCAATAAAGATATATCTATTTAAATATATAGGTGGTTCTTCTCCGCTGTAGTGTATTTGTGAGCTCTTCCTCATTGTGTGACGAAAGGCAGCTTTTGTCCTTTCAGTTGCTGAAGTCCAAATCAGACGGTGAAGTTGGTCACACGGCATCATGTCCTCCTGTCAGCTCTGCGCCCACTGCGCCTCACGCCACTCTTACGCGTGATAAAACCTCCAAGGTGAGAGCGCTGCGTTCAAACGGAACCGCATGGATGGATGTCAGCCGTTCACACTGCAATGCTTCTCTCCGTCTCTTAGGGATTACAGTTAATGCTGAAAGAGGTGTCAAACCCATTGGACATGGACTCCAGGAAGCTGCATAAAGGTACTTTGACTCCATCAGTCTTCAGGCAAAGGCGATTTTGACCCTCATTGGAGAAATGGACAACTTTACTTTGCGTTGGAATAGTCTTGACACGATCCGTGGAGAGCGCTATACTTTCGATGACAGCTGTCTGCCCACTTTCCTCTTGCGCAGAGCCGTCTCCCACAGTACATCACTCGATCCTGCATCATCAGTGTCCCCCTAGCGGCAACCAGGCATATGACACCTTGAGCCTGGAGAGCTCAGACAGCCTGGAGACCAGCATCTCCACCAGCAACTCAGCATGCACCCCGGAAAGGTGAGACTCTGCCCATCCCCTGAATTGCAGTTAGGACAGTTGTGTTATCTGCTTTGGTACTTGCATCACAATGCATTGTCTGTTTTTTTTCCCACTAGTGCTTCCGGGTTGGAGACCCAGAGGTTAGAAGAGATGGAGAAGATGTTGAAGGAGGCACAGCAAGAGAAAGCCAGGCTCATTGAGAACCGAGTAAGCTATGAAATGTTTTCAATTCGAGATTGTTATTTACCTGTGAAGTGACACATCACATAAGAACATGTGGTAGCTTAGTACTTGCTCAAGTGCAGGGATAGGCAACGGGCGGCATGCGGCCCACAATCTCACTTTGAGTGACTCCTTTTAACTTTTTCGAGGGGGCGACATTCAATATATACTATACAGAATATGTTTTCAAGAAAAAGGTGAGGAAGTGGGAGTTTTTGAGCGGGGGTCTTGGAAAACACCCACCCAAAAAAAGAAAAAAATAAATCTGTGAACATGCAAATCCACAGGTGCTGAACTGCGAATATGCAGAGGTTAACTGTAGTTTTAAGTTGTAATACTGTATCACCAATCACCTCAAAATGGCTGACGTGTCTTAGTTGTGTGTCTCGTACTACCCGAATTGCAATGTGAGTCGGCTTCATAATTTTTGCGGATGTGGAATGGAATGCAAGACAAAGTACTCCGCAATCATATTAAAATATTAGATATTGGGCGGAAAAAAAATGCACAAAATTTCTTCTCGCACTTAACTCATTCAGTACCAGCCAATTCTAGATCCTACTTTTTTTTTTTACCCTAAGTCTTGGAAAAAATGGAAAAAAATAAGTATCTGCGGTTGAACGTGTGGAGTGTGAAAAGACATATAAATATGTCTTTGGGAGTGAATGAGTTCATGTTTGGTCGTTTCTTGTCTGGCAGTATAGTGCCGTCTTTGAATGGTAATTTTTATGCAAGAAATCCCTTTGCACTGGAAAAAAAAATGACGGTATGTGGCTGTTTTTTGTTTGCTTCAAACCCTTTGTTGTTGGATCACGATAGTGGACCTTTCATACTGTGTAGCGCCGAGGAAAAACTGTGGTCCCTTGCAGCATTTAAATCGCCAATCCTCACTATGCTGAATGTTCAAACCCAAAACCTCCGCGCTGTCAGTCACACGTGCTTAACACTCACCCATCGTGCTGCTCTTACATCTTTGAAGTACCCGCGACAACTCTTCGCCATCGAGAGAGGCTGTCTCAAGGTGGCGAAACGCTGTTGTAAGTTTTATTTTGCGTCTTTGAATTGTTTCCACATGTTGACACAATGTACAATCACCCGTAAGTCTGTAAAAGCAGCAAAGGATTATTTTACATCAGCAAAGCATAAATCTTTTATACACAAGACTTCAGGGATGTATTTGACAAAGCCCGCCATTGGGATTTCAACTCTCATGTGGCTCCGATTCACTTTGTATTGCAATATTTGCCTACCATGAACATGTTCTTCCCCCACTTTTTCTCCCTCTCGCTCTGTTTTGCGTTCTCCTCCCCCGATCTGCTCCTCGACGCTCCCAGGAGAGGGAGGCGCAGACTCGGCGGCTTCTGCTGGAGGAGGAGCGGAAGAGGCGCGAGGAGGCCGAGAGGCGGCTTCTGGATGAGACGGCCCACAGGAGGAGGCTGGTGGAGGAAGAGGTGAAGATGAGGGAGAAACACTTTTCGCAGGTCAGTGGAGTCACGGGAAACGGGATGAGAACGTGAAAGGCAAAGCGCAAAGACTGATGGTAGCACTGACAAATCTAGAACATCTACATTCATATTCTGATTTCTTTTCAGTGTCTGGCACTCTCGAATGATGAACAAATATTGTCCAAACAACAAAAAGAAAAACTCTCATCCCAAATATGCATAATAAAAAGAGATGTAGAATCAAGTCTATTACATTTGAACGTTATTGCTAAAATCAAGTGCCACGGGGCCTTTTAGTCTCTGACATCTTCACTTCATTCGATAAACATGGACAATCTAACGAGAGTCACTTCAAGAACTGTAAAGACAACTGGCTGATCAAAAAAAAAATACAGTACTGTGTATAAAATACTCAAACACTATCGAGTCTCATTCATTTTTTTTTTTTTTTTAAACAAACTTAACTTTCGCAACTTAATGTATTTACTGGTGGACAACGAACCCATTAATCAGTGCAATGGTCACGCGACGTCTTTAAATGTAGTAGTCACCAACTGGTAGGGGTGCCATGATGGCATTCAAAGCCCCTGTGGGGGGAAAAAAAATCCAACTTCAGTGCTGTGAATGAGTAAAAAAATGTATAGGACCCCCTCTGTTAGTCATGGGCCCTTAGAGTCAACCCTGACTTTTCTCTCTCCCCAATCTGGTGCCCGCTGGCCATGCGCAACAAATATCAAATGTTTTCCTTTCGCAGGCCCGTCCGATGACGCGCTACCTGCCCAACCTGAAGGAGGAGTTTGATTTGCGAGCGCACGTGGAGTCGTCGGGCCACAGTATCGACACGTGCCCCTTTGTCATCCTCACGGAGAAGATGTGCAAGGGTCATCTGGTCAAGATGGGCGGCAAAATCAAATCGTGGAAGAAGCGCTGGTTCGTTTTCGACCGCCTCAAGAGGAATTTTTGTTACTACGTGGGTAAGCATCTCAATACGTTATCATCTTATATGGGGTTCTAAATTGTATCTAAATGTTTTCCAAGCTTTATAAAACCAAAAAAATCCCCAAATGAAAAAAATAAAGGATGAAAAGAAGTTCTTTTCCTCTCAAAGATCCCAATAAACCCATGAGGGGGATTCATTTAGAAAAGGACTCCGATTAAAGGGATCAAGTGGGATTGCGTTCTTCATTATAAGCTCTCAACTTTCTGGCTGAAAACTTTTGGTCCATACGTGACGAATGCACTTGAGCCTACAGCAACACCGAGGGTGTCCCGGAGCTTGTTATGTTTCTCAATGGTCATCTGGAAGCACGCACTAATTAAAAATGGCACGACGGGAGCTTTTTTTCGCACTTGCGAGTCCAAACTGACGGCGTCAAAACAGCGGCCGCATTTGGAAATGAGAACGGCGAGTTATCAGATCAGAACGGTTCATCGCTGCGTTTGGACGCGTTACTTGACAACCGAAATAATTAGCGCGCGGATCGAAATCACGTGGATCCATGTTCGTGTGCGCGTGAGCTCACTCGTCTAGCCCTTTTCACCCAGCTCACTCCTGACGATGGTGATGATGGTGATGAAATAAGATGCAATGGTTTCCTGAGAAGTGTTTTTCTTGGGTGAAGGCTAGCTCCTGGCTTGTTCGCGACTGATAAAGTGAAACTTGCGTTTGAAAAACATTTATCTCATTACAAAGCACTTTTGATTAGTAGGTTGGGGGGAGGGGAAGGGGGCATTTCAAAAAGTTGCCTCTCATTTTCAGTTTCTTCGTGCATTAAATTTTTTTTTTTTTGCTTATTTGAACAGTAGTTTCATATCAAAACAGTTTTTGTTGACAAAAAGATGTCTAGCTTCCTCCTTGGAGCGTCTTTAGGTTTGACAATGGGTGTGCTTGGCTAAGGGAAAACAAGTCAGATTAATGGGATGTTTAAGACTCCAGGCAAAGCTTGAAATAGACTTGTGCTTGTAATTAACTTTCACCCCAACTCTGCTTGGATTATGTCTTTGGAAAAAAAACTTTTGTGTGTCTCTCTCTCTACCTTTCTATCAAAAATATCTGCATTTACTTTTTGTATTTACTTACCTGTCTGGACTCCCAGAATACTGCACATTTTTTATTTTACATTTGTTTTTAACTTTTTTTTTTTTTTTTTTGGTATCTTGTTTTCTCATCTCTCCCAGATAAGCATGAGACCAAGTTGAAAGGACTCATTTACTTCCAGGCCATTGAAGAGGTTTATTATGATCACTTACGAATTGCTACCAAGGTAACTGTCACTTCTTCATCTATTCCGGACGACTCACTATTGACAACTATGAATGTAAAAAAAAATAAATCAATCAATAAATAAAAAAAGGAGGGTTGAATTTCAAAGTATTTTAAATCGTTTGACCTCAAATCAAAAAAACTGATCTGTCCTTCATAAGGCCACTTCATTAGGTACACTTGCACAGTTGAATGAAGTCCAATAAAAGAGTTGATCATATTTTACCCCCATTTTAAGGGTCAATAAATACTGCATATCAAATGCATTAAAGAAGTTAAAGAGTTAAAACCTGTTTCTTGGCGTTTAAGAGCTCTTGTTGAATTTACATCTTTAATATAATAAATCGTGACAGTATACAGCTCCCACTCCTAAAAAAATCAAAATGGGCCCAATATGCTTTCATTTTTGTCATTGCTGTTGTCTGACATGTCTCAGAGGGTAAAGATGCAACAGGTGCATGTTGCTTTCTTGAAAGACACGAAACAAAGAATCTCACGCTCTCCATGAAATCCTCCAGAGCCCCAACCCATCTCTGACCTTCTGTGTGAAGACTCACGACCGCCTTTACTACATGGTGGCGCCATCCCCGGAGGCCATGCGGATCTGGATGGATGTCATAGTAACGGGCGCCGAGGGCTACACGCAATTCATGAGCTGAGGGACCTGGTGGAAGGATGACAGAGGGGCGCGAAGCCTGAAAGCCAGCCGGCATGCCGCAGCGAGGACGGAAGGTGAAATGCACGTCACAAGGACACCGATGATGCCAAGGCCTGCCGGGCCGCTGAGGGCTTTAACTCCTGACAGAAGTGCACAAAAAGAATTCATGAGGGGGATCAGCCGGCGTGGGGGAGCGCTTTTGCCCCATCCACAGCATTCTCTCTTCACACACACACACACACACACACACACACACACACACACACACACACACACACACACACACACATGTAAAAAAACATATATGTATATATATATATGTTTTTTTTAATGTTGCTAAATCATTTGCAACTTGCTGCCAGGTAATTTGTATACTGCAGCTTTGACATCAGGAAGGTAATTTTGCATCAATATTTTATGAAAACACTTTAAGAAAGTCGACCCTTTGGATAGAAGTGTTGTTGCTCTAAAGTTTTTTTTTTTTTAAATATATATACACTTTTGTATTTGTATTTCCGGTTGTGCTACTTTTAATCATGTCTGTATTCTACACAAATATGTACAAAAGTAATGCAGATTAAATTTTTAAGTCTTATAATATAACTTTGTAACTACATCTACCTATGTAAAAAAGAAAATAAAAATATATGGTGCTTCTTCTCTTCTGTTTTTTTTTTGGGGGGGGCTGATAAAATGTATTTCTTAATTAGTGGGTTAATGATAGCAGTTCTATTAATAACCTAAAGTCATCTCATGAGCTGCATGTGTTCCAATTTAAATAAACACACACACATAAATCTTTAGTTCACCGCAAATTGGCTATTTGCATAAGAACAATGAAGTTATTAAAATGAGTTAACTGGTTCGTTACCTCTGCTGTTGTCGAGTTATTGACCTTGTGAATCTAATTAAAACATCCACCTAATAATTCACTGATCATATCTAAAGAATGCTTAAAAACAAATGAAACTTCAAATAACCTGATGCGTATGATTCAATCGCAAGTAATTTCAACGATGTAAAAGAAATATCAAATACAAAATGTCTTTTCCTTCCTTTCTTACAGCAAATTGCAAATTGCAAAAAAAAAAAAATTGAGCGAATGCTACTATTCCCAAGTGTGATTCTTCTTTTGGTTCTGGTGCAAATCTGTCACTTGTATGTAACTGACAGATTTACACCAGAACCAAAAGAAGAATCACAGACGTGTGGCTTAAGTGTGTAATGAACTCATCGCAGTGCAATATCTGAACAGACGTCAATCACAGAAATACATCTAACAGGTGCTAATTCCATTCCGCACATGAACGGTTACATCCTCCGAATTTGAAGTGAAAACGGTTGCTGATTAATTCATTGAACAAATCTGCCCTCCGTTGGGTTAATGATCCGTAAACCGGGGCGATACAGATACGTATACCCGGGCCTCCGCACACCATTTCCACATCACTTGGCTTTCCTTTGACCTTGGGAGAGGTTTCACACAACTTTGAACCTCATGGTGCAGCCGGCAGAATAACAAACAGATTTTTAAGAGGGACGTGTGAGCTTATTAGCCCGCTTGATAAGTAGGACTGACTCCCAGGCTTATGGCTGGTGAAATACACGCACCGGCCGCAACATTAGGTACGCCCACGTAATCCAATGAATAATCTAATACGAGAGCTTTATCACGTTTATCATGTGATGTAAAGGCTTTTTTTTGGGGGGGCGGGGGGGGGGACAATCAAAACTGAGCCTGATTATCACCGGCTTGCAGGATGAGTCTCACAGGATTTTTTTTAAAAGAGGAAATTATTTGACTGAAAACACCTCAACACGTCTGATGAAATGGAGCTACCATCATCATCAGCTGTCAAAGATTTCCTCTCCGACATCCTCAGCTCAGACATTTGTAACATATAAAGCTCCACATCACGACATGAGATTGGACTCATTTGGGTCATTAAGGAGAAATATATCCTGCCTTGCCCCAGACGTGCCCACACACACACACACACACACACACACACACACACACACACACACACACACACACACACACACACACACACACACACACACCCACCCACACACACACACACGCACACACACACACGCACACGCACACACGCGCGCACACACACACACACACACACACACACACACACACACACACACACACACACACACACACGCCAGATGAAAGCATCTTCCACCAAGCACAGGCAGTACCGTTACCCTCTCCCTTCGTTTGAAGGCGAAGCTAAATAAATGTCATTAATTCAAAACGGGATACACAAATCATTAAATCACAATACAAGAGACCTGTTTTTGGATTTCATGGCAACAACGTTATTATATCCGGAGGGGGAACAACACACGCCGAGCAGCGCTGACCTAATGAGGCCAACCAAAAAACATCTCTACGAACAAGACGGCGGCACACAATGCCGTCGCTTTTGATTTCACTCACTGGCAACTATAAAAGTGAATAACTTGCTAAAATCAAAAATAAAGCAAATATAGCTGCTGTACATTTGGCTCAGACAATTTTTTTTTGTAAAATGAAATAAAATCTATCTGCAATGAAAAAATCCTAAACTATGATAACCTCGGCATGTATTGGTCATTGTTGCATGACAAATAATATCATCATTCTCTTCTATTGCCATGACAGGTCAACAAAAGTAGTAAGGTACACTACAAAATTAAGGTACACTAAAAACATTTTTTTCTAATTTATGGGACTCTTACATTTGTCATAAATATACAGTCAATGTGCAAGTAACAGCTTAACTGATAAAATAGAGAGCGGGAGGATAACATAAACCAGCGGAAAGACTTTTCTACTATTCCATGTTGTGTCGCGTGCATGAAGCGTACGTGATGAATGAATATTGTCAGTGTGAAATTTAAAAGTGAGAGACGTTTAGTCTCTGGGGTTTCATTGAGTGTTACACAAGACACAGCAAGACCATACGGGAAAATTGAGAACAGTGAAAAACTTTTTGGCCACCGCAAGCTTTCTTGCTTGAGAAACTGTCATGCAGTTCTATGAGCCATGTAAGTGTAATTAGGTGACAAGTTAAAGTGAGGATAAGGGGACACACTAAAACGAAAATATTTTTATCCTCAAAACTACTCCATGAAAATGCACATTGCATTACTGACACTCTCTCCAACTGCATTATGTCTTGAACATTTAACATTCAATGTGTCTTGGCACCCCAAATAAAAAACAAAAAAACAAATCTACCAGTGACAAGTTGCAACGGTGCTGCGTTTTCATGCTATGTTCAAAGTGTGGTAAAAGTTGAGGACAATAAATTGTGAAACGGCTGATGATGAAACGATGGTGTAACTCTCACTAACTTGCCATACGTGCGCTTGGCATGCAGCATCCACTCTTCTGACTTCTCTTGCCATCTTACCCAACCATTAAAGCTTGTGTCTGGTAACCTTATCTTGGGCCTGATCTGCAGTTACTATATGTTATTATTACTCTCTCAGCAAAAAAAAAAAAAAAGTTGCTTTGGGGTAGTGGAATGAACCACAGTACGATCTAATGTACAATAGCCAACTTCGTGCCAGGTGTATTTTTTTAAGATGCTTAAGTGCTTCCATGAACGGCACCTCAGTTTTCTCTCAAGATGCACAAACAGGAAGCTCTCAGCGGACCAATTAATGCAGACGGGAGAGGCAGTCAGCGATTTCCTGGGAGATTTAGACCTACAACTCATATAAATCTAGTCTCCATTACCACTGCATTTATCTCGATTGCATCAGGTTTCTACAAATCTCGTAGTAGATACAACACAGTGGACACAACGCTTGAGCTGCTCATCTAAAAAAAAAAAAAAAAAGTGGGATTTGACTGCAGATTAACACGGACATTGAGGATTACGTTTTTCAACATTTTGTCTACGATGTTATTCAAGAAGATCCTTTGCGAATAATTTAACTCCATCTGTATTCAAAAGGCATGTTCCTTTTGCCAAGCCACGGGGGATCATGTGACTGAGTGCAATCAACTCAAGTGAGACAACTCAATTTGCTTTACTGTAATCAATGCAAAGACATACCAGAGTAACGACCTAAATGCATCCTGTCAATGTGGCCAAAATGCAAATTGCTGCAAAGATGGCGGGGAAAGGCCAGTTAGTTTGGCAAAGTGATAATTGCATGGAGAAGAAACTCAGCAAATGAAATAGTTGGGAGGGGAAGAGCGGAAACAGAGGTAAGATGGATGACAAACAACGTGAAGGGAGAGGAATGCAAATCCCATGGCAACAGCAACCGGAAAACAAGTTTAAAATAGGGGCAGTGTCCACTATTACTATAGCAACAGAGGAAATGGGATTTGCAGAATGGAAGAAAACAAAAAGCTCTCACGTAATTCTTAGGGAATCACTGTCACTTTATAAGACTAATAATACACCAGTCTTGTTTATTAATACTCTTATGGTGTTTTTGAAACTATAAATTTAATATAGCAAATGAATCTGATGTTCTCAGTTCAAAGTATTGATTTAAAATGAGAATAAATATTCAAGCAAAACCATATGATAAGTGACAGTGTTATTCATTTTGCTCAGTCGGCCTAAACTTCGTGTTTACTGATTGGTTATTCATAACATCAACAAGTGAAAGCTTTCGACGGATTAAAAATCTCATCCGCCGGCTTGTTTACGAGAACCATGTGCACCCGCTGCACCCAGGAAGACGAAGACAACAGCGCGGTGCTTCTACTTGCCGACCAACGACCAATCAAAATTCACACACAGACCGATTCAACCAATCACGGTGCGGGAGCTTGGTCACGGGCGGCCAATAGACACCGAGCACGGACCACTGATGCAAGAGATATGCAACAGCTATCCCATTTCTTACACATCAGCTGTACGTAGTACGAGTTTGTAACGATGATGGCTATTTTAAAACAATAACACCGGGCGTTAATAAGTAAAATGTGGTCTCGGACCGAGCCCGTGGTTGTGTTCTCGCGAGATTTTTTCCCCCGGAAGTGGAAGTGAATATAGGGTGACAATACGCAGAACAACAATCGTCCGGCGTGAAAATGACAATTATTACATTATAAACACTGTCAAATTAACATCGGTTAAAATCGGTTCCCAATGATGACGTAGTTGCTGTCATTTTGGTTCCTTTGCCCGACTTTAACAGTAATGACTCCCACTTCTCCAGCTTGCACGTTTTACTGACGTACTAAAAATGGCAGAATACATTTACAAATTATTTTATGAATTTCAATGAGCTGCCAGTGTTATTTTGCCCAAAAGCAACGCGTATTGGACGGCTGAGCTTGTATAGAGACACGGAGGAGGCGGATACAGAGCCGGGTGGGGTGACGTCATTGGTTGCTACGTGAACGTGACCCTGATGCCTTCACAACGAGACGCTGCTGCCCAGTTTACCCCTCGATCGCCACGCTGCAACAACCACTCGACATCCTCCTCTGCGCCGAGTTGGCACAATGGCTTTTTAAATTTTACAAAAAGTCGTAACCGAGAAGACGCCGTGCTTTGCTTTGGCAACGCACCCCAAGCTCTCTATACTATTTCTCTGCAAGAATGGAGTAAGTAACTCTTACTTTGCCTTCTTTGTTATTGTGCAACTTTTTAATCGTACGCTCCTGTCTCGCACACGTCTATTTACGTTGCTGTTTATATAGATTACGGTGCTTTTAGATAAAGTTCCCATTTGGGCTGTTTAGATAACGCCATACTGTATCTGTTTTATAATGATATAACAAAAGATGGAAACATGAATATATGAATTTACCTTGGCTTTTTGCCTTATATGTTCCCAGTATAGCTAATATGCTGTCACATGGTTGTCATTTAAGCAGCTGAAATTCTTAAGTGATTAATTTGAAATGACACAAAAGGCTTTAATCCAATTTAAAGATCATCTCATTCTTTGTGCCGGGTGGCTCACTCACAGGGAGCTCCTTGACAACCAACAGACTCATGACAGCCTCATACTTCCCAAGTGGCTTTAGGATGTCATGTGTCAAGTGCATGTTGGTAAAAGAAGCCCACGGGGACAGATCTCTCTTGCTGTCTAATTTTCATGATTTTTCTCATCCCCATTCACTTGCATGATGCATTTTGCATCCACACCCGTTTCTCAACACTGTCTCCGATCCATCGCCCTCCTCTAGGTTTCACTATGCCCACCCAGCTCTGCTCTCTGTGGCCCAGCTGTCAGACCCCACCAGCTCCCAGCATATGCTCCGACTTGGCCTGAACCGAAGTGCCAATGGACAGAATGATGATGGCGACACCGGCTCCTGTTTGGAAGTCTCTTCGTGCGTGCCCGGCAGACCTCCTCGCTCTCTCTCACCCACAGGCTAACCACAGCCAATCACAGGGGTGCAGGGGGGAGGTGTCAGAGGGGAGTCAGCACTTAATTGGTGAGTTGCACTAAGTGGGCTTTTTTATATTTTGCCACATCTCAGGTGGGCTCGGCACTGCAGCACATCCTTCCTTGCCAGACAGTAAGTAACGTGGCTCAAATACAGCAAGACTTGCTTTGACCCTCGCCAACTTTTCAGTTTTTTCTTTTTCAACGGAACATTTGAATTGCTGTCTATTCGTGGAATATTTACATTGCAATCTGATCATTTGTCAACAGGTGATGTTCTCACCGACTGGATGACGGAAGAAGTCGACTTCTCCTCATACCTCCCGAACCCTCCCTCCCCTCCTTCCTCCACCAATGCCTCCCTTCCCCCGTCACCCCTTCAGAATGATATCCACGTGCCCTCCGACTTAGAGGTTATGACCTCTCTGCTGCAAGAGGAACTTGCCCAACTGGAAGACTACTTCCTGTCCGAGCCACTGCCAGAGAAAGGTCCCAGGCTGGGAAGATGTGACCGGGGTTCGCTGCTGACGGGTCCTCAGCCGTTCAGTCAGCTGCCCTGTGCGTCGTACTCCGCACCCAACCAATCGGAATCCAGCCCGTTTCTGCTCACCCTGGCAAGTGGAGAAGTGGACTTGCTCGGTGTGTGTGGCGGGCCGGTAGGGCGGTCCAAAATTCCCAGGCACACCCCGTATAGCTGCGGTCGCCCCAGCCCGTGCGCTAGGAAAAGAATCCCAGACAGCGTGAGGTTAAGTGAAGGTTACGACCACAGTTCAAGTTCCAAAGGAATCAACTCAGGTAACTCAACACTCAGTTATTGCTGTGTGGAAGAAGAGCAGTTAGTCGGGAAAGGCTACTGTCTGGGCAGTGCGGTCGAGCTCCGAAAATGCGCCATTCTCGCAAAAGAAGACAAAAACTGCTGCTTCAATCACAACGCTGTCGGCAACGCAAAGGCGGCCACCGCCGCTGGCGGATTCCATTTTGGCGCATCGCTTCATGACCCGCCAAAGAAAGAAGATCTGTTGATGTACAGCATGAGAGAGGTGAGCGGCGGCACCGCTAACAGCGAGGTGCTGTCCGGCATCAAGACTGCCGTGGAGGTGCCAAAAGCGACAGTTTCTTGGAAAGCCCAGAGCAATGACAGTTGTTATCTTTCGGGTACGCCACAGTCCGAGACGTACCACAGCTTCTTCACCGAGCAGGTCAAAGCGGAGAATCTTCAGATAGGGCAGCATGACTTGCACTGTAATTTCCTGGAGGATCCTGGTCCAGAATGTCTTTTGATGGCGAGGGACAGTCTGAACTTGGAATCTTGCAGGTTGAAGGAAGACCACTGTGCCGTGAAATACGAATTTGATGTCATTCCCGCAGAAGGCGGAGGCGAGCGCAAACAGAAGAAGCGAGATCAGAACAAAACAGCCGCTCATAGGTAAAGTCCAGGTTCTTCTTGACCTCGTTCAATTTCGGGTGTGGGCGTCTTCATGTAATCTTTCATTTGCAGGTATCGCCAAAGAAAAAGGGCAGAGTTAGATTCGTTGGAAGAACAGCTTCACTGCCTGGAAGGGAGGAACCGTGAGCTGCGTGACAAGGCAGAGTCTGTCGAGCGTGAAATCCAGTACGTCAAAGACCTCCTGATCGAAGTTTACAAGGCCAGAAGCCAAAGGCTAAAGCAGGATGCAACAGGATAACCCCAAAGTCCCGCCAAGAAATCAGTACAGGGAAGTTGCGGAGCTTTTCATGTCATTTTGATTAGCCACGATTGAATGTTGCTTTATTTTTTAATACTTATTGCATGTTTAAAGAAAAAAAAAAAACACACACAAAAATCATCAAACCAAGCGACAGAACATTGCTTTTGACACTCTCCAACTCTTCAGGCCGGCAATGTTGTAATGACAATCATTGTGTCATGCTGTGTGAATCGCCTAATTAGAATAGGGTTACTTATTTCTATTAATAAAAAAAAAAAAAAAAAAAAAAAAAAAAAAAAAAACGAACAATCACGCCAGTTAAGATTTTGTTGGCCTTACTTTTTTCCCCCCCTCTTCCAATTTTTAAAAACAATTTCCAATAGAAAAGCTGAATGGTGTCAATTCATGTGGAACTCAATTTCTTCATTTCAAAATGAAAACATTTCGACTGCTTTCTTTTAAATTATGTTTAACTTCCCATCAATATTTTAATCTAGACAAAATGTGTCACAGATTTTTAATTGACCTGAATGCTAACATGCATCACTTTAACAAAAATGTCCGATACTTTTTTTCATGTTTAATATTACATAGTCAATTTAATTTAATTGTGCTGTTTTATTGTAAATAATATATTTTTTAAATGTTAGAGGCCGTTGATTGACTTTAGCTTTGATGCAGCAATACCGAATGAGGTTTTCATATTTTGAATAGGTGCTTTTTCCTGTTTTGCTTCCACTTTTGATTTTCCTGAATCTAGTTCCGATTCAATTTTATCATGAAGACTTTTTGATAGATTTGGAATTCCCTCCCTCAATTATATAACAAATGATACAGTATATTAACACAGCTCAGGATATACAATTTGTTATCCAGTAAACTATCTCGACCTTCCGAAATGCCCGAGGAGTAAATTATTCATGCGTCTTCCAGGTGAACTTAAAAATATTCCATTTATGCATTTTTCTTGTGGCTAGATATGGACACAATACTTTTGCTGCGTGTCTTTCTGCAAGAAAAAAAAAAATGTCGATTTTGGGATGAATCAGGATTCTTATTAACGCAACTCGTCTCATGAGCCTCAGGCTAATTGCACTAATTTGTACAAACTTTTATATGTTGAGCGAATAGAGTGTAATGGTCCTCGCTTTGTAGCAAATTAACTGAGAAAAGCCTCATTAGATAGTTTGTTAACGATGCGCCGGAATGCGTAACTTTTGATTTCCACTGCTGGGAGAAATCCTATTGGGCATATTTTTTTTCCTATGCATTTATTTGAAAACAATCTTGAATATAAGCCAAGATATTATTATCTATTCAATTTACAAGACACTAAATCCCATGGCTTTGCCTCCTTGCGGTTGTACTGTCGAGTCAAGTCGTAGTTAACAACGGCCGGCAGCACAATTCAAAGTCACGGGATCTCATATTCTAAATAAAATGTTCTGATTTAAATTCCACTTCATCATCAAACCAGCGTGTTTGCCTATCATTGACTTTTTCCATTAAAAATAAAAATGTGGCATTATAAGTCCTGTATGTGTGTGTCATTTTTTTACAAGCTGAACCAAAGATTCATTTACAGGAATCGCAAGGCGTAGAATGAGTCAATTTAAAAATGTTTTTGCATGATTTTAAGTCCATCTGGCTCCGTCTGAACTGAAATTATTCAGAAGTATAATCAGTACTTGGCTCTGTTTTTTCATGTTTTCTCAAAAAAAACCCACAGTGGCCATTATTTTAGGAGGGCGATGACATAGAGACAGAGAAGCACTCACACTCACCTTTACACTGTCACAAGTAGGAACTAAAGTCACTCCGCCTGCACTGTAATCAGGCGAGTGAACACTAATGGCCACATGAGTTCCCCAAATATAAAGTACAGTATATCATGAAACCATTTTTTCTCTAAGATTTTGTACCCTGTGAACTATTTGAGAGAAGATTGATATTTTTGAGATTTTTTTTTTTGTTGCTACTCTTACTGCAAAATGATAGCTTGAAATTATATAAACATTGCAATATGCTTGACTAGGTCTTTTTCGGGCAGACACAACAAAGACAAAAGAACATTAGGAATTTGAATCCGTCTTATCTGTCTGGAGCTGTCTAAGAAGAGGAAGATAGTCACACTGGAGAGGTGCACGCTGGGCCTGAAGTAGTTGTCCTCTGGCATCCAGTGATATTAGGACCTTGGAATAAAGAAATACGATCAGACAAAATCTGCAGGGATGATATTAAAACGTGCGCTTCATTCATTACCTGTCGTAACGCCTCCTGCTGCGTGTACAAGCTTAAAGTTGCAATGGCGGCTTCTCTCACTACATTGTGCGAATCTGCGCACGCCGCTCTCAGAAGTCGTCCGGACACGCTTTCTTCCAGCAGCTCGGGTACAGTGCCTGGAACATGTAGCAGGTTTCCCAGAGCGGCGCAGGCATGGAGACGAGTGTGGGCGTCGGGGTCAGAGGTCAGTGAGGCCAGTGTGGCCACTGTCATCCTGGCTTCTTCTAGCCATTGTCTCATCTCATCATCACCGAGCTTGTTCTCTATTGTCCCCCTGTTCGAAGCCTTGAGTGCTTCGTCGTGTTTCAGTTTTAGCCACTCTGGAGTGTTGCCTAAATTTCCATTGCACTTTCCTGCCTTCACGGCGATATAACCCAACCATTTGCCAATTGACAAGCAAGCCGCCTGCCGTACGTGCACATTAGAATTCTCAAGAAGGTCTATCATGCTTTTAAAAATATCAAGTTGTAAATTGGGCAATGTGGGCAACCCGAAGGGATACATATTCCCCAAAACCTTGCATGTGGCGGCCCTGACTGGGTCGTAAGCATGAGTGAGTGCTCGCTGCAACACGGACAATTCAATGTGAAGCCGGAGGTGACCAGAGTGAGGGCAAAAACGGGTGATGAGGTATAATAGAGAGAGGAGTTCTACGGCAGAGTCCCCGAGCTCATCCAGTTGCAGCAAATCGGAGAGCAAAGAACTGGCGGTTCTGGTGGGTGTCTGCTGACCGGATGGAGTGAGTGCCGGCGCGGAGAAAAAGACAGGAGCGGTTTTACTGAGGCGGAAAACAAAACGTTGACGGTCGCGCAGCAACAAGCAGCGCAGAAGTGACAGTGGCAGCTCCACTAATGAAACAGGGAGAATTTGAATCACCTGCCAAAGAATGAAACACACACACACACAAAAAAAAACCTGACATCAATATATGACAGATCAAAAACAATACTACAAATAACAGGAGAAATACAGAAAAAAATATGATGCCTGATGTGAGTCATTTACAAATGTCCTCCTTTGTTGCATCACTGGATAATGTTTGCTCCAACTGTCAGTGTGCACCCAATTAGAGCACCTCTGTATTGAGAACTTGAAATGAGAACATAAGGAACAAAACTGTCCAAAACTTGGATTCCAAATAGTCTCTTGTGCCAAAACAAAATCTTTCATTGATCTTGCAGTCTTGTGATATCTCTTATGATATGAAATACTCTATTCACATTTCAAGATTGACACTGTTATTTTTGTGGTTCTTTTGTTTGAACATCGGGACATACTAACCCGCAGAAGCCCTCGGACAACACCACCGTTGTCATACAACTGCAATATCCTCGATCTGCTGTGTGAATTCAATTCCAAAGCAAATGGAAGGCACAGGAAGTGGCAGCTCAACTCGATTAAGCTCTCGCGATTCTCGAGTGGATCTGGGTTGCCTTCAGCGAATATAGAACTGTGGGGGATTAAAATAAGTCAAGTTTTACTTGAGGCGATGCTCTATACTGGCAAAAATGACATTTTCACAAGAAATTTGAACCAAATCAAAACACCAACCATTCAGAGCTCAGCAGCCAGCCAAGAGTAGATACAAATGTCGATTTGCTCTCAGAAAACAGTGAAATATAGGAAGACGGATCCTTGGAGAAGACCAACAATGAGACGGACAGAAGTAAATGCAGTCCTGAAAGAAGAAGATCGTGGAAAACGAATAGAGCATTTTCATGTACGGTATAGCTTTTTGAGCTAATTTTCCCTTCACTTGAATTATGTTTGCTTACCATTTGTTGAACAGAAGTCCATGTCTGGCTTTTTCTTTGCCAGTGCAGTGCCAATTCCTTCCCAAAGGTGATCAAACATGAGGGGATCGCAATATAAAGAGCCATCATCATGCTGGGAGGGAAATCAAAAGGGACAAAGTTTTTCAGTGACTATTTCTCTAGTTGGCATCTTAGAAAAGAGGATTTGCTGACCTCAGAGAGACTGTGTCGTAGTAAAGCAAGGAGACCATCACAGAGTCCCCAGCCAGGCGGTCGTGGAAGTTGGGCCTGGCAAGTTCGGAAAAAAAAAAAAAAAAATGTCAGTACAAATGATAAATCCAACGCAATCAAAAAGTCAAAACTATTGTGTACCTGACATGAACCGGGGACAAGTTCTTTCAGCAAAGAAATGAGCCTATTCACATCAGCTTTAACAGCAATCTCATGCTGGCTAAACAGAGATAAAACACCTGCAGCCAGAGGCTAAAGAAGAAAAGACGACTTCATCAACAGTGTACAAAAAAAAAAAAAAAATAAGTCCACACAACAACTGTTTGTCTCTTGATTGTATTTCATTAAACACTTACGGCTAAGGGATTGAGTTCTGCTTGATTAAGAATTGTCATGAAGGGCTTGATGAGGTGTTCATGTCTACATGCAGAAACAATAATTGAGCTTCAGTATATGCGGGTATAAAAAGTCCACACACCCCTGTTTAAATGTCAGGTTTTTTTCTGCTCACCAGGATAATCATTTCATAATGTTTTACACAAAAGCTCCCGAAAACGTGTGGGGAAAATACGCAATGATCCCATGAAAGCAAGCCTGAATATTTTTTGGCCACATTTAACATGAGTGTGATTGTGATTGGTTCATTTGGAGCACAGTCACATCACAGTAATAAGAGGGTGTGCACACTTATGTTATTTCGGGTGTTTAGTTTTTTTTTTTTTCCTCTGTAGAAAACATCCCAAAAAATATAGCACCTATTGATGGTGGAAAATGTTTTAAAATTATTTATCTTGATCTTATTTTTTAGATCACAAAAAAACTGACATTAGAACAGGGGTGTGTAGACTTTCTATATCAACTGTGGAACAAGCACATATACAAACACGGCACTCGGCGGGAAGTAAAATGAATGATCAAACCTATTTTCTGTTTTTAACCCGTCATGGTTCTTCTCTATGTAGATGAGGAGTGCAACAATCATTTCTCCAAGCGTTGGAAGACTCCATGGCTGCTGCTCGGAAAAAAAACAAAACAAAAAAAAAACGTTCATAAGATGACATTTTTATCAGAAGAAAAATTGAAGTCACAGAATATGTCTCAATTTCCCACCTCAATGAAACGTGAGTTTTCCACAGAGCTGTCAACCAAGTCAATGAGGAGATATGGCAGTCCAAGTTCGCGACCAATGTGGTTTCTCATGGCAAGGTCAGAGGTCAAAACCAGGTTTTGTAGGACCTTCAGCGGAAGGTGAATGGATCGCATTTCTTTCAGGACGCCATCGTCTAGCTTTCAAATGAAACAAGACGAAATGAATGTGATTAAAAGAGATGTGACGTTTCATAGTTTTCTTGAAAACTGCCCCAAGTTACCGCTTGCTTGCACACTAAAATGGTGGATTTCAGTTGAACAATAACGGTGCTGTAGTCGAGTTGGTCTCGCGTTCGTCGCCTTGGATCTGACTCCTCAACAAGCTTCTGCCAAAAATTCTCGCTGTCAGATGTCTGAAAGAATAATTTTTCATTGACAACTTAGTCCTTTCATATCGCTTTTTTTTTTTTAATGAGCAGAGATGCAAATGGTCATGAATTAATTGGACTTACAATGGAACTGGACATTTTTGCAGTGACTTCAGGTTGGTTCTTGGATGCCCCTTGGTTTAGTCGTGGCCCGATTTCTATTGAGGGGAACTCGCGTTCGTAGTCCTGAGTGATTGGACCCCTACAAAAACAGTGAGTACAGTACACATAGTAAAGCTGGTATACCACAATCGAGGACAACATACACACATTTCATAAGGACCTTTTTTGAAGAGTGGATCTCATGTCGCTCAGGTTCTTTGGATATGCACTTGGAGGGGCTTTCAATGGCTGAATTGAGGGTGCAGAAGTATCTCGAGGGGGCGCTACTGTCAACGCAGAACCGGTTTCTTCACTTTTGGGTTCATCCATATTGCTTACTATTGCACTGTCAGCTGGTTTCTTTGCGTTACCTTTGCTTCTCTGTTCTTTGACCTTTCTCAGTATTTTGCTCTCCCCAGAGTTTTGCGACATCTTTTCTGCCATTTGTTTCAGTTTCCGTGCCAGCATGTCTGGGTCAGGGGTGACCGTCAGAGGACTGAAAACACCCGTGTCTGGAATCACTGCCAACACATCACTAGGTTAGGTACCTGTATTAAGTACAAGATGGAGTCTTAAAACATTTCCATGTTGTCACCTAGAACACCATCAGCAACAAAAGGATGATGCAGGAGGTCTGGCCATGACAGTCGCTTCTGAGGGTCTTTGGTCAACAAACCTTTCAGGAAACTCTGAAAATACACAAACACACAAACATATCGTGTATATTTGAGCAATACATTGATAGGACAAATAAGGCTGTAGTTGCATTGTACCATGCATGTGCTGCTCATCGTGTCTGGCCATTTGATGGGGTCTTTCACAATGATCTGCACCAGGTGGAAGATGGAATTAGTGTAAAATGGGGGCACCCCTGTGTGGAGTTCATAAAGAATGCAGCCCAGTGACCAGAGGTCAGCGGTGTGGTCATAAGGCTTCTCCGCCACCAACTCAGGGGACATATACAGGGGTGTCCCCTTGATAGAAGTCAGCACCATAGTGGAGACGCTCATTGCCCGAGCAAACCTAATAAGGAATTGCATCAAATTCATTTTATGCAGATTTCATACATCTACATGTCTTGCCATCATGTTGATAAATGTACGTACCCAAAGTCACATAGTTTCACGACGCCGTTTTTATCAAAGAGGATATTTTGGGGTTTCATGTCTCGGTGCAGGATACGGCGGGAGTGCAAATAATACAGAGCTGAGACTAGCTGGCAGGCGATCTCACAAACCTCGAAGAAATAAGAGAATAGAAAAATGTTCAAAATCTGATGTTGTGCTATATACAGTACGTGTAGAATACGAGTACCCGACTTTCTGGTAAACTCCCATCATCTTCAATAATCTGGAACAATTGACCCTCTGCATACTCGGTCACAACAACAACCTATTAGAACAGGTAAATTATGGTCACATGATCAGTTGGCGTGTAGTTTAAAGCGGTCCTCTCTGCCAGCCACCTGTAGTACTAGATTGTGCTCAGTAATTTGTGTGACGTTTCTGTTTGGTGGTGTGCCGTAAGAGTATTCAAATGTAAAATACAGCATGCGCAATTTGGCCCGAGAACACACCTCCGTTTCGGTCTCAAAGCTGTTATAAAGTTTCACAATGTTTGGATGCTGAAGGTTACTCATGATTTCAATCTCCTTCTTGAGGCTTTGCAGCTCTTTATTTGAGCGTCCCATCTTGGGCATGAACTTCAGAGCCACCACCTGCACATGGACGAACAAATAAAACAATGCCAACAAGTTGGGAGGAAACACAAGGTCTGTAAATCAAAAATTCGAGAGCAACTTACCTGGCCCGTAAATTTCTTCATTCCTTTATGAACTCGGCCAAACGAGCCCTCTCCCACAAGTTCTAAAATGTGATAGGAATTCATATTGGCTTCGCAGGTGGGCTTGGCTTCGTGAACGAGCACTTCACCGAGAAGTCGTTGATCAAATGGAAACGTGAACGAAATTACCTTATTTTAGGGCGGGTATAGTTTATATGTTTTTGACACTTATTAAATTTGCACACGATAAATTAAAATACTCGTGTGCAAATCCAGCTGCCGTGTCACAAACGCACCGATATAACATTTCAAATCGAACTTTATTTAATATGTTCTGATATAAAAACATGTTTGAAAATTTCAGTATTTGATTTCATTTGAAATTACCTTTTATTTTATATTTACTTAGATTATTCCGCGAGGAATCAAATCAGGCATTTTTTTAGGTCAGCTGTTATAAGGGGGCCCTCAGAGTAGCAACCAAGGGCGCGTTCCTAGCAACAGACTCAAACTGCAAACAAATCCAGCGGCTAGTTTCCGGCTACCATTTCCTGGATTAAAAAAAAATACCTTAAGTAGCTACGTTGTATGCCCCCGTCTGTTGTGAGAACAATGCATTTGTATTGTGGTTCCCATTTGAAATATGTCATAACCAGGTGAAATATATTTATGCATTTAACAGGGATTTTTTAAATGGACCCCATACAATAAATTCAGCCACGCCAATATGTCATGTTTTATTTGCACACATCTTTACAATACCATTTGGTTAAAAGCGGGCATGGTTTTGCAGACGGCTCCAATCTAATACTGTATATACATTCTTGGATTTAACAGTAGTTCTCTCAATTGCCTTTTAGTTGTCTGATGAGAGGAAGATAGTTACACTCAGAAGGTGCATTTTGTGACGCCTGAAGTAGTTCCTTTTCAGCGTTTAGGGACAGCAGAACCTTAACATGAACACAAAGGACATGCACCAAATGCAACCTTGATTAACATTATTAAGTGTTGACTCAGGGTGTCCCACCATGAAGAAAGATAAGCTGGAGCTACCACGTGAAAACTTCATAAAAGGAAAATCTGAATTACTGGTTCATTTTCTTACCTGTAGCATTTCATCCTGCTGCGTGTACAAACTTAAAGTTGCAATAGCGGCTTCTCTCACTGCCTTGTGGGAATCTGTGCATGCAGCTCTCAGTAGTAGTCTGGACACGCTTTCTTCCAGCAGCTCGGGTACGGCGCCTTGAACATGTAGCAGGTTTCCCAGAGCTGCACAAGCGTGGAGACGAGTGTGGGGATCGGGGTCAGAGGTCAGTGTTGCCAATGTAACTCCTGTCATCCTGGCTTCTTCTCGCCACCTTCTCATCTCGCCATTAGCCAACATGCGCTCTGCTGTCATCTTGGCAATGCCCGTCTCCCTACTTGAACCCTTGTGCACATTATTGTCCTCGGCTTTTAACCACTCCATCGTGTTGCCGACATTTCCATTGGACCCGGTTGTGTGAAACCCTGCCTCTACCGCAATATAACCCAACCATTTCCCAACTGACAAGCAAGCTGCCTGCCGCACAAACACATTAGAATCCTCAAGAAGGTCGATCATGCTTTTAAATATGTCAGGATGTAAATTGGGCATTTTGGGAGACTTGAATGGATGCAACTTTCCCAAAACCTTGCATGCGGTGGCCTTGATCGGTTCATAAGAGTGAGTGAGCGCCTGGTGCAGCGCGGACGATTCAAGGTAAAGCTGGAGGGGACCACAGTTAGAGCAAAAACAGGTGACTAGGTAGAACAGAGAGAGGAGTTCTACGGCGGAGTCCCCTAGCTCATCCAGATGCAGCAAATCAGAGAGCAAAGAACTGGCAGTTCTGGTCGGGGTCTGCTGACCCGATGGAGTGAGTGCCGGTGCAGAGAAAAAGCCATGCACAGCTTTACTGAGGTGGGAAACAGTGCGCTGGCGGTCACATAGCAACAAGCGGCGCAGGAGTGAGAGTGGCAGCTCGACTAATGAAAGAGGAAGTGTTTGGATCACCTGCCAAAGAATAAAAAAGAAAATAAATGTCAAAATCATCAAGTGTCAAGCAGGAAACTGCAAATAGGATGTTCTTGGCAAATTACAAAGGTATGTCTATGCCTCATGCGATCCTTTTGCATGAGTTATCCCTTTGTTGCGTGACAGAAGTCTAAATAAAAGAGCATAGGTAGACCTTAACCTGCAAAAGCCCTCCAACAACACCGCAGCTGTCAAACAACTGCAATATCCTAGAAGTGTTGTGTGAAGTTAGGTCCAAAGCAAATGGAAGGCAAAGGAAGTGGCAGCTCAATTGGACGAAGCTCTCATGCTTTAAATCCCCTTCTAGTTTCACTGGACTACCTTCGGCGAACCAAGGAAGACTGGGACATAAAAACAGACACAAGATTGAAATGATCAACCTTTGGACTTCTCTGAAATGTAAAAACAAAATAATCAACACGAACCATTCAGGGCTCAGTACCCAGCCAAGGGTATAAACAAATGTTGATTTGCTCTCACAAAAGAGTGAAATATATGAATATGGATCATTGCAGAAGACTAACAGGGTGGCAGACATGAGAAAGTACAATCCTGAAAAGGAAAATGCAAATAGGAAATTACTGTTACGGCGTGATGTATTTTTTTTTACATAATCACGGGTGTTTACCGTTTGTTGAACAGAAGTCCATGTCTGGTGTTGTCCATCCTAATGAGGTTCCAGTCCGTTTCCAAAGATGATAGAATGTATGGGGGTCCAAACATGAAAATCCGCAGCCATGCTGCTGAGTGAATAGAGCTTAGTGGCACTAGGAAAAGTGTTGCGCTCATTATTTCGACATCACGAAACAGGCATCTTGATATGAACAGTGACCACAAGTACTTTTAAGTTTCTCATGAATAAAAGTAAGCATCGACAATCACGTTAAGATCCACTGACTAATAATAAACGAGCGCTACAACTTTTCAAAGTGTCACCGACTTAAGCACGATTGTTTGGCTGACCTCAGAGAGAGTGTGCAGAAGTAAATACAGCAGGCCGTCGCAGAGTCCCCTGCCCGACGGGAGTGGAAGTTGGAGCTTTGGTGCGGAGAGCAGAGAAACATGCAACAAACAAAAAAAATGTCAACTAATACCAAGCGGATGTCAGATTTGCCTCTCGGAAAGAGATCGCGTACCTGAGGTGAACCCGATGCGTGCTCTTTCAGTAAGGAACTGAGCACGTCCGTGTCGACGGCGACAGCAACTTCACGCCGAGCGAAAAGGGACAAAACAGAGGCCACCAGAGGCTAAAGGAGAACAGACAAAAGAATAATATAGCAAACAAACTGCTCAGCTCGAGTCACTGAAAACCCGAGTGGGCAAATACAATTTTTGCCACACCCTTGAAACCAGTATTCACTTCCAGCAACAAAGACAGAATCTGCATCGGATACTTACTGCTAAAGAACGGAGGTTTGCTTGATGAAGAATTGTCACGAAGGGCTTGATGAGCTCTTCAGGTCTACATGCAGACAATTTAGGAGATTGACTGATGCGCGACATATGTACACGGCACTCAGTGTAAAGAAAAATGAATCATCAAACCTATTTTCTTCCCTCAGCCATTCATCGTTCTTGTCCCAGTAGACCAACAGCGCAGCAATCATTTCTCCAAGTGTTTGTAGACTCCATGGCTGCTGCTCAGTCAAAAGGTGCAACCAAAGGTTTGATTCTCGCAATTTTGACATTGAGATCAGAAGTTACAGCCCGAATGTTTAGAATCCCCACCTCAATGAAACGCAAGTTTTCAACAGAGTCGCGAACCAAGTCAAAGAGGAGACGTGGCAATCCGAGCTCCGTGCCGATGTGGTTCCTCACGGCGAGGTCAGAGGTCAGGATCAGGTTCCGCAGGACCTTCAGCGGCTGGCCGATGTGCCACGTGTCTTTTATGACACCGCCACTTAGCTTAGAAGAGGAACAAGACGAAATGAGTGTGATTTGAGTGAACCGTGTCATTTCGTGTTTGTTTGAAAACCGCACCTGTTGCTTAAACACTAAAATGGCGCATTTCAGTTTCAAAATAATGGTACTGTGGTTTAACGGTTCTTGGTTTTGTGCGCTTGGATCTGACTCCACAACAAGTTTCTCCCAGAATTCCTCACTGTCAACTGTCTGAAAGCACGGGGGGAAAAAAAACTTATTTTTCAGACTGACCATGCCGTTTTGAGCAGTGCAAGTGAACAATAATAGTGCATCTTACTTTGGATCGTTTGGGGGTCCTTGGCCGTAGTCGTGGCCCAACCTCGACCGAGGGGAACTCCCGTTCATGGTCCCGACTGATCTGACCCCTGCGGAAGTCATGCACATGTGAACAGTGACCAGATACATAGTTCTGCTAGAAAAAAAAATGGCATATGTGTGTATGTAGTCCCTGTGAAGTGATCAATGGTATTTGCACAAAACCTGTCTGGATGGCTTGATGTAGCCTCAGTATGGTTGTTTTGATCAAAACTTGGAGGTGGTGAGGTAGAATTTGCTGGGTCGAAATCATCCGGAGGGGACGTATCCAAAAGCGGCGTTACTGCGACCAAACAATCTCCTTCAGATTCCAGTTCATCCATCTTTTCCTGTAAGATGGACCATGCTTTTTTTATGAATGTACATGACAATTAATTCATTGGAATTTGTTGATTCCAAATTTATACCTGGCTTACTTTAGCGCTGACGATGACTTTCTTTGTGTTACTTTTGTTTCTTTGCTCCCGAATCTTTCGAAATATTCTGCTCTCTCCCGAGTCTGGTGATGTTTTTTCTGCCATTTGTTTCAGTTTCCGTGCCAGCATGTCTGGGTCAAGTGTGGCTGTCAGAGGACTGAAAATATCTTCGTCTGGAATCACTGCCAACACACCCGCGTGTTAGTAAGTAACACACAAATGCCACAAAAACATTTCCGTGTTGTCACCTTCGACACCATCAGCAACAAACGGATGATGCAGGAGTTCGGGCCATGACAGCCGCTTCTGAGGGTCTTTCATTAACAAACCTTTCAGGAAACTCTAAAATAAAAAATAATACAAGATCTCCATTTGCAGTATGTGCTGATAAAATAAATAAGACTATTGCTGCTTTGTACTTTGCAGGTGCTGCTCATCGTGTTGGGCCACTGGATGGGGTCCGTAACGATCAGCTGCCCCAAGTGGAAGATGGAATCGGCACAAAACGGGGGCAACCCTGTATGGATTTCATAAAGAATGCAGCCTAGCGCCCAGAGGTCAGTGGTGTGGTCATAAGGCTTCTCCGCCACCAACTCAGGGGACATATACAGGGGTGTTCCCTTGATAGAAGTCACCACCATGGTGGAGACGCTCATTGCCCGAGCAAACCTAGTAAAAGAATTGAATCGCACGCGCATCATTTGTATTGCAACGTCTCATAAGAAAGAGTGGAGGTGACGTATTATGTACGTACCCAAAGTCGCACAGTTTCACCACACCGTTTTTATCAAAGAGGATATTCTGTGGTTTCATGTCTCGATGAAGAATACGGCGAGAGTGCAAATAATACAGCGCGGACACCAGTTGGCAAGCAATCTCGCACACCTCGGATCAAGCAAAATTAACTATTGAGGTCAGTAAACTGAAACGATGTGATGATTTTGTGTGGCATGCGATTACCTGACTTTCCGGTAAACTACCATCGGATTCAATGATCTGAAACAACTGACCCTCGGCATACTCGGTCACAACAACAACCTGTAAAAAGCAGGTGACACTCTCTCGTGGGTCGTGTAGTGTCATGTACTGTCATGTCATAAACATTTTTAGGGTGTGTGAGAGGAACGTACCTCCGTTTCGGTTTCAAAGCTATCAAAAAGTTTCACAATATTAGGATGTCGAAGGTTACTCATGATATCAATTTCCTTCTTTAAACTTTGCAGCTCTTTATTTGAGCGTCCCATCTTTGGCATGAACTTCAGAGCCACCACCTGATGGGTACACAGACAAGCGGAGGACGCTGAGCCGTGGTGAAAAATTTCTACAAAGCCACGACAACATATCAACTTACTTGGCCTGTAAATTTTTTCATTCCTTTATGAACTCGACCAAAGGAGCCTTGTCCCACTTGAGCCAAAACATGGTAGGAATCCATTTGAATGTCAGCCGGGTTTCAACCCACAAGTTATGCTGGTAGATGATGAAGGGAGACATGTGGTCAACAAGGAAGGCAACTGGAGTCAAAGGGCTTCCATCACAAAGATGACTCTCTTTTATGTTGCCCATCGATATATCGCTATTGGATTCAACATCAAAGCCACGTATGTTTCATTATTATTATTAAGAGGTTTTCTGATTACATTGGAAAATCACTTGCCAACATATGGAAAGTTATTGCTCATGTTTGACACCTCTACTGTGTTCACAACAATAAACATACACTCTCAAATTAATACTTCTCTGGTCATATCAGCCAAAAAGAAGGATTATTATGTTTATAAAGGAAGAATTTTGCACACAGGTCTTACATTGGACCTCATTCACTTTTCTACCTATTGTTTGGCCAATATGGATCTAATCTCATAAACTTTACAGCCACTATGTCTACAGTACAGTGTATTTGCTGCACAAGCCTCCTTCTTCATTTGACCACTAGAGGTCGTACGCGATTCACAGTTCTTACTTTGAAAAATCGTTCAATGACTCACCAAAGTTGTTTTTTTAAACCGTGTGTCTTCCAGTCATGTTTTATAATGGGCGTTATAAAATAGATCTGAAATATTCTTGAGATAAACGTGTCAAAACACACAATAGTCACAACATTAAGTATAACTGCACTATCTTGTCAGAGCTGTGTCCATGACTGCGCCTCTTCAACGACAACAATGTGTGTCAGGAAGGTCAAAGTAGTAGCCAATAAACTGCACTATGAGGTGCTACTAACTATTTTATACAGGTCCTGTATTGGAACTGAAGATATTGTGCTGGTTCACCAAAATCAATGATTCAATAGCCTTGATAACGAACTTAAGGTCCGGTCAAATGTGCTCTTTGTCCTCACGAGTAAGACATTTCAGTGCACTAGTACAATGACTGTGTCGTTACAGTGATGCATTTTCCTCTACTAGTGCCATTTCTGGCCTACTTAAAGATGTTTATCGGGGAAGAAAATGCTTCAACTGATTTACGGAAAGCCGCTATATGCAGGAAGAAATAGCTGTTTAAGCTGCATACCCTCACTAGATGACTGGACTTGATACTAGTGCGGCAAACCTGTGCACTAGTGGACAACTATGCAACGAGTAGCACTTGTGACATTTATAAAATTGTGATTGAACATGTAGTGCTTTTCTAGAAATGACAAATACAATGCGCAGTTTTGCCTCACTAGTAACACGCAGTCTTCCTACAGTATGCCAACGTTGTTTCACTAAAGTGCAGAAATGTCATGTAGCCTAGTAGACGAAAGCACGAGTCACTACTTAAGGAGACAGTCATTCTATGAGTGCAACAGGACAAACGGCATATTTGGACCTTTAGTTGAACATCCAGGATGAATAAATGCTCAAATGGGTCACCATATGTTAAGTGAACAGATAACGCGTGCCAGGAAAATGTTCTAAATTCAATTCAGCATTTGTCTTAAAGTGGTGTTTAAAGCGCTGGGTTTGGATCCTGCAGTGAGTCAGCCCTGTCCGCTGGGACTTGATCATGCATAGGCATGCGCCGCAATAGACTAGAGCACGTTGCGTCCAACGAGTGTCTCCTCCAACGGACTGCCCCCTTCCAGAAGTGAGATAGAGTTTCCATCATTTCACACAAGACGAAAATGCATAAAGTGCACTGAAGGCAGCAGTGGAGCGAGCACACAGGTGCAAGCCGGGAATGGGTCAGGACCAGGAGGAGTTTGCACTCTTATAGAATTGGATATGGTCTCCCCGAGCTTTTGGTCATTGCGTTCCAATTTGAATGCAAACATAGTCATGTTTGCCAGAACAACGTGTCTGCTTCACGTCGTGCTGTCGCTCTCCAAACTGGTTCGCTGCATGGAAAGTGAACTCTGCTTCCCGTTCATTCTGGACACCCAGCAGCAATATAACGACAACGACGTGGATACTCTCCACGGCAAATGCGTGCTAAGAATTCAAGCTTTCCACCAGGAATTAGTGGTGGATTTACGGCAAGATTCCAACTTCATCGGCCCTTCCGTGTCCAGCCAAGACGCACCGTGGCTCTTCGGTCCGGACGTCACCATTGAGCTGAGTCGGTGTTTTTACTCCGGCTATGTGAACGGTGACCGCTTTTCGTACGCAGCCTTAAGTTTGTGCAAGGGGGTGCAAGGTGCATTTGGCTACCAAGGTTGGGAGTATTTCATCAGCCCGGTGCGCAATGACACCGCGAGCGCGGACGGCGCGCACGTCATCCGGCGCAGAAGCAGCAGCAACCTCAAGTCAAATTCCACCTCCAGGTGCGCAGTGAACAATGACATAAGCCATCACGTCGCGCAGATGTTGGGAAAATACAAAGATAACAGCGATGCGACCAAAAGTACGCTGAAGGGGACGGGGAGAAGCAAACGCTTTGCGTCGGTTCCCAGGTACGTGGAGACGCTGCTGGTGGCGGACCAGACCATGGCTGAGTTCCACGGAAACGACCTTAAACATTACCTGTTGACGCTCATGTCAGTGGCGGCGAGGCTCTACAAGCATCCGAGTATCCTCAACTCCATCCACATCGTCGTCGTGAAGATTTTGGTCATATCCGAGTTGGACAAAGGACCCAAAGTGTCCGGGAACGCCGCTCTGACGCTCCGGAATTTTTGCACTTGGCAAAAAAAGATGAACAAGAACAGCGACAAGCATGCAGAATATTGGGACACGGCAATCCTCTTCACGAGACAGGTAAAACCGATTTCACGAAGTACCCCTATGGCTGTTTAGATCATAATCTCATGACACCTATGAAAACACACGTTACTGTCCAAATAAGGAAAATTGACGCAAAAAAAAAAACTGTACCTAATGCTTTGTCCTTCAAAGTTCGTGGGGTTTATTTGCAGTTGGCAAACTAGCTTAATGGTGCATTTGCGCCATCAGATCAACTCAATTTAAATTATTGGGCACTTTAAAAACAACTGTCAAATGATATTGTCCTTCCACTGCCAATGTGAATTGATCGTGGCTAAATATTGTGAAGTTTGCTGCCGCCACCTAGTGGTAGGGTTTGCAGTGCACTCGTACGTCAAGACAAAAAAAAAAGCCCAAGCAACTGCTATGTTCCTGGTCAAGGCACTTGTATCTCAAGGTACTGAAATCGAATCATCTGCCATCTAGTGGAAGAACATTTAATTGTTCTGTTCGTCGCCCCAATACTAAAATGTAGCTTTGGTGCTGGTTTGGGATCAGAATTATGAATATAGCATGACACATGAGCTCGAAATGCACCTGTAACTTTACCAAAGAGAAGGCGCATCAGAGTCCTCAGGGATGGCCAAGAGTCGGAAACTTTCTCACAGCACATTTTCTTCCCATTCCTCCTGCTCCAGCTGTGTTTTTTTCCCCCTTCAACCTGCCTGGTGCTCATTAAACAGGAACCTGAGGGAAAGCCAGGGGGAGGAGGTATAATGTAGGTTGTGCGGGTTTATTATGTCACATCAGGTTTATGCCCCACCTGCACGCTCCGAGTCAAGAACATCCACAGGGTCACTACATCAAGGAACCACATTCATATTCATTTCAGGTTCAAACTTCCTGTCTCCTCGAGGAGTAGGATCGTTGGTTGTGTGCTCTCACATATGGAAGAAGCATCGCCTTTTCCATCACAATATTTTAGACACGTTCTTCAAGTGGTGATCACATGCTCATTGGGAAATAAACAATAAGACGTTATCAGCATGCACACCTCAGCCCAAAAATGTTTTTTCAGGCTAACTACAGCCGTACATCGGGACCGAACCCGACATTTCTGACTTCTGCAAATGAGCAAAAGGCCAGGTGGTTTTCAGTGTGTAAATGCATGGAAACACTGACCTGTTTCCTCGTGAATGGAACTTGCAAATTGTATTTACGTTGCGGCAACACAGCAAAACGGGCAAAATGAGATGACAGATGTGGGAAGTAGGTCATTGCAGAGAACCAACCCTCAGCCCCTTCTGCTTTCTCGCCTCCCTCACGTTTGCCTCTATTTTCTTTTCTCACTAATGACCCAAACTATCTCATGAACACATCTGGAGTCGGTTAGCGCTGGCGATCAATTTTGGTTTTGTTCTTTATTCACCAAAAATTTGTCATAGCAGTGAAATGCCATTCATCTCCAAGGTGTCTCGCATGTACTGCACACACACACACACACACACACACACACACACACACACACACACACACACACACACACACACACACACACACATTGCGGAAGATTTCATCGGGCCTATGAAGATGTGCTGTGTTTCGTATCCAACAACTGCCCAGAGATTTTTTGCTTGCAGAGTGTATGCAAAAGACAGAGGGAGTAGGCAGCCGGGCGGTTCTGTGTGGTTAACGATGTGTACTTGTCCTGTGATTAGGAGGCTCAGTCAAGTGCTCCGAATGGATCCTCGCTAAGATTAGGTTTTGGAATTGTGTGGCGACAGGGGAAAAAAAAAAAAAAAAAAAAAAAAGGCCATTTGGAAACTGTTCTTGCATGAAAATGCAATGATTGGAGAAAAGTGCCATGACATCACATGGGACCATGTGCTCCAAATACTAGTCTGTGAAAAGAATTATTTAACACTGGAGAGATGTTTGCTCTATTCTTGGTAAACTGTCCTTAGTGTATGAAAGTTAGCAAGGATTCCATTTTTTCCCCAAAAAATAATTGTCAAGCTTCATGATTGTTTCATATCATGGTTATCCTCTACTGCAGGGGTGTCAAACTCATTTTTGTCGTGGGCCACATTTTAGTTACCGTTTCCCTTGGAGCGCCGTTATGACTGGAACCATATAAAAAAGTCAATAATAACGGTTTATTCAAGTATTGTTTAAGTTACTGTAATGGGGGATTTGGTAACAAGAAAATGCTGACATGTCTCTTAGTTATTACATATGAGAATTTTACATTTTGGTAGCGATTTTAGCAAGCAGCATGGAAGTTGACATGTTTGATTTGCTTTCGTGGGCCACATAAAATGATATGGCGGGCCACATCTGGCCCCCGGGCTTTGAGTTTGACACCTGTGCTCTCGTGTCTAGCATAGTGGTGGAGAAAAAAACGATGTGAAGAGAAGCCTGACGGGACAAGAAACAAATATTTAGGTAAACAGACAAGTTTTCAACAAAGCTCTTGAGTCGGAAAGTATACAATCCGTTGTAAATATCCACCATGCAAACCGTTGGTCCAGTTCACTTGTTGCGAGTGAGTTTTCCATCAATCGCATGGGTTATTCTGTTGACAAAAGTCTCGAGACACACTTTTTAATCGATAAATATCAATGGAAGGTTCTCTCCTATCATTTTGGAGGGTTTTTTTTTATGGAATAATTTAAGAGCCCTGACCTTTGGAATGAAGTAGAACAGAGATTGTGAAGCCAGGCCCTCTCTCGGGTCCAACATTAGTCACCTTCTGACCTCACACATCTGGTTGAATGGACAAAAATTTCCAGAGGCACATTCTAAAATTGTATAGAAAGTCTTCCCGGAAGAGTGGAAGCTGATATCATTTTCCTAGGAGTTCCATTAATTACGGTATGTCTATAGGGTGCATAAAATGGGACTCATACTGGGAAGAATTTTATTTATTTATTTTTGTCTGACTTATTCAAACATTGACTTGATTGTCCAGGACTTGTGTGGGGCTTCAACATGCGACACCCTTGGAATGGCCGATGTTGGCACCATGTGCGACCCCAAGAGGAGCTGCTCTGTGATCGAAGACGACGGCTTGCCGTCTGCCTTCACCACAGCTCACGAGCTCGGTGAGCCATGCCAGCTCCATGAAGCACACACTAGCAGACGTGCCACCAGTCAATTTGGGGCTTGATGGGGAAAATAAATAACATAAAAACCTCGATCAATTGTACTGTTTGACAGGAACCCTCACTCACACGTACGCAAGCACAATAAACAAAGCGTTTGTAAAAGACAGCCGTCATCCGCTCGTCTCTCGGCAGGACACGTCTTCAACATGCCGCACGACAACGTGAAGGCCTGCGAGGACGTGTTTGGCAAGCTGCAGGACAATCACATGATGTCTCCCACGCTCATTCAGATTAATCGCACCAGCCCGTGGTCGCCCTGCAGCGCTGCCGTCATCACTGAGTTCCTGGACAATGGCCACGGTGAGTCTCCACGAGCTCATTCTCCGAGCCATGTTGTGACTGATGCGAAACCCAAAGTGGAGATGAACACGAGCGCCATACTGTTACTGGTTAAATATTTGACTGATGATCGCATTCATAAAACACATGTTCATTGCGAATCTGTTCGGACTAGCGTGGCCAGTGAAGGACATTTACTGTTTTTTTTTTTTTTTTTCTGTCTTCTTCATCCACAGCTTGACTACGGTACAATGATTTCACTTTAATGCATGGTTGAATGTTCGCATCCATGCATTCTTTTGAAGAGCAAAAATGGACTCCGACTGTTTTCTAACAAGCCAGACCGCAGAGCTCGGCCTCGCAGCGATGCTAAACTTTAATTAAAAAAAAAAACTGCTTCACATCTGTCCCAAATTAGTGGCTTTGTTTGGAGGAGCGTCACCGCAGTGGTTTGGAGAGCGCAGATTTAACCGGCCTGTGTTTCCCGTACAGGTTGAATCGACAGCCTTTATTCATGCTCCGACAACACGAGAACAAGAAGCAGTCAGCTTGCGTTGGGCCTCTTTTGAGTGACCTTTTCTCCACATTTTTGACAGCGAGTCACAAGATGTGGTAACACGGGTTCTTCATGCTATCGCTCATAAATCTTGACGGTGACAGAGCAGCCTGGGGAATAAAGACGTGCCGCGGCGCGTTTGAGGCAGTTTACACGCTGTGCTGCGACCACGATTATTTGTAACTTTGCGGACAACCCCAGAAATTGTTTCGGGCAATTCCTCGCTGCAGCGGGAGGCGTGTTGGAAGTTCATCAAATGGTTTCTTCAATCGTTTCAATTTTGCGGTCTAATAAGAGGATGCAAATTAACATTCAGTTATGGTTGGTCTATTTGTGGGCTTATTTTAAAAGGAGAATTTTTTTCCCAAAAAGTTTTTCTGCTGTTGGTAAATTACTCCCGAGGCTGAGAAACTGAGAAGCAGTGAGAAAAACCTCCTACTGGAACTCCTTTTCTATTTATGATGATCTTTCCTTTCTTCAAGCACCTGCTCATCAAACATCAAACGCTTCCTATTATGAGCCAGTACCTGGAAAGGTGTCGAAAAATATAATTTACTATAAGTGGAGTTCAGCTTAGTTTGACTTGTATCAGTTCACTGGAACATTTAAAGTGATTAAAACTCAATTGGAAAGTATTCTTAAACTGTAATTCATTTAATTTCAACACGAAGGGGAGACATTTTCGACAAGAGTTTACAGATGGAGGGGTCAGGTTGGGGTTCCGTGCGCTATTGCTCACACATTTCTGCAAAATCAACCACCAGCGCTTCACGATTGTCTGTATAAAAATATTATTATTACTGTTATTGTTTTACGAGATTGTGTACAATTGGAGATGTGTGCATGTGACCTCAGCCATGCAAGATAAGAACTGATTATGTGGGGGGGTCTGTTCCAGGGGAGTGTTTGCTGGACCAGCCTCAGAAACCATTAGGCCTCCCGAACGTGCTTCCCGGAGCATCTTACCTCCTCGAGCGACAGTGCGAGCTTGCATTCGGCGAAGGTTCCAAGCCCTGTCCCTTCATGCAGCCGCCGTGCATTCGCCTGTGGTGCACCGGCAAGTCCAATGGCCAGTTGGTGTGTATGACTCGCCACTTCCCCTGGGCGGACGGCACCCACTGCGGAGATGGCAAAGTTTGTGACCGAGGCATCTGCGCTTCCAAAGAGGACCGCACTTTGAAGGTAAGGCTAAGCTTCGGGGAAACGGGGGGGCTGATTCAGAGAAAACACATTTTGAACCTCAGTTTATTGGCTACCTGCTTGCCACCCTGTTGCAGTTTGACGGCATTCTGGTTGTTTTTTTTTTTACATATTGGACAAAAACAATACCTCCCACCGAGGGAATACATTTGAAGAAAAAAAAAATCCCCCTTATGTATTTTCTAGGTGGACGGTCGCTGGGGTAAGTGGGGAACATTTGGTTCGTGCTCACGCACATGTGGAGGTGGCGTCCAACTGGCGAAAAGGGAGTGCAACAACCCAGTTCCCTCAAACGGGGGGAAATACTGCCAAGGGGTTCGGGTCAAATACCGCTCCTGCAACCTGAACCACTGCCCTGACACAGGTTTGAATTGCTCAAAACAAGGGGTACACACATCAAGAGGGTTCCACTTCTTGACCCTATCCCCCTCCCTGTGTGCAGGCAAGACTTACAGGGAAGAGCAATGTGAGTCCAGCGGCCGCAGTTTCAGCAGTAATCATATCGCCCCCTCTGTGGTTTGGGTGCCCAAGTACTCTGGAGTGAGCGTCGACGACAGATGTAAACTCATCTGCAGGGCCAATGGAACGGGCTACTTCTACGTTATGGCACCTAAGGTAAGAGGCAACACATTAAATACAATCAATGCACAAAAGTCTTCGATCACACCGCTTCATAATTTAATCAGGCTTAATCCATTAGTTAATTTTCAATGAGTGACCTGGCCATCACATCCATTCCTGCCCAATCAGATCAACGAGCGTGTAAGCTTGACGGGCAGCCAGTTTCTCCTCCGGGGACCAGTTGAGTGGGGGGGGGGAGTGAAGTGAAAAGCATAAACCATAAGAATCTTAAACCAGGACATGCCACACAGCGCTCCAACACAGTAGTCGTAACCACATTATTGAATATCTCCACTTGCATGCCAAACCTAGAAATGAACAGCTGTGTTATTTCCTTTTTTCGCTGCACTATTACATTTCAAATGCGATCCTTTTTGACTCTTTTAACGTTAAGCGCCTTTTTAGTACTTGCTCTCTTTGCTTCCTTTTGAGCGGTGTCTTAGTATGTTGATCGAAAATTTTCTTTTACACTTCCATTTCCTCAAGAGGGTACTTCATGATTAGCATGTCTGCCTTACAGTTATGAGTTTGAATGAAACTAACGCAAAGCCAAGCGGCATTCACATTTCCACTTCTTTGCACTTGAGCATACCGAATTTTTTTTAAAGAGTTTCAGGATTGGCAACATTCCTGACTGTATATTTATTTTCATCGCTCCACACGCCTCGCAGTGTGACCGCATCGGGAGCAGTGTTACAGTGTGACCGATGAGGCCCCCCAAAAAATTATTTCATTTGCGAGCAATGTGAATTCGTGTGAGGCTCTGAGGGGAAAACAGCGATGCACGGGACGACGGAGAGAGGAGCGGAGGGCGTTTATCTCCCTGAGATAATACGGGCGTGGAGAGAATGCGAGCAGCCGTGAGAGAAAGTTCACACTAGATCATATTGAGTGAAGCGAACGCGAACACTCGGGGGATTTGCAGCACTGACTCATAGAGCAGCTGCGTGTTTGCTCCAAACATCATTTTACACCACATCCTGTGTTCCATGGCTTCGTGGAAATCTCAGCGTTTAAAAGTGATTGCAATATAATAATAACACCTAAAAATATCAGCACGCAACATACAAAAACGACTTAAATGAAGTTGCAGACTTTGGGTGCCGCGTTTAATGACTGGTCTCTTCTAAAACTTCGTCTGTGTGTGTATATACACCACAGGTTGTGGATGGAACGCCGTGCTCGCCGGACTCCACGGGAGTGTGCGTTCAAGGTAAATGCATCAAGGCCGGGTGTGATGGAAAAATTGGATCAACCAAGAAGTTTAACAAGTGCGGAATCTGCGGCGGCGACAACAAGAACTGCAAGAAGGTGTCGGGACTCTTCACCAAGCCTTTGTGAGTACACCAATCCGTCACGTTCACAAATTCCCCTTTTTGTGTGTTTTCTTTTTAATTAAAAAAAAACATCAAAATATTGCATTTTGAGCTTTGACGAAATATCTGATTTTTTTTTTTTTTTTTGCATTGTTGTGGACTTCATCATTTTACCACGAAAAAAAACCTCATCGGCTGTATGTGCTGTGCTATGTTCTGCAGGCACGGCTACAACTTTGTGGTGATGCTGCCGGTGGGCGCAACTAACATCGACATCCGTCAACGCGGCTACCAAGGAATGCTGGGGGACGACAACTACCTGGCGGTGAAGAACAGCGAGGGTCGGTACCTCCTTAACGGCGACTACGTGGTGTCGGCCGGCGAGAGGGACATCATCGTGAAGGGCAGTCTGCTGCGCTACAGCGGCACCACCGGCCTCTCGGAGACCCTCCAGTCTGTGAATCCCTTGGGGGAGACGCTCACCGTGGAAGTGCTGTGCGCGGGCAATTTGACGCCCCCCCGCATACGCTACTCCTTCTACCTGGCCCGTCAGAACAACAAAGAGGACAAGACTCTGACAAAGGAGGAGCAAGCGAAATCCCACAACAGCGTCCTGGCTGACGATAGCGTGAAGGAGAGGGGCGCGGCGACTTTGAAGAAACCGTACAGCAAAGAGGAGCCTCTTCTCGTGAAATGGACATCGGCGAACTGGGACGAGTGCTCGGTCAGCTGCGGCAACGGTTTCCAAAGGCGGATGGTGCAATGTCTGAGGACGGACGGCAAGCCGGGAATGAACTGCGATCCTTCCAAAAGGCCGTCAGCCACCAGAGCTTGCGGAGACCCGTGCCCGGAGTGGCACGCCGGCCAGTGGGCGCCGTGCTCCGCAACCTGCGGGAAAGGTTTTAAGAGACGACCGCTGCACTGCAAAGCCCAAACCGGACATTTGCTTCCCAGGGACCACTGCGGTGGCTTACGCAAACCACAGGAGCTGGACTTCTGTAACCGAAAGCCTTGCTAGGGACTTGAAAAGCTTTATTATGACAGAACTTAATCCAGCAGCTCATTTCCACACACTCTCTCCCGCATCATGAGACACTTGCAGAGAACACCCCCCCTCCCCCCCAAATGGATGGCGCAATGTATTTTCCCCACCATTGAAACTCAACCACCTGAATCCACTGCAGACAGCAGAATAACATTCTACAAAGTTACTATGAAGCCAAATAAAAGGTTCAATCACTTTAGCCGTCAGCTTGGAGTTGACAAATATGTTAGTGAAGCAACGTGTCTTATGAATCTGAAACCCATTTTATGTCATACTTTTTTGATCTATTATTTTTTTCATGGTCTTTTTTTAAGAGAGTTGTGTAGCCTGCCGCGCGCATTCAAACAATGACAACATCGGGAACTTTTCCTCTCTCCAAATTAATCCTGCAATAGATTTCGAACAAATCACAAATCCATTTTCTAATTAGTGAGGGTGTTGTTTTAGTTCAACGACGACACCTTTCACGCCCCGCCACATCGTTGATAGAAAGCCACAAACCACATGAAATGCCCGTGCTGTTGAAATCAATTTTGGTGGAATTTTCTGCCCGACCTATTCACCATCAGTCGCTGCCAAAGATACCACACCACTCTTTCTGTGCACTCAGTTAAATCTTGTCTTACTTTTATATTCTTGTTATATTTGTAAGAAAAAAGAAAAAAAAAAAGGCCCACGTTGTCCAATACAACATCCCGCCACGGGATGGATCCTTTTAGCGTCAGACTTTGATTTCTATTTTTTATCGTATCAACTTTTGCACTTTGTACAGCAAAAGAAACAAGATGACTTATATGGGCTGCGCTGTATACTATGTATACATTTATTCAGCTCTGTGCAAAATTTCATGTAAATATTTTCAAATCTTTTTTTGTTTCTTTTTTTTAAACACACAACTGAAATGTTTTTGAATATATTTATTCCAAATAAAGCTTTGAATGAAAAGTTGGACATTTTACATTTCCGTGATTAATGACACTGGTTCTGCGCAGATCAACGAGAAAGCCTAAAAGTTGGAAAAAAAAAAGCCTCTTCTTACCGATGCTCTTATTCACCCTCTTGGTTGATGTTTCTTGACTAAAATATCAAGCATACATGTTGTCAGGGGAGCTGCGTCTGCGTGCAGACACCAACCGTGAGAAATGTCTGGAGTGCTGACATAAAACATTGTTGCTTTCATTTTTTTTTTTTTTTTGAGTCACATTTTTGAGAGAAGTGTCGATATATCACCAAGGGCTGAGTCGTCTGACCTACATAAGAACAGATGAGGGAGAACTTGGAGGGCAGCCAATGGACATATTTGTTTGTTTCCCCCAATGGCCTCTTGCCCGAGTTCACAGTCAGATCTTGTTGCAGGTTCGATGGCATTAATTGGACAAGACAACTAAAGGGGGGGAAAAAAAAAAAAAAAAAACATCTTCAAATGGTTCCAACAAAGTTTTGGAATTTGGAATGGTGTAAGCCTCAAAGTCTTATTGGAACCTATTACAATGAGAACTAACAGTCTCCACCCAGTTTACAGAAAACACTCAACTGGAAACTTCCCGAGGTCCATTTTCACATTGTAATGACATCTAATTCAAGAAGGCTGCCATGACATTCGGACATCATTTTGTCAAAAAAAGAACGCAACAAAATTCTACTGGACAGACTACATGGCAACAGGAATTAAAATCTGGACCCGGATACATTTTTTGAAGTCGACTCAACATCCATTTCAAAAATGTATCTGGATCCAGATGATTTCATTTTGTGGAATCGCTTGTCGAAATAAATATGAGTAAATTCAACACATCATTTTTTTTCCCCTCAGTGCCATTCTTTTATTGGAAATCATTAACCCTTTCAGGGACGGCGGTTACTACAGTGGACGGCTGACCATGTTATCAGGTTACAGGGGTTAAAGCGGAGGCCAATTGGATTGTGACAAAAGTTATATTTGTAAACACTTGAATGATCATTGTTCCTTTAGGAAGAAAATCAAAGAACAATGAAGCTGGCACCTGGAAAACTTGCATTTTATTTTAAAATTTGCGTCAATGTGGTCCCTATAGCTTTTTTTTTCCTGAGCCGATTTATCCTTTGTAAAGATCAAACTCATTTAAAACATGTGAAGACATGACATAACCGATGCGGTGTCCGTCTGTGTGTTGTCTGCCTGCGTGATCCGCAGATCAACGAGAAAGCCTAAAAGTTGGAAAAAAAAAAGCCTCTTCTTACCGATGCTCTTATTCACCCTCTTGGTTGATGTTTCTTGACTAAAATATCAAGCATACATGTTGTCAGGGGAGCTGCGTCTGCGTGCAGACACCAACCGTGAGAAATGTCTGGAGTGCTGACATAAAACATTGTTGCTTTCTTTTTTTTTTTTTTTTGAGTCACATTTTTGAGAGAAGTGTCGATATATCACCAAGGGCTGAGTCGTCTGACCTACATAAGAACAGATGAGGGAGAACTTGGAGGGCAGCCAATGGACATATTTGTTTGTTTCCCCCAATGGCCTCTTGCCCGAGTTCACAGTCAGATCTTGTTGCAGGTTCGATGGCATTAATTGGACAAGACAACTAAAGGGGGGGAAAAAAAAAAAAAAAAAACATCTTCAAATGGTTCCAACAAAGTTTTGGAATTTGGAATGGTGTAAGCCTCAAAGTCTTATTGGAACCTATTACAATGAGAACTAACAGTCTCCACCCAGTTTACAGAAAACACTCAACTGGAAACTTCCCGAGGTCCATTTTCACATTGTAATGACATCTAATTCAAGAAGGCTGCCATGACATTCGGACATCATTTTGTCAAAAAAAGAACGCAACAAAATTCTACTGGACAGACTACATGGCAACAGGAATTAAAATCTGGACCCGGATACATTTTTTGAAGTCGACTCAACATCCACTTCAAAAATGTATCTGGATCCAGATGATTTCATTTTGTGGAATCGCTTGTCGAAATAAATATGAGTAAATTCAACACATCATTTTTTTTCCCCTCAGTGCCATTCTTTTATTGGAAATCATTAACCCTTTCAGGGACGGCGGTTACTACAGTGGACGGCTGACCATGTTATCAGGTTACAGGGGTTAAAGCGGAGGCCAATTGGATTGTGACAAAAGTTATATTTGTAAACACTTGAATGATCATTGTTCCTTTAGGAAGAAAATCAAAGAACAATGAAGCTGGCACCTGGAAAACTTGCATTTTATTTTAAAATTTGCGTCAATGTGGTCCCTATAGCTTTTTTTTTCCTGAGCCGATTTATCCTTTGTAAAGATCAAACTCATTTAAAACATGTGAAGACATGACATAACCGATGCGGTGTCCGTCTGTGTGTTGTCTGCCTGCGTGATCAGCAGCAGATGTGCGTTCGCTGAAATGAACGGTCGGCTCACCGCAGTCACGATCTCAATGAGCTGCTTTGTAGCTCCTTGGTGTGACGGTGAATGGGTTCATGGAAATGTCCAATGAGATGCCGCATCAGTGCGCATCGCTGCCGATCTGCTGACTTCAGCGGGAGCGGGATCGTTCCGCAAACAATAGATGTGACACATTCACAGCTGAACGCCATGTCGCTGCTAACGAGTCCGGTGATTCATTCACAGTTTAACCTCACAGTTGAACTCAGCTAGGTTGCCCTCCAAAATTAACAAGGCGCCCACATGTTGCCTCGACTGATCTCCTATTTCATCAAATTACGACATTCGTAATTCAATGTAACGCGAATAATGTTCACAACAAAAACATTTGCAGAAGCTACTGACTGTAAAGAATAAGTGCGCTAAATCAAGCTAGGCTCACTAAAGCGGATGTCACATTCGGTCCTCTCTGTTGTTAAAAAAAAATATATATAGAGAACTTTTTAAGTACTGTGTGTCATGTAGTGTGGCGTGTGTCATCTTTTGCATGTGTTTGAGTCTTTCGTGTCAGAGAGGCTGTGAACACCAGGAAACGCCTAAAATTCTTGAAACTCTCAAAATTCTCTAGTTGTAAGTCAACCCTTGCCTGGGATTTACAAAAAAATGTGTGACTGTTGATGTGCAACTGAACTGACTTGGAAATGTTCGGACATTTTGCCACAGTGAAGAACAAGGCTTGGTTTGTTGTGTGTCAAATCTTGTTTAGCCCCAAGACTAAAATAACCCCTGACCGGCTCTCCGTTTCAAAGGGTTAAAAAAAAAAAAAAACACCTCCTGATTCCCTGTCAAGTGACACAGCAGCAAAGTGTCAAAACTGCGTTACATTGAAGGTATCAGTCGATATGAGACATGCTAAAGAAACGACGACAACAACAATGCTTTGCGAAAGTCTCTTGTGTTTACTGCTTGGCATGTGACCGACACTGTTAGCCATCTGATTTGAGAGGAGACAAAAGGGATCAAGAAAACCGACCGTTGCGGCAGACTGCGGAATTAGATTTCAGTGTCCAGTGTTAGCTAACGTTAGCATGTCTGTTTATCTTTTGTTATTTTTTTGCTGGTTATGTTCAAAACTTACAATGATGCAGCACACAGTGATGGCTAAAAGTAGCTTCAAAAAAGGCAATGATTAATTAAGAGTTTGATGAATATGTCAGATAAAAACAACAACAAAAAACCCATCTGCCTTGTCACGCTTGTGCAATTTTGGTATTTCAAATCTACTTACAAGTCAGCTCGTGCCACAAAACTCAGGCAGTGTTGAAATTGACCTTAATATGACCTTCATAAGGTTGGAGATCTGTAAAGCAGCTCATCTCCCCCATCACAGCAAGCAATCCGAGACAGTGGTGACTTTGTACTTTTCTGAAATCAAAAGAACAATTCCAGATGTTTGCATTTGAGAAAAATATTGACTGGATGTCGTCCAAATCTTTTTTTTTTTTTTTACAGAAAGGCAACAATAAGTCACAACGAAAGGTTCCTAACAAAAAACAGAATGTCAGAGGAATATGAAACCATTACATTTGTCGGCTGATATATCGATCTGCTTGAGTGCATGTTACAGTGTTTATTCATAGCTCACATGAAAGCACATCAGATCCCAGAAAAACAATAATCAATCTTGACAATCGATGTTACGATTCAAAAGCGCTTTTGAAGAATGACGTCGAGCCACGAGTAAGTAATAACTTCAATATTATAAATAAGGACACGATGTTCTATAGATGTTTGAGCACAGACCCGTCCCCGCGGGTGGGCCGAAGGGGGCCGGGCCGGGCCTACCCACTAAGATGCTAGCGTTCCCCAATTTGAGGCAAGGATCTCGAAAAAGAAACTTTTTCTTTCAAGTTAATTTTATCATCGTCACTATTTTTTCATATTAGAGTCTAAGGTCAAGGGACGTGTCTGTTTGAATATTTTCCATGTATGAATCACAATACAAGCCTTAAAAAAAATTATATTTGACACAAAGGATTTCCCTGTGATTATAATTATAATCAAAGGAAGAGAGTTTGAGATGAGCGCTTTCTCATAATCTCGCTCATTAATCTTTTGGGTGGTCCAGTGTCTGGAGATGATTTTTTTTTTTTTTTTTTTATCCCAGTTTAGCTTTTTCAAAAATGAGCCTGGGAAAAGCCCGGTGCTAACGTTTTCCTTTTTATCCAAGACAGTTTAGTACAATGTTGTACCTAAAAATGCAACACAAATAAAAACAGCAAGTTATGCTTTATGATTGACTGTTTATTTCCGTTGGTTAGTTAGTTAGTCCCCAGGAAATTACAAATATGGGGATGATCATATTTTCATGTTACTACAGTGGACAGCTTATGTTATCAGCAACATCTAGTTAGCATCTCCAGGAGCAAGATGCTCACTTCGCTAGCAAAACAGCGGCGTTCAAACGTCATTCTAATACTTCAGTTACGCGTTGCCAGCAAAATTCTCACGAAAATATGTTCCCGGGGAGCACATCTGAAGAGGCAGACGTGCAAAACGTGCTAGCGGCGGAGCAAACGTTTGAGCGCTGTCGTAAGATTGTGCCTGACGGATACTCCTAATTTCCACAGGCGTTTCGAGGGCAAATACATCTTTTTCCTCCAACGTGACGTCAAAGTTCCTGGCGGAGGCAAATAATCTGCTCAATTTCAAAACACCACCTATGCCTTTAAAAGTTGGCGCGGGAGACGAGCAAAAGTCTCGCTGCTTGAGATTAGAACGCTTTTTGGATTTTGGCCACATCGGTCTGTTTCTCAACAGTGAGTGAGTTCACGGCTTATTGGCCAAACACCTTAAAAGGGAGCAGGGGGGACGATGAAGTCATTTGGTGTTGATGATTTGACTCGAACCTACGGTACAATCGCACGAAGGCCATGCGATTGGGCTTGATTAATTTATGAACAAAAGACAACGCGGCAGCACACGCACAACTTTAGAGTACCTACGTGAGCAGACCTGTAATTATAACTCATGATTTATGAAGGGGAGCAAAGGAAGGCATGATCCCACTAATCTAAAACTGCTGTAGGCTAAAAAAAAAAAAAAAAAAAAAAAAAAAAACCTTGGAAAATGCATCGAATCTGGTCTTGTTTTCAAGGCTCACCGTCAGGTCACACAGCGCGCAGCGTACGAGGCTCTGCTTGACATCAGGCTCATTTCAACGGATGCATCTTGGTCACATTCGACAGAAAGCACTGATGTCACATTTATCAAAGGCAGTCGTGGACTGTGCATTTGCTACCTTCAGTGGCAACCGCCACGATGAGGCTGCCGTTATAGAAATGTACACAACGCAAGTGGGCCGAACCATTAACATTATACCATACTGTGCTATGAATCACCAAAATATCATCTTTTTCCTTTTTTTTGGTCTCAAGAAGCATTGATTGGTGCTTTCATATCATTTGCTGCGTTGGGTCTATCTCGGTGACAGACTGAGACTGCTGTTTTCTTCCCCGATCAAAACAATGTTGTCTTCTACTGTGATCAAAACAGTGTGCTCCCTAACGGATAATCCACAAATTGCATTTTATTTAAAATATTCATTCTGTGTCTTTAATGCATTTTTTTTTTCACCTTTCAATGATCCCGCGTGCCGGATCGAACCTCCTTGGGGGCCGGTTCCGGCCCGCGGGATGTATGTTTGACACCACTGTCATAACTTTAAAAAAAAAAAGATTGAGAAAAGCTCGTGAAACTGCATCGTACTCACAGGGATGGTGATTATTAAAGGTAGTTATGTGCGTGGATTGCTACAGATGTCTTTGGCTCGTTCAACTTGTTCAGACGGACCAATCTGAGGACGGAAAAATATGCTGGTGTTATTGTTGGCCTTCTGAGACTGATTCCGAAGGCCCTTGACAGATTAGATAGAAATGGCAGTACGCAGGGGCTGAAATCTGATTGGACCAAAAAAAAAAAAAAACAAATACATGAAAAAAAATCAAACATCCACACGCTGAAAGCAGTGCAGCCAAGAGAAACGATAGATAATGAATAGAATAAACTGTTGGGAATAAATGAAGCCAATTTCATGTAAGCAATATTAGAAGGGAGATTGTCGTCGGGAGGTGGAATTTGAAGGAAATGTGGTTGCCCCCCTTTTTGCCGCTTTGAGCAGCTTCCACTCTTGCGGGAAAGACTCTGCAAGATGTCTGTGTTATTATATTGAGGACTCAATGGCTCACGGTCTCTGTTCAAGTACAACCCAAATGGGTTCACTGGGTCAGAGTTATGCTAAAATGCAAGTCCCCCCAGCCCCCACGCCCCCACACCAAATGTCTCCCAAGTTATTCCCACTTTAAGAATCATACATTCGATCAATGATTCGGATTGACAGGGGAACTACAAGTCCTTGTCCATCTCCTGATCGCTGACTGAATTTATTAAGGCGTGTGCGTGGATCATTTTTGTCAATAGAGTGTGTTTTCCGAGTTTGGCCGATGTAGCCTCCAACACAAACACGGCATGCGAAGATGTTTTATCGGGTCGTCCTGCCAAGAAGCGAGAGGGAAGAGCGACATGGAGCAAAAGCAAAGGCAAAGTGGATGCAAAAAAAAAAAAACAAAACCTTTCAAAACAATGTGAAACAAGAGCGGAGCTTGATGCTTCCCGTTGTGTCAGCATGGGGGAACTGGAATTCACATCAGAAAAGCAGCAGCGGTCATTAATCGTCCTCGTGGATAAAAATGTGAAAATATCCCTGCAGGTCTCTCTCAAGTTTTGCCAAAGTGTCCGGCCAGTGTCTTCCTGTTTCTAATTTCTTGGTTCAATTTAGGCTATATGGAGCCTGAATGTTGTCACGGAGCATCACAGCTATAGTTTCCTGTCTAACCGCTTCCAATAAAGATGAAAAGATTCCATTGAGAAAGAGATCGCTGGATGCAATTATTCCAATTGGATATTAAAGAGATTTTTCCTCCAGTTGCTAATGTGGAATTACGTGTCGAGGAAAGCAAAGCAGATACTGAGAGCTTGCTAAATTATTCTCAGGTGCATTCCCGTCCGTGGGTGCTTTGAGGCTACCTCTCTCTTCCGAGGATATCGTTCCCGGGGAGTTTGGCCTCACTTTGTGAAACTCCCGAGACTGACTTGAGTCATGATTGTGAGTACCCGATGAATAATGTCTGTTTTTCGATTGAACGCGAGGGGGACCCACAACGGCGTCATGGCTCACGGCCAAAGGTGCTTGGGGGCAAAGCGCAAAAACAACCGATGAAGGCATATTTCTCCGCAAAGGAATTTACAAGGAGGAGATGTATTTCCGATGCATTTTAGGCGAGAGTTGAAGTTCCTGGAGAGAAGCGATGAGATTTCCGCTTCTTTTTAGTATTCTAAAAAGCGGGGATCCGTTTCAGAAAAGAATGAAAATAAGAGAACCGGACATTCTGATGGCGGAGTCCTGACCAAGACTAACAGTAAATTATCATAACAAGGATGGGAATGCAGAATTTGAATCAAAGAAACAAATGTATGGTATCAAAACCATACACATGGAATAAAAAATGGAAGCAGCAACTCTGTCTCACAGTCAGGAGGTCTGTCGGGGGTTTGAATCTTCATTGGAACGTCGCAGTGTGGAGTTTGCCCGTTTCATTTCCTCGCACATCCTCAAAGCATGCTTCTTCGGTTAACCGAAGACGTTCGATTGCCCAGGTGTAAAGTGGCTATTCAAAAAAAATAGTTTTCCATTTTTAATGTGTTAAAAAATAGATAATACTTCATCCGGCCATTTTTGTATGACGACACGTGTGTACATGTTTGAGCCCCCCGGAGGCAAAATCCGATTCTGAGCCAGAGCACACTGGCCTACCTGAGCGTCAACCTCATTCCTCTTTCGCTGCAGTAGAATGACACCCCCACGGCACCCCCTTCTCTTGCACATTTAGCATATGTCCCGTTAGCCACTTAAAGCTATCAGTAAACACACCTCCACATTTCAGCAGTACATAGTTCTCATTCTGTATTGTATATGCATTTACAAACAAATCTAGGAAATTGCTTTACAGGGTCTTGAGGAATGTTCAAATGTAACTTTTAAAACATTGCCTGTACATTTAATTAAGTTATTACTCTGATACAATGTGTTCCAAAATAACTGATCCTTCCATTTTTACTTCTTGAAAGGGGCATAAGAGAGCGAGGGCGATCTTAATCATGGTTTTTTTTTTTTGTTTGTTTAGTTTTTTTTCTATTGCTGTGGCTGGATTAAAAATCATTTGAATTTCTCCTCCGACCTCACTGCTCTTTGTATTTTTGTACCTAACATGCATATTTGGGGGATATGGAAGGAGTGTGCTTAACTTTGGAAGTTCCACCATGAAGAGAAAAAAAACAAAAAACCCAACATGCTTACAATAAATGTTCTCAAGATGCTCGCATAACAACAATGGGCTGATTCACCGCTCACCACTTTTAAAACCCAGCAACCGATTTTTGTTCCTTTGTCAGCCTCTCCCACACATTGATGAGGCTGCTGTGCGGTCGATGGATGCTACAAGAGCGTAGCCTGCCGCCGTCAGGCCTCAGCTGCCAAATGTCAAGCTAGCGCAGAAGAATGGGAGCGTAACTGATCTGCCCGCTTTCAAGATGGCCGCACTCCAACCCGGACTGACCTGAGGGGCAACACAAACGTAACAAAATAAGTGAGCGTGTTGCACTTCTACAAGACTGACAAAGACAATAATCAAAATGTCAGCGAATTAAATAATGATTTTTTTTTTTGGTTTGTTTTGTTATTAGCATGTTTTAGCCATGCATTTGGAAAACGAAAATGTTTACTTGCCGATATAAAAGCAGGTCAGCATAATCCATAACAGAAGTTTTCAGTTCGACACTGAATCATCCGTTTGGATGGCTGATGCTAATGTCCGACATGGAAGGAAAAAAAAAAGCAACGCCAGATGTCAGTTGGCAACGAGCAAGCCTTGACATCCGAGGAATCACCCGTCCTCGCATCCTTTGTTGCAATTTATCTCTTTTTTGTTTTGTTATTTGCCTTAATGTTGCCCTTTAGGGTCCTTAAAAGGAAGTGTTAAGTATGCTAACATCTGCTCATTAGCACAAATGAGGCAATGGCGTTAGCGTTTCGGCGATGCGCTCATAAAGCGAAGTCTAGCACTGACTGAAACCGATAATTGCACAAAAATACACATCAATGAAGTTTCTGAAATGCATTTTAGTAAAAACAGACGGTGGCTTCTCTCAGGGAAAACATTCATTTTGTTGTTGTTTTTTTTTTTGTTTTTTTTAAACGGCCATTCTTATGGTTGTTATGCCGCAAGTATTTCCATTCGCCCGAGGCGACATTGTTTACTGATGAAAAGCTGCTGCTTTTCAACATACCAAGAAAAGTCCTCGCTCACAAATCACCTCTGGTGACTCACGGAGGGTGGGGGGGAGTCTTTGCGTTCAAGCTTCGAACATCCGTCAAAAGATGTTAGCTGTAGACATTCAAATGATACAGGGCATCGTTTTTCTGTTCTTTTTTTTTTTTTTTTTTGATGTTGACATCACGGTGAGCGGAATAGCTCAAGTCGTTTTGAACCAAACGGTTTATTTTGACCTGCAGTCAGGGACGCAAAATTACTCTGGTGGACTTCAATGTGATCCGAAATCACATTATGAAACTTTCTCTTGTTGCTTTTAACCAGAATAAATGACATCTCTGTTTTGTTTTCAGTCCCGATCCAGGCAGAGCGATTAACGAGAGACAGCCTTTGTGCGCAAGGAGACAACTATGTAGCACATGCATGACTGACAGAAACAAGAGCGCCACATTGTTTTGGTTGAAGCTGAGGTGGTTGAAAACCACAATTTTCTTTTTTTTTTTTGAATCTGCACCACTTTGAGCCGAAGTCTGCTTTACGTCCCCGAATATGTCTGCTTTGTAAACACGCACTCTCTGTTTGCTGACCCCTCTCGCTCAAGCCACACTCAAAGAAGCTCTGATTTCTGTCAATATTGATGAACCGAGGACGGCTGTGACCAATCACTGTCGGTACACGTTTCTATTCAAAAACCGCATCGCCTTTTTCACCCCTTTGAAAGACCACCTCGGAAAGGATTCCACTTCTGAGTCGGCTTTCAAAGTGCGCGTCAACGTTGTTACCTCTGGTAAAAACTGCCGAAATGATTTATTTGTTCAAGGGTGGGCTATGGAGCAAGGAGGAAACAATATATTTCACTCCAGAGTTTTTTTTTCTTAACACTTTCCAAAATGTCTGCCTAATACACAAATCATAAGAATAAAAAAAAATTTCCAAGTGTCCTCATTAGTGGGTTTTTTTTCACGTACTTTGCAGTTCTTTGCTTCTACGTGTAAAGAAGTGTTTGGTCGCCATTATTGAGGGGGCAAAAAAGAAAAAAAAAATCTTTAAACTGCAGAAAAACCTTCGAGCGATTTTGTCAAGTAAATAAAGCGGAAACGCTAACGTCCTCGAAGTCATATGAGACGCGTCCGCAAAGCTCCAGGACTGTTGTCACAAAAGAAATATTTCAAACCCAAATGACAAAACCACCATTTTTACACGCCAGAGGATGAACCACAAATCCCTGTGGTGTTTGCTTCGTTCAGAGAGTGAGAAGCGCCGAGCGTTTTGGACAATTCGTGGATGGCTTCGCAATGACAAAGGCCGCCAATGTGGGTCGGACTCCAAGGGGACTGCTGGGATTGCAATTTGTAGGTTTGGAGTTCAAATGTAGCTTTTGGTAGACCAGTCCTGGAACCTTTCTGACAACACCTTGTAGGTCTGCTGTTGACCATTAGACTAATCACTTGTATAGAATCGATTCCAT